TTTAACCTGATCGCTGGTTCTGGCGGAATTAATTAGCAGATTGCGACTGGGACTGGGGAGAGACCTGACCTGACTTGCTTGTGCTGGTTCTTTTTTCTTGATGGCAGCTTTTTCCTTTTCTCCTTCCCAATCTCTCACGCCCCCCTCCTCCACCACACTTTAGTACTTGCACACCCTCCCCATGTCAAGCCCGATCCAAAGCCAATCCACCTGAACATTCACCGGCCGTCCCTATTCATCTCGACATTGTCTTCTTATTCCTCTAATCCCCCTCCAATTCCTGGTTTCTCTGTTACCGTAGTGTTTTGGTCGCCGACTGTCGCTCCATTCAGCCGATATCTCGCGAGGGGTGAGACAAAGCGAGATTTCAAAGCAACGGCATATCCAACAGAACGGCACTTAATATTTCACAACTGCAGCGCGGGATGATACACCAATAAGACTCCATTTGGGCGAGACACCAGAACAGACGAAGCAACCTCTGATATCACTCAGCGTTTCATCGACGAATCAACTGTGATCGACCACCAAGACATTCTTTTACGAAATCTATTAGCTGCAATATTTGAAAGCATTAACTTGCTTATTTTTGCCATTAAAAGCATTGGATACCCTCGAATACCACACCAGCGATACCACATTTTTCACACATGTTGGCTCAAGAGCAGTCGATATCGTGCTGACGAAATAAACCCCAAAGGGGGAAAACGATCAACTGGGCGACCAAAGACCCAAGATAATTAAGACGTCGCCGGCATCATGCGCAAGTTCGGCTTTTCCGGCCGCAAAAAGCAGGCTCCCACGGTCACAGTCACCGCCCCGCCTATGAGCAAGGCCCAAAAGATCCTGGGTGCTTCAGCCATCAATATCGACAACAACTTCTCCAGCTCAACTCTCGACCTTGCTGTACCCGCTCCCGAGACATCCCAGACCCTGAACCATGGCCGTGTATCTCCGGCAAAACACGAGCGCGGGACGCGGGAGTGGGGAGATGAGTCCGAGATCATACCGAGGCACTTCAAAAACATCGGTGCACCCACCGATGCACATGATGAAGATGCTTTTGATATGGCGAGCATTCTTCGAAAGCGACAGTCTTCATCGACACTAAACTCGTGGTACGACAAGACTAAGCAGCCTCTTTCTGTAACCCAGCAAACATCAGCCTCAGCTATGGCCAAGGGCATGCCTTCAAAAGCAGAGAGGATGTTGGATATGGAAAACTCAATTGCCGAGGCCAAATTAAAAAAGAAGAAGCCTACAAAACTCGACTTGTCTCATCTCATGGGACGGCGGTCTAAGAAGAGCGAACCACAATGGGAGGGTCCTATGCTAGATCAGATTACCCGATCACCATCTATTCTATCACCAACTAGTACACCATCTTTACGGGGCAAGCTTTCAAGGCGACCTACAAAAGAGAGCCTCAACTCAGCACACTCAGACACAACCCGACCAAAGACGGACGAGAGCAATCGCCGACCACAAAATCACCTAAATGGTCTACCTAATCTCTACGAACACTACGAGCAAATGTCATTCCGCTCAATCATTGACGATGAGTTGGACGAAGCCGATGAGGAGGAGCGGGTTCTGGAGAAGTCCAAGTCCAGGGATTCACACCAACCAAAGCCCAGCAGAATTCTTCGACACAGCAAGTCTGAACAGCGCATACCACCCGGCCACCATGCCGAGCATATTGTTTCCCAATACGCAAAACGCAACCTACCCCCACCACCACCTCAATCTAATATGGCCAAGAAGTCTGACCAATCCTCACTTACTGACTGCGCTGCAAGTGTTTCTAGCAGACATACCCGCACGTCCAAGGCTTCGAAACGTACGAGTAGGAGTTTCCAGGATGCGGATCTGCAGGGCAAGAGCGTGCTTTCACTATCCTCGGACTCCGAAGACGACGCATACACCGAATCCTCTTCCAAGGGTCAACCTTCGATACCTGAGTACGCCACATCGGATACTAGTTCTTCTATCGACTTCCGTCCAGGCACGGCTCGAACTTCCGAGAGCGCTGATAACAGCTCGAAGCGGTTGAGCAGATCGAGCAGAAAGACGACGGGATCGAGCAACTACCTGACCATCCCCAACGGGCATCACAGAGCCCCCGTTGTGGCCCCCAGGTCAAGCTCCCTATCTGGAAGCTCCACAAACACAATCCAAGAAGGAACTGCTGGACCAACACCGTCGCGCACGTCAAGCCTTTCCAACTCATCAGTAAACACTTCAAACACGGGTCACAGCAAGACAAATCTTAACAAGGTTGTCGCTCTGTACCCCGAGCCGGACACTCCGGATTATCCTGATTATGAGGAGGACAAGGAGGGCGAGGACTCTGAAAATGAGCCTGAACCTGAGCTTGACTTCCTGCCTGCTATGACCTACATTCCTCATGGCTCCATCTCTACTACTGCCGATGCGCCGACGCCCCCATTGAGCCCAAGCTCCGTCGACTTCTACATCCGCTCCGCTCACTCATCAGTCGATGGAAAGGACGGCCACAACCGCTTTATGGCGGTTACCCGTCAGGAAGAGATGCTCCTGTCTGCCCTTCGCCACAAGCGACAGACAATGCGCAGCTCTGTCCTCTCTGAGATGGACGAGAAGGTTTCTCAGAAAGGACACCGATCCAAGCCATCCGAGGCCACCATTACCGAGGAGACAATGGACATGGACTTTGACTTCCCAGCACCCCCTACCTTCAAGAACAAGACCACGGTCAACGCAGAGGGAACAACCGTTATCGACCTAAGCCACGAAACACTTGAGGGCCGTACAGATGAACCCACTGTATCCACCAAACACTCTACGAAGCAAGTGCATCACGGGCAACGATCCCACAGTCAAGACCATCAGCAACGGGAGCGCATCCTTCTTTACATCGACAAGGGTCTCGCCGCTGAGCACTCCTTTGATGATTCTGAGCCTAGCCCTGATCTGGATGATTTCTACGACTACAACTACGACGACGAGTCCGCAAGTGACGAAGAAGTCATTTCCGAGGAGATGTATGTCCAGCAGCGCCGCCTTAGTGACCGAAAGGGTCGTCACTCAGCCCTCAAGCGGCCATCGAGCCGAAACCAACAACAGAGCCCTCCCGCTCCCGCCCAGCGCGACACTCTTCAAGTTGGTGTGCCTCGACCCGACAGTCCCATCTCCCCCGATGCTATGTCGACATCTGCTCCTCGAGTCAACAAGACGATGGCTCGCTTGAGTGCTGTTGGCCCTCCTGCTAAATGGGGATTTGAGGACTAAACAACACATTTCAATTAACATCCTTGTGGATTTACGATACACTTTACCGACGCCTTATTTTTTATTATCTACACGTATTTCAAAACAGCATTCTGGGGATTTGGAGTATTTCTTTCTTGGATGGATACCTGGATCACGAAGATGATCGCACGCGCATTCAACATTTTCTTTTGTCAGCGATGATTATCTACAACATACTTGTTTCATTTCCTGAACCTTTCCCGATACTTTTTTCCAAGGGAAGTAAAAGTGGCGTATGGGGAATACATGGCCTTTTTGTCATGAAGGCGGGACGGAGGATGATTATGCGCACATATCTTTTTTGGGTATCTTGGACTGTCTATTCTTGCATCATCTCTACGAATCGGCTATGTCTCGAACTGTTGGGATTGGGGTTTGAAATAAGGACAAGGCGCAAGGGGGGGCAGCAAGTTTGTTCTCTTTGATGAGCATGACGAAAAGCAAACAACAGGGATGTACGGGACTAATACGATGAAGACGGATGGGAAGGGCGAAGCATTATTTGGGACGGGCAGCTTTGTGTATCATATTGTACCTAGTTCGCGATAATTGCGATGCCTTGAACAATAGCGGAATAAGGCCATATGGCAAATTCTCAACACATTTCAAAATGTTTTGTTGATGTTGAAGTTCTGTCTCTTTTATCTTGACATAAAGGCGTGATGTGCAGTTTGTGGTTTAGATTTAAGCGTAGGTAGAGCCCTCAGGGGGTTGGGGGATCTTCTTGTTCTGGGATGAAGCCATGTATCTGAGAACTGTCAGTATAACTTCCTCTCTCATGGCGAACGCTCGACGTACCTTCGCAACTCGATGAGGACAGTTTCCATAGTGTTCTCACGCTTCCACTGGGCGAGGCAGGGGAGTTGGCTAGGGTCCACCACGCCGTTGTTGGGGTTAACACAGGGCAGGTTGACCTGGCTGATGAACTGAATCGTGGGAGGCATGTCGGGGTAATCGGGACCGCAGTGCATCTTGACGCTGTAGATGCGGTTCTCGTGAACGGACTGGAGCAGGAGATGTTAGTTACTTGCGAGTCTATAGATCTGTTGTTTGGGGCGGGAAGGGCACGTGTGCGATCATTTGTAGGTTCGCAAGAAACTCACATGGGGAGGACCAAGGATTGTGCCGTTCCAACTGCTCATGAGAAGATCCTCAGGATCCTCAAGACCGTAACTGCATGCCTCGGCACCGAGACCCTTCTCTCCCTTCTCAAGCTCCTCCAGTAGGCGAAAGTTGCGAGGAACCTTGGCAGACATGGTGTCGGTTACTCAAAGAGACTCTGTCGCAAGAATGATTGTTTGACTCGGAGGTTCAAAATGTTTGTAATTTTACGAACAAAAAAGTCGGACGATGTGTAAGACAGACAGAGAAAGTGTGTGGTTTCGCGATAGATGACGTTGGTGTAGTGGCGGTTAGATATTGGGCGACTTTTGGATCCAGTCACTCGCGGGGCACAGACAAGTAGACCACAGAAGGGAAGGCGGTGGACTTTCTGTCTGTCTCAAAGGATAGAGTTCCCCGCCATCATATCACACAGCCACAGCAAGCTAAAGTTGTTCACAAGCCACCCCGCGTCACATCGAGCTTGCCTGTTCTACCGGGGAATTATCGGAATATCGACAGCTTCCCCAAGCTCATCCGATCAACAGATCACAGTCTTTTCCCACGTCATTGTCGACTCTCCCATCAATCCCGCGATCGATTCAACAATGGCCATGTCCCTCGCGCGGGTGGCCCTCAGGGCACCGCAATCGCAATCGAGGCTTGCTGCCGCCGCCGCCACTATCACGGCTCGAACCATTGCCGCCCACGGACGACCCTTCAGCACCACGAACCGAGCTCTTATCCCCTCCGGCTTCGGATCTCCGATTGTTCCCTCTTACTTTTCTAAGCCTCGGCTCCCGGCCAACACGGTTATTCGATTCGTGCCTCAGCAGACGGCTTGGATTGTTGAGCGTATGGGAAAGTTTAACCGTATTCTCGACCCTGGTCTGGCTGTCCTTATGCCCTTTATCGATCGAATCGCATACGTCAAGAGTCTCAAGGAAGTCGCCATTGAGATTCCTAGCCAGAGTGCCATCACTGCGGACAACGTTACTTTGGAACTTGACGGTGTTTTGTTCACGCGTGTCTTTGATGCGTATAAAGCAAGGTGAGTTGCTGCTGGATTGATCAAGCCATTGAGACACGATACGATCAGGTAGCTGACATGTGTGCAATTATACAGCTATGGGGTCGAGGATGCCGAATATGCTATTTCTCAGCTCGCCCAGACGACTATGCGATCCGAGATCGGTCAACTGACCCTTGACCATGTCCTCAAGGAACGTGCTGCGCTCAACACCAACATTACAGCTGCCATCAACGATGCCGCGGAGGCTTGGGGTGTTACCTGCTTGCGTTACGAGATTCGAGATATTCACGCCCCTGGTGCTGTTGTCGAGGCCATGCACCGTCAGGTCACTGCCGAGCGTTCCAAGCGTGCTGAGATTCTCGAATCCGAAGGTCAACGACAGAGTGCCATCAACATTGCCGAGGGTAAGAAGCAGAGTGTTATTCTGGCTTCCGAGGCGTTGCGCGCCGAGCGCATCAACGAGGCCGATGGTGAAGCTGAAGCTATCCGTCTCAAGGCGACTGCCACTGCTCAAGGTATCGATGCTGTCTCAGAAAGTATCCTCAAGGGTGATACTGGTGCCCAGGCTGCTGTCAGCTTGAGAGTTGCCGAGAAGTACGTCGACGCCTTTGGCAAGCTGGCTCGCGAGAGCACTGCTGTTGTTGTCCCCGGAAACGTTGGAGATATCAGTGGTATGATTGCTACTGGTCTCAGTGTCTTTGGCAAGGTTGGCCAGGCTCAAGCACAGACTATGGCTAAAGCTATTGTTGAGCCCAAGAAGGAGACTGCAGAGCTCGATGGTCAGGCGAAGCCCGATGTTAAGGAGACAGTTCTTGAGAGCTTCAACCAAGCGACTGCCAAGAGATAAGGAGAGAGAAAGACCATGATTTATCAACTACATGACATATCACGGAGGAACGAGGCGGAATCATCCACATATCAACTCATCACTCAACCACCCAAACATGAATATTCCACACTACCATGACTACCGGCGTTTAGCGGATGTATTATAGGGATCCCGCGGGGGGTCATTACTGTCAGGCTCTTGGAAAAGAGTTGGGGGAAGCGGAGAGGAACGTCATCATGTATCAGCAAAGTTTTCTTATTTCGAAATGCAAGCGCATGGCAAAAGGAGGGAAAATCACGGCCTACCTACCAATCAGTGATCCTAATTCTCTCAGCCCATACTTCGCTGTTGAGCTATGAGACATACAAAGAATCGAATTAGATTGACGTTATAGTGTCGTTGGTGCACATGATATATTCCCTGATGATTGATTGTTGGTGAAAACTGCCTCACTTTTATGGTACAAGGCATACACGAGGTGGGTTCACGGTCAAACTATGCTCATTCTGAATTAGGGGTATAATATTTACAGATAAAGTCAAGCCCAACGAACTATTCCTCGAAGCTCATCTCATGGCAACATGATTCATTATTTCCATCTCTTGCGTATATTGGATCAAATGTCAAACAACGAAAAAGATCTTGCTAGCGTGACAAAAGATATCTTGCTCCGACATGGCTTGGCTATTGCAAACGGGTCGCAACTTAAAGAAGGAGAGGGATCAAAGCAATAACACCCATGAACAAACTAGGCACGACAATTGAGCCACTGTTGCTTCCGCCTCCGCCGGTGCTGCTACCGCTGCTATCTCCATCATCATCACCACCAGCTCTTGGGCCAGTGGGTATAGGTTGAGAGCTGAATGTAGGGAAAGCATCATCGTCGCCGATGGTAGGGACGGGTTCGATCGAAGGGGCAGTGAAAGAGGGGGAGTCGAAGGTGCGTGTTGCAGACTCTTGAGTAAAGGTGAGCTTGTCGTCATCGTCGTCGTCGTCGCTTGAACCACCACTGCTTCCACCTCCGCTTGAACTGCCGTATCTGCAAGTACCATCGCTAGAACAGGTCTGTCCCGACAAGCAGTATCCGGAGACGCAGCAGACCATTCCCTTAGGCATGCAGCCGTCGCCGCAGGTTTCTTGGTAGCTGGCACAGCTGCCGCTGGATGAACCGCCAGAGCTACCACCAGAGCCACTGCTGGAGCCATATCGACATTTTCCATCAGATGTGCATGTCTGACCGCTGAGGCAGTATCCGGAGTCACAGCAGACCATACCCTTGGGCATACAACCATCACCGCAAGTCTCTTCGAAGCTCAAGCAGGAACTAGAACCTCCAGAGGAGCCACCAGAAGAGCCACCTGAGGAACCTCCACTTCCTCCGGATGAGCCTCCGGCAGAACACTTGCCGTCTGAAGTACACTTCTCGCCTTGATCACAGTAGCCAGTGAGACAGCAGACCTTGCCCTCAGGGATACAAAACGAGCCACACATCTCCTTGCCGTCTGTGCAGCCCGAGGGTGGACCAGAGCAAAGCTTTCCATCCTCGCAGCAGCCGGTAGATTGGCAACGGTAGCCATCTTCGCAGTACGTTCCAGATACAGTGCTACAGCACTCACCACTGGATTCGATGCAAGCGTTGCCGCATGCTTTCGTGCTTCCCTCGCAACCCGCCGCCGCCATGCTGAGGAATTGGGGACGAGGAGTGAAGCCAGATAGAAGGGGGAGGCCTTTCTTGTCTGCTTTGTTGGTGCTGAAGTAGACGCTGTCTGTTGCGACCGTCAGGCCCGCGAGGGCGAGAAGGAGGGTTGAACGCAACATTGTTGTAGGGAAGTGTATGAACCGAGTCTCAGGAGGTATGTGGTTTGGAGAGACTTGACCAGGCAAACAGTTGTGAACTGGGCATCCTCTCGTCTTATAAGACTGCAGGTGCTAACAGGCAGCTACTAGAGAAATGGGCTGAAAGCCTTCCGTCGAGTCACCTACCGGGTTTGCTATACTAACTGGGTATAGTAGTGCTAATTAATGCATCAAATGAACGCCACTGAAATACCTCCAGGGTTCAGAGGTGCAGACCCCATTTCACGATGGCTTCGTGCGGGTACTATATCCGCTTGTGCTAGAGAAGGATCATCCACCAATACAAGCTGTTCTCTGTCGCCACAACACTGTGCCTCACTACTATTAAGGTAGGCAACCATATGTTTGCCTATACGAGAATACGATCATCGACTGTGTGTTGTTAGTGCTTGGGACCTGAATAGATCTGCGTCGAGTCCAAAGACTCACCCCGAATAGGGTATGAGTGCGAGAGACCGTCAGACGGCACAACCACTTTCCGGATAGGGTAATGTAACAGCAATATGCCAGATCATCACAGAGACTAAAAAAGTGTTGTCGCTGCTCAAGTTGGTGGGGACCTCAAGTTCAGCTTTGCTTAATCCCTGTATCGATCCCAGATAGCCTGTCCTAGTTTAATAGGAAAAAAGTTGCAAAGACGACGATCCCTTGGACGAAGATCGGTCACAAGGCCTCAGGACTAAAAAGAACCCTGTTACTCTCATAAAGCTTGTGCTGCAGTGTAACCCAAGTTTGCTGCGAGGTTGGCCGTTGGGTATGAGTTGAGTCGAATTACACGGAAAAGGGCTGAAAAAGGTGAAACAGCCACTTTACAACGTTAAGATTAGGCTTCTTATTTCTCGCTGCAGGGTCCCGTTCAACAATAACGGGTCATTTGTGCACTAACATGATTGAGTGTCTGCCCTACGGCGATCAAAATAGGTGATAGTCGGCCGCTTCCATTAAACAAAGATTGAGGTACCAATATGGCATCTCGTCAGTGACATTCATGTCTTTGGAATAGAGTTTAACTCTAGGAGAAAGCCAAGCTTGTAAGGCTGATCAAGACCCTATGCCTTGGCTTGTTTTTCTGGCACCGTTATGCGAAAATTCCCGCATTTTCATCAAGGTTGTAGGGTCTTTTGGGATGCAGCTAAAATGGCTGACATGGTCCAGATGCCTTGTGCATTGAGCGGTGGAGGTGGCGTTGCTAGCACGGATACCAACCAAATTACGGACGCTCGCATGGTGTTGTATTCAAGTTGGTGTTGATGAAGGGTTATTGAACCTCTCATCCTTCCTCCAACACTTGCAGTCTGCCTCGCCATTACTTCTACTAGGAAAGCATTAATGAAGGATCAATGTGTGATGTGTCGTCTAGTATGAAGACACATCTAGCCACAGCGAGAGCAACTTTTGATAACAAGTAACAAAGTGCTGTGTTCATATGTAACCATCTCTCGCAAGCTCCCCATTAATCCCACACATTGTTGATATGGTACCTCAGCTCAAGGCCATATTCTCGTCCACTTACACTCAACCTCCAACCCGAACATCCATCTTCACCGTAGTCCCGACAATCTCCTCGCAAGCAAAAGAAACCTTTAGTTGCTCGCCACTCTTTGCACTCAACCCGATTATAATCTCCTTGTTGCCGGCCAGCCTTTTTGCGCTTCCTCGCCAAAACCAGACAAGTCGTCCGTTACCCCCTTCAACCACAAATGTGACCCATGGCGTGCTGCTCTTCCAACTGGGCGTCTTTTCGTTGGTAAATCCGAGAACAGCTCGAGCAATCCAGAGCGATTCGTCAGCTGTTTGATTACCAGTCGCTGGCAAAGGTGTTGGAGTTTCGGGGGTGTATTGACCGATCACTTCAAAGTCGAGGGTGAGAATGGGAAAACCTGCTACTTTGTGCAGTAGCGTCTGACCAAAAGGTGGGTTTCGACTAAGAATTCGCTCGATGTGATAAAACTCCATCATGGACAATTCCTTTATAGTCTTGATGTTGGCTCGGACGAGCCTGTCCTTCTTTGCCGGGCCAATACCCTCCACTTGCAAGAGGTGGTTGCCACTCTTTTCCCAAACTTCAGCCTTGACACTTCTCAGCACGTCAAGAGTTGTCTGGAGTCCTCTTCCATCACCTCTCTCTCCAAGTATATCAGCCAGACATCTCAAAACGCTGTCGAGCAGCTTGTACATCTGGCGGAGTTCCTGGAATAACTGTTTTCGAGCTTCCCCTTTCAGTTTGTTTGGCCAGCCAGCCTTTGTGAGGTCAATCTGCACGAGAAGAATAACTTTGTGCCATGGCTTGGATATGAATTCGGGGATGGGAAAGGGGATGCCTGTGCTTTCGTTGATTGCTCGGAAGAAGGCGGTCTCATGCTTTTGGATGGGAAACGTATTGAATTCGGTCGCAGAGCAGGCCTTCTTGAGAAGGGCGAAAGTATCTGGGTTGCTTTTGATCTCGCAGAGGGTTTTGAAAGTTGATTTGGCCAATTGATACCGCATCTGAATCTCGCGCAAGGGCTGTGAGGCCAGGCTTTGCGAGTTCGAAGTTGCCTCCTGTGATGCCGACATGGCGCTCGATGTTGAGTTGGCTAAGAGCGATATTCTTAACTCCCATAACAAGAACTGGACGATGGAGTCTGTAAATTGCATATGTTCTCTTTTTTTTTTTTATATAGGGCAGGCAGTTATCGGAAGGTGCACCTCCCTTGACTCACAAGTAGCTGCTGTTCAACTACCAAGGCAGGAGACACTCGACACTGAATCACTAGTAGAGGCCAATCTGGAGTCAGGGGCATCTTGCAATCAACTTTACTCTGCAAAGCATAGTTTCTCAATTTCGAACTCAGAATTAATCTAGGATGACAGATCTAATCTGCTGAACAACCTTTCTAGGTCTATGTCTACTAAACACCACACCAGTTGTCTTAAGTTACTCAGTGCCAGCATCATCGAGAACGCCAACATCTGCCCATGCCTTCTTGATTACCTTGGCCGTCTTATCATCAAAGAGCTCCTTTGCACAACCAATCGTCACATCAGCAAACTCTTTAAACGTACAACGTGGATGCATCTTGCTTGACCTCATGGCCGCCCACCAGATCTTGCCAGCCGTCTCCCAAGAGTAACCGCCAAATGCGTTGGAAGCCAGATAAAAAGGCTCGGTTCGGGACTCCTCCAAAGATGTGCACTCCTCCGTTATTCTCAGATATTGTCTTGAATTGCTTCATGTGAGCCACCTGCCGGTCCTTGCCGAAACGAGGATCGTCGTAGGCTGTTCCGGGCTCCTTCATGCTTCGTAGAGCAGTCCCCTTGACGCCAGTAACAAGACAGTTTGTTCCAATTAGCCAATCTGCGACTGATGATCTTTTATCTTAAACTTGTTGCTTGACCTAATCAGAGCTATCAGACTTGAAAGTGTATGGAAGTTCCTTCCGGCTTTGCCTCTCTATAATAAGGCTAACTTGTTAGAAAGTGAAATTCGGTGCGCTATTGGCTAGCAAAAAGACACTCAAAAATAAGGTTAGTGGAAAATGCCCTATTGGATGGGGTCGTCCTGAAAGTATGATATTCTTTAGGCGTGCAGCTTGGTCACGAAAGGTAGCCCGGGCTCACGAAGTCACCTTACACAATACAAAGCCATGAGACATACCAGCTCAGCAGCCCGCTTCTTCTTCTTCCTTCAGCACAACCAAAGAAATTACTACCGAAATACCAAGCCCCCATGCCAGTTAACTTGCCCAGACCCTGATCCCTATTGCTAAGGGAAATGCCCTATAAGCTACTGAAAAAAAGAGGCTGCACCTCGAGAGAAAATTACAGCCTGGGGCCGTAGGCGACGGATTGGGTAGCAGGAAAAATGGCCTCCTGAGTCTTGGAGTATAAAAATAAGTAGTCTAAGAACTACAGCTTAGGGGGCATAAAGTGACCTACTAATTTCGTCTCTTATGCTTCCAGCGGTTAATTTTTCTGATACCCTGAGGAGAAGGTTCTTGGGTTGCCTTCCCAAACTCACTAAATTAGGTACGCGTCTGTCTGATATTAAGATGAATAGCCTAACAGAGAATCGAATATAGTATAGAATATCTGTATTAGTCTAGAATATATTTCCTAAACTTGATAGATCTAACTAATGTGCTATTATTTACAGCTTGAGTGTGTTTCCGGCAACGCCAACAACAGCCGCCTTGACCTTGGAAGCACCGACAAGAGAGTACTGGTAGGGAATGTCAGACTTGGAGAAAGAACCCTTGGGAGCATCGTTGGTAGAGCCACCAAGGTCAACATCGTTGACAGTGATGCTTCCAGTCTCCTTGGAGTCCTTGGAGATAAGAGCCTTCTTGGCGTTGCTGAAAGCAGACGACTCGACAAGGACCTTAGCACCCATGCGGGAGTTAACACCGGTGACGCTGATGTCCTCGTAGTAGTTGTTGAAGACGTGGACGGTGCCGAAGCGGACAGAGGGAGCACGAGAGCCAATGTTGGACCAGTGGTTGTTGGCGTAGGTGACGTGGAGGGTACCAGTGTCCTCGTCAGCGTTGCTGTCGGAGTGGCCGACAAGAGAAGCCTTGTGGTGGTCGTGGAAGTAGGTGTTGGAGATGGTGACCCACTCAGAGGCGTGGGTGACATCGAGGAGACCGTCGTAGAAATCCTTGTCCTTGGAGAAGTCGGAGGACAGCTCGCAGTGGTCGACCCAGACGTTGGTGGACTTTTGGATGCCGATGGCGTCGCCGTTGGCAGCTTCGACATTCTTGATGGCCAGGTTGCGAACAATGACGTTCTTCTGCTTGTTGATGTAGAGACCGATGTTCTCGAGAGAAGCACCCGAGGCACCAACGATGGTCTTGTCAGACTTGACGCGGATCTTGTTGTTGCCGGTGAGCTGGCCCTTGACGTAGATGACCTGCTTCTCGTCCGACTCGGCAGCCTTGCTGAACTCGGCAAGGGAAGAGACGGTCACAGTAGCTCCTCCGGCACCACCAGTGGTACCTCCGTTCTCGGTGGCGTAACCAATGTTGGCAGCATCAGTGATAGCAGCTCGCTTGCCGAGAGTCTTGCCAACTTGCTGGACGGTGGGAGTAGGAACGGCGCTGGCCAGAGCGGCGAGGTTGAGAAGACCGAGGAACTTCATGGTGATGTTTGTAAGGTAAAGTAAATATGTATTGGAAAAATAAAGAATGAAAGTCGGAACCGGTCCAACAGTAACGAATGTATAAGGTTAGAAAGAGTGATTGAGGATGAGGATAGAGAAGAGAAAGGTGACATATTTCCTGTCGAGGCCTCACTTATATACAAGAAGTGAAGTCATCACAGCTATGAGTTCTCCATCACCCTGATTGCCGAACACGCGAGACCCCTGAAACGATAGATGGTGATGTGCAAGTGTTGTTGACTATTCTGGGATGTGAAACATATTTACACGAATGAGAGAATTCTCCGAAAGTGAAACAGGCACGAGTGGAGTGGGAATTACCGGAGATCATGGTGGGATAGAAAACAACAAAGATGCCTGAATAGGAAATTATCAGGATCTGACAGCCAAGACCGTCATTTCTCTTGACAAAGCTTAACGAGATATGGGATTTTGTTTACAGAGTACAATGAGGTTGAAAATAAGCTTAATTGGATTAGTCTATAGCAGTGACATACAGATCAGATCAAGTCTATTTTAAAGCCAAGTAGAGACAATTATGGCTTATCCTTTACAGACACATTCGAGAAGTAATTTTATCAATGTTGCATTCACTACAAACTCTTCGATCTGAGGTAGCACGTCTTCTGACATATGAAACACAAGTCTACGTTCAAACCTGATCTCTTGACCTTAGCTCCACACATCACCAGGGTCTCAGGTATTGATCAATGCGCGAATGCGCGTATTCTCCGTATTCTAATCAATCAGATTATCTGCTGCTGTTGAGGCTAACAAACGTTATGCTTATATCGGTATCGGACAACTCCCACAACCCGATCTAATACCGTAATGTCTTCAACAGCTAGGATATACGCTGACAACCATACCCACACTAGTGGGTAGCAGAAAAGTTGCACTCCTAAGTCTTAGGGTATAAAAATAAGTGGTCTAAAAAGCATAGTCTAAAGAGCATAAGCTGGCCTAATAATTTTGTCTCTTATGCTTCTAGCGGTCAATTTTTCTGATACCCTGAGGCCACATCCCAACTCCTAGAAGATGACCTACCAATCAGTCGCTTCCAGTCTCATCGCCTATCCATAATCCTTCAGTCATATCGTCTGATGTTGAGAAACCCTTGAAGCTTCTTCCGCGATCCACTCTATAATCCCTTCACGTCGTAACTCTGTAGGTACTCTCGACAACATCTCTCGCACGTCATTCGCAGTCAGACCATCGCAAGCCTTGACTACACCCTCAAGCCCCTTTCCAAGATGATGTTCACTAGGCCCAAGTACTACCTTGAGCTCAACATTTGACGCCCCCGCTGCTAGCCATAGAACTATCAACTTCACCCCTGGGTCACCACCAAAGGCACCGCAGCCCCAGAGACCAGTGAACACAGAATCACCTTTGTAGGATGTGAACCCGTTTATTGCCTTGTTGATCTCACGGTCAATATTCTCGGGGTATAGATCGGGCAGGTCGTCACTTGATGAGCGTTCAACCATGTCCATCTCCAGAGCGTCCATAAAGACAAGACGTCCTCCTTGCCAAGATTTCTGATCTTCGTTAAGAAATGACACAGGACGGCCCTCCCACTCGATATTGCGTCTCTGGCCTTTGACATCCACCATCGCTCTTGCACCTGAAACGGTGATGACTGTGTTGTCAGCCAGATGAGGTGCTACCAGAACAACAGGGTATGCCTCAGGGGCAATACCAACGAATATCTCCTCTTGAGTAGCTGACTGGCCGAATCCAATGACCTTGTTTGATGGGACAACGACGGCCCCTCCTTTTCCTTGGACGTGAGGGTGATGGGTATCCGACGTGTGGATGTCCATGTATTTGGCCTGCACTGGTCCCAGTTTAACATCTGCTAAAGACAATTGACTGCTTTGGTGAAGCTCATATGAGACGACATTGTGAATCTCATCTGATTTAGTTTGGTGATCATTTAGTAGATCTCTTGCTGCTGGCAGACCTTCAAAGTATATAAACAGAGCCTCTAGATACATCTGTACTGCAGTGGGATGTCTCTGTTCCGATGAGTACCAGATACCTAAATCCTGGTAACCATCATCACACCTCTGAGGTACCGATGAACAGAGAAACTGGTGGGCCACAAGACAAGCGACTTGGCCGCAACTCAAGCGAAGCGGAGAGTCCGCTTGGAGAATCTCAAGTTGTCCACTAGGGAAATAAACCGGAAGATTAAGGGCAATATCACAAATATTGGGCCATATGATACTAAGGATCCTGGATTCCCCTTGGTCTTGCAGGAACTTCTTCAGAAATCCATAGTCACTATCTTGACATGTTTCCGCATTTGCGGCAATTGTCTGTAGCTGGTCTATGAGTTGCGCAATACTGGATACCGGGGTGCTGATAAGGTGGTGAAGAAGCGGCCAGAATGGGATTTTACCCTCGTCGTCCTCTTCGGCTTGTATACCCTCGGGTAAGTCGCTGAAGCGGTCGAGGACTCGACAGGAAGTTGAGTTGGGGAGACGAAACGAAGGAGGCCGGGATGACATTTTGATACTTCTTTAATTGCTTGTATATTACAATCGAGATACTGATGTTATCTTTACAGTGGAAGAAGATATAGTCAAGTGTTGCTAATTGTATAGTTGGTGATTTGGTGTTGTAGAATATGACTCTTTGCCGGTTGGCCCCACTTTCTATAGAGCAATGCTCAGAATGGTACAGAGTCACATTAGATATTAAGTCTCTACCCTACAAGAACTACGATATAGTCATGAATATAACTTGAGATATCATGTCGTTTGATACGCATATTGAAATGGACAAATCATTTGTTCGCTGAAGTAACTCATACAGTCTCGTATAACTCTTCTTTCTGAAATGATCGATCCTCTATATCTAGTCCCCAACAGTTGGACAGATGTGAATACTTGGGATTCTACAAAAAGAGAAATATCACATGATTGAAAGATGCATTAGTTGTGATCAGCTTGTACAAATTCAGCCCAGTATTGACGTACCTTGACTGTCAAATAATAAAAAAGACGCCACAACTATTATTACTCAAGAGGAGAGACGACACAAATACATAGTAGTGCTCAATCAGGACAGAAACTTCTTTTATTCGTAAGTCTTGCCACACTTTCGGTATATATCTTCAGATCTAATTTCTTGCCTATGGATGGCATTGGAGTTGAAGGATGGCAGAGTGCTATGCAGTGGCTTGACCGCGTTGACAGAATGTGTCCCAGTTTCATCGTACTTGTACCCCGACCACTGTAACCAATACCAATTTCGACTGACTCGGTGCAAGAGCAGGCTTGTTTATGCAAGGCTTGATCATGGAGGGTGATAACCTTTGTGTACCTGCATATCCGCTCCACCCACCCACGGAAGAAGAAGCAAGCATCGGTAGATAAGCCAATTTGTTGGCAATGGTCCTTGATGTGAGAACCTCTAATCTTGTCACTACAGTATTTCCTTCTGTTGTTGTACTAACAAGCCTTGGCCAGTACTAATGTCTCATAGTTAAACTCAATCGACAGTCCCGAGAGACTCAATTTAACAATACAAGCCACGTCTCACAACCAAGACACCGCTATCATGAACTTAACCATTTATGTCTTTCCAGGCCAAGACTCTTCATTTCCCTCTTACGAGATCAGCCTCATCCACAACACTGTGCTATACGTACAACCTAGCCTTTGGTACCATTGATCGATAGTCTTATCTCTTACAACCCATTGCCAATATTTAGCCCTCAACGCTACGTCGCCCCCTTGCTGGCGATCTTTTCTTTATTGAATTGCCCTTACATCTTGGCTACTTCGCCGCATGCGGGTGTCCTTTTCTACGAACACCCAGCCTAGAAGGAAATGAGCCAAGTGCTTGGGTATCAAAAAGTAAACTTCACCAAGAAAAAGCCAAGTAAAAATGTCTCTAAGCAAATCAATTGCTTTTTGTTTTCAATGTTTCCCAAAAGCTTCTAATATCTGCCAAAAAATAGGTATCGTACGCATAAAATCTCAAATCCCAATGCCAAAAAGTAGTAGTAGTAGTAGTAGTAGTAGTAGTAATTCATCCAAGCCATACATGGTCTCTTTTCCATCTGTCAATGTCAAATCAGTCATGTCCATCTCTAGTAGAAACTCTTTTCTCTCGTATAGAAGCAAAAACGTTCATCCCGTCATTGTCCGCAAACAGCCAAACCCAATTTCCTTGGCCTATAGCCAAGGAAGTGCTGGGTGATGAGCTGCAGACGGACACAAGAGAGCAGGTCCTCATTAAAAAAACGGTAGGTTTGTTAAAAACGTGTGTAATGTTTGCTTGCCAAGAGCCCTCTTCCATGTAAACCTGTTTTTTTCTAGCGTTTTTTTATGTTTTTGGCCCGTCTCTTTCTTTCTTTTTCACCCTGAGTGATACGAAGAGGTTTGTGGGTTGCCTTGGCAAGCATTGTAAGGATCGACTCGAAGTAAGGGTGTAATTAGAATGGTCTGCTCTCGGGACCCCCGAGTGAAGAAGTGTAACAAAATCAGCAAGTGAAGTTGTTTAGATGAGGATCTGGGCGATCACGAGACCTGCAAAAGCAGTAATGATGCTTCCGGTCATGCGAGAGCCAGAGTTGACAGGGACAGGAGTAGTGTCGCTAGGAGCTCCTTCAGTGGCAGAGCCTGAGGGTGTGCCCTTGTCAACAGCAGCACCAGAGTTGACACCAGAGTCAGGGCTGGCGCTGGAATCTTCAGTGGCTGTAGCAGCAGCCTCCTCGGAAGCAACGGTGGTGCTGGCGACAGCAGTGGCAGTGGAGAAGGTGGTAGCAACTTCGGTGATCTTAGTCTCCTTGGTCTCCTTGGCAGACTCAGTCTGAGTCTCGTGAGTCTTGGACTCTTGCTCGGCGGTCTTGGTCTTGGTCACAACAGCACTGGTTGTCTCAATAACAGTGGAGGTGTGCTCAGCGGTCTTGGTCTTGGTAGGCTGAGCAGTCTGGGTAGCCTTGGTGACAGTGGTGCTGGCGCTGGTCTTGTCCTCGCCGTCGGTATCGGACAGAGTCTTCTTGACATCGATGCTCTCCCAGTCACCAGACTTGTCGGTCCAGACGTACTCCTTGGCACCAGAGCTCTGGCCAGGGGCGTCCTTTCCAGCGTAGTCGACGATGGTGATGCTGCGGTAGTAAGCATCAAAGGGAGCCTGCTTGAAGTCTGTGTAGCCGCCTGCCCACTCTCGAGTTCCCTCGTTGCTGTTCTTGCCACCGGCGACCCAGGTGCCCATCTTGACCTGCATGGGGGTCTGGGGGAAACCGGCGGTGCCCTTGGCATCGGCAGCGTTGAGGGTTCGAACAACGACATCGTCAATGAGCCAGTCGATCTTGGTGGATGTCCACTCAAGAGAGTACTTGTGAGTAGTGGTCAGAGGAGCAGCGACGGCGTGGTACTGAGCACGGTCGTAGGTGGTGGTGTCACCCTTGCTGAAGTAGTTGGACTGGACCTGAGCATCATCACCTCCAACCCACTCCCAGTCCACCTCGTCGAGGTCATCAGACTGAAGAACGGCGCTGGTAACGATGCCCTGACCCTTGGCAGCCTGGACAACAACGTCGACACGGCCGAAGAAGAGGTAGTTGTCTGATCGGATTGTGGGAGCCTCGGTCTCCTTGTTGATGCGGAAAAGAGCACCTCGCTCGCTGTACTTGATTTCTGTGGCAATCATGTTGTGGAAAGCACCGCATTCGCCCTTGGCCAAGTCACATTCGACCTTGGCGTCTCCAAAAGCAGGGTTAGGAGGGCAAGCTATGAGATGTTAGTATGTATTGCAGTTATGAGATGGATAGTTGACTTACTCTTCTTCAAAGGGTTGCATTCGGTGAAAGTTTGTGCGGAAACCATGCCAGCGCAGGCCAAAGCCATGGCGGCAGTAGTGAAGGCTTTTGTGAGCATTGCTGCTGGTGTGTCTGTGTGTATGTTGTGTGTATGTGTTGCTTATATATTCGAGCTGTGGTCAAGTAGCGTCTGAGCGAGAGAGACAACGACTTATATGAGCGATAGTGTGTAAACCTCTTTAGCGATAGTGATTTGATGTCTAATAATGACAGTGCTGTAAAGAAAACGGGAGAGGAGTATTAAAAGCGTGTGAGTGATGATAAACAGATAGATAGATACAATTATGAAGCTGAGAAAGAAAACGAGGGAACAGTCAATGTTTTAATGGTAAACGCCTTTGGTCTCGGCGTCTCGAGACAAGACAAGACTAGAGTCTGAAGGCGCTTCGATCTTGTGGATCTCTTTAACCCCTGGCCCTGATCCTTGTAAGGGCCCTCCCGCCAAGAAGGGCCAAGGGTAAGCCCCCTGTCATGTCATGAGAAGACAGAATCGAGAGACATTCCGGTTTCGAACGAGACACAGAAAAAGAGGGAAAAGCTTCAGACAGCTGATGGTCTGACACGATAAGGTACGTACTCTGAAGGCTGACAGTTTATGGTTAAGCCACTTGTCACTGTCGGCTCACATAGAGTTACACAACTCCCCTAAACTTTACTCTATTTCACTGACTGGCTGTACCGTATCTTGCTTCAGTAAAAGTGTATAGACGAAATGATATGTTGAGCTTGCCTATCAGTCGCTTGGGCTGGTTCGGGTAGGGAGTCACTGGGCGAGATACGAATTCGTACAGATAATCTTAGCTTCTTGGCTCTATGGTCATTCACAGCTCAAACCCATGTCGAGTGACAATCGGATTCTGTTAATAATCCGTGATGATCTTCTGAGAAGTGTGGCAATGTGGATAATGTTTAGACGAACCGTGCTAGCCATGACGTCTTTTTTCTCGTCTGTCGTATAGCAGTTTACATACCAGAACATCTTGGATATGTATTTACATTTATTATTGTCAGTGAGATTCTCACAGTATCGATATCCGTGAAGTTCCAAAACATTTCATGACGAATCTCATTGTGAAACTCCCTACCTCATGCAGAAGCCAACCAGTCAGAGACGAGGAGTTCCTGACGATCACCCTGTTCTGACACGCACCGTCTTGAATTCGTCAACTGGTTTCGTACTGAACCAACTAAAATTCCTCGAGTCAAGAAAAAAAAATGAAGAGGCTGAGGGAATTCCAGAACATGGCGAAATACGAAACTTACCAGCCTTGAGTAGCAATGTTGGTCACATTTCGTAAAAATAGGTACAACATCCAGACTCACAAGTTTCTCGGCACGTTTGCCGATAGTTTTGCGGGCAATTCTGATAAGGGAAATGGGGAAGAACAGGGGAGGATGGATGAGAGGCAAAGACAGACGGAGGAGACGAGAGGCGCAGACCATCTCGGCACTATCTTGGCCTAGTCTGGGCTGGACCCCTGAAAGCTGGGCTACCTTTGGGCTGGACTAGGCTAGGGAACTGGCTAACTGGGTGTTCATGTTGCTGCAAGACAATCTCATCCCTTGAATCCCAGGGTCTCGGTTTGTATCACGCATCAAGGGAGTCCCGAGTTCGTATGTACATCAACCTCAGCTTTGACTCTTGATTAACCATCTCCATAGAGACAAGAGAGCAAACACGAGATGACCAACTCTTGGCGTATGTCACTAGTCACTTGCCCAATCTATCGGGTCCTTCGTATAGCAAATTGCTTTCTTCTCTTGGCAGGCTAATACACTATCAGAGCGTCATATTCTTTTGGTGGACGACTGTTAGAGCCGAGCACAGAACAACTTCATCTTATTTCTCCACTGCTAGCGAGCAGCATTCCCCATATCTCTTTTACTTTCAGTCTGTTCTTTGCCCTTCACCAACGGTTGAGACCGAAAATGACCCGCTTGGATATCAGCTTTTCACTTGATATGATCCATCCAAGTTGGTACAGTAGCAGTGCTAGTTGACATTATTGCCATTGTCATTCCCTTCTACCAGTAGACTATTGGAGAATATCACGAGTTACAGTAACAGTAACAGTAGATCAGCGCGCGCCACAATCGACTTCTAATTTTACTCTTTTTCTTGACCAGTCTAGGTTAGCTTTAGTTTTTATGTCACCTGGACCTACAGAGCAATCATCTCGAGTCTAGTCCAGTCTAGCCTAGGTCATCCCGAGCTCTAACCCAAGTTGAGCCTCTTCTCTCATATGTAACGTTGGGCTGGATCTGGGGTCGCTTGATGGGTGGTCCCTGAATATCGGTCAAGTACGTGCTCTAGTTGCATGATTGACAGTTTATTACAGTAGAATCTAATATATTAATTGAGGCCCAACTCTGCTATAGATTGTTGGTACTATGTAATTGCACCACTCTATCTGTTTCTCTTAGTTCATCCTTTGTTTCACTCCGTCACACATTCCCCATTCCTCATAAATTGTATTGTTTGCATAAAACGTGACAAGGCCAAGTGAAACTATGTCATGTCAAGACAGTCAAATTAGGGCTACTGATTCAATCATCAGATCAACCAAGACATAACTCTATTCATAACAAAACACTATCCGAATCTTTCTCTTGTCCGTTAACCCTTCTCGAATGCCGAGTCTCCACCCCTTGACTTTTAACCGATCCTCAGTTTCAGAAATGGAGAACCTCGACGAATCATGTTACTAAAGGGCATTCAACCCTCTGAATATCCCTTGGGAGAAACAAACCCAAGCCTTGACGCGCGGTTTTTTCAGAATATTTTTTCATGTGAGAGATTAAGATTTTCAATGTTGACGCATTGGTTGTAAATCACCGCCACTTTGGACCATATACGAAGTGATCGACCTGTTAGAGTCCACCATTTGATCTTTCCTTGACGTTTACGGATGTTCATCTTGGCAGGTTCTTTCTACTGGTCTCTCAACGATGCTTCTGTCAGTATTTGGGTCCTCAGTCGATATCTGCAGATCATGTAACCTTGTATACTGTGTAGTCATCTCAACACACAGTCTTCGATCTGCTCCTTCAAAGGAGCATCAATAAAATAATCACATATTGAAACCAGATCGAATGTTGCCCTGTCCCTGGCAGTTTCCAAGATGCCGGTATAAGTAATCAAGTTTCAGATCCTACACTTCGAGTTCATGCACTCGTAACTCGAGACGAAACTTGTGCGTATCATTTCTCTTTCAAGGGTGTCATATCATACGGGTACATTTATCTGAAACCAGAAGCACATGACAATCAAGGTTAATAGGTAGGTTAATCTTAGAGTGTATTTGATGCTTGTCCATGACCTTCACGCAGATGACTACCCTATACCAATATACAGTAGACATTAACGTAATTACCAACCCTACCAACACCATCTAATTGACTAAACGAAAGATGCAGATAGGTTCTTGTTGAATATGTTTTAGCCTATATTATATCATATTTCTGCTGCATGTTTCTGGTAGCCTGTTTAGTACAACCCTAGTTTCGACTTAAACTGACATTACCCAAGCAAGATGAATGCACATTGAGTAGTCTTTGTTCCCATGTCATACAACACATATGCAATAACAACATTGACAAGTGGGTGTTCAGTCGAGAATACAGAATCTTTCAGGTCTTTGCGACCGATGTATCGCACATTCTTCAACATATGAATTATCTGAGTTATACTACTTGTTTTGAGATGGACTACTATACGGATCAAAGTGCAACAGTTGCTGATGACAGATTGAATCATTTCGATAGGCTGAGTAACATAATCTACCGTCTATTTAAATCAGAACTAAAACACGTTTCTTTGTGATTGTCTGTCGCCAAGGTACGAGATGCTAATATTATTGGGCAGTGTCACAACAATAACTATCCCACACCAACATCCTGTCAGCAATCAACCACCCACCACCAGCTCAGCTACTAAAAGCACGCTTAGAGTATGTAACATTCCTGTCAAAGCAACTGACAAATAAACAACGTATCAAATCAATGTCTGTGAGTCATCTGATAGACCCCAGGATCGTCGGGACGGAAACTAGCCTCGATTGCAGCTGCACAAGTCTGTCCCAGTGCAAAGGCAGCACCAGCAGATCGTACCTAAGGCGTAATATTGGCCCTTTACCGCCTTCAGTCTGTGCCTTGCATAAACTAAAATAGTCTCGAGTGCGGAGGGGAGGATGTCACGGCAGTCTGTGGGTAAGATGGGATGAGGAAGCCAGGCAGCTTAGACGCTAGTTCAATTTTCGAGGACACCACTATGAACCAGAATGAAGGGTTATCAGAGTATGTATTGTATGCGTAGAGTCAGTGTTAGGTTGCTATTGAACTGCTGCCAATGGGATTTTGATGTGACTGTTTCTTTGTTGATTTGGGGAAGTAGACAAACAAGATGCAACCCTCTTCTTTCATAGATCGATCAACAGGGACACAAGATCTTGATCATACAATGTTAACAACCCGGACTGTCATTATATGCACGATCATGCAGTGCGGATACAGATCCCGAGTGACAGCTGCACGTACATGATTCATGTCTACATCCATGTCCGACCCTCTTCGGCATCTTGTCATGACCGTCACTCTCCTCCCCAAGTCTACAGCCATCGTTTGACCCTCTCCACTAACCAAACTGCCTAACAAAGGTCCATAGAGGTAACCAAGTATCATCAGACCAAAGAAAATCAGCCCTAGGTGGAAACAAAGTTATCGACCAAGTGGCGGACGCCTCTTTCTTGCACGGTTACAACGGCAATCCCAGGAACCAGGCACCGCTCTTTCATCATGAACACCAGCTTACTATGTAGACCGACTTTGTGAGAGAGCGTCATGGTTCCCGTTGGAAAAGCTTAAAGCCACCGTTTTGCTTTCTCTTTCGCGGTGTTCTGCTGAGACGTTAAAGGCGTTGACGCCACAAGAAAACAGATCCGTGGCGTCTAGATCGATATCGTTTCGAAACAGAAAGGGAGACTATACTTATGATGGATTTAGCGTCAGGGTCGTGACGTTTTCCATTGGGGAGAGCCGTTTGACTCCAACGTTTGGGGCGCTGAGAAGACGCCGGATTTGGTCAAAGGCCATGAAATGGTGGATTCTTTCTTTTTATTCTAGAAGGAAGAGTGTGTGTGACGTAAGTCAGTCGATCATATGGTGTAAGTGAGAAAGAGTCACGGCTGTTTGATAGAAAGCATGAAAGAAATAGTATATATGGTTCATGAGACCGGGGTCCTTTTGGTTCATCATCACTCTCTTGTTCGGCCATTCATTCACTCACTTCTTTCAAAATGGCCTGGTCAAAGTCCTTCGTTCTTCTGATCGCCTCCTACAGCGTTGCCGGTGTTCAAGCAGGCCCATGCAAGCCTCGCTCACCCAGTTCCACTATCCCTACCTATCCGGTACCCCAGTCACTCTCTACCAAGACCACCACTGTCACTTCTTCAGCTACAATAGTTACTTCTGTGCCTTGCTATGGCTCAGACTGTAGTTCCAACACTCTCGTTTCAACAACCAAGGCCACTTCTATTCCTTGTTATGGCCCCAACTGCAGTATTCCATGCTACGGTCCGTATTGCAACTCTGGCAGTACATCCACTCTCGTTTCCGCAAACACCCAAACCACTTCTATACCATGCTATGGTTCAGATTGTAGCTCTGCCACTCTTTCAAAGACCACCGGTCTATCTACTGGAACAGAGCAATCCTCAGCTACTACTTCTCACGAAGCCTCTTCAGGCACCACAACCATACCAAATGGCTCTTCCACAACATCTTCTTTGTCCACTTCTGGCATGACCAACACACAAACCACAACTAACACCGATACAACAAAGGATACTTCTGTTACTACCAAGGGAAGCTCTACCACAGCTGAGCGCAGCACTGACACTGCTTCAACACAAACTGGTGCTTTCAGCACAACCCAACAGACCTCTACTGCTACCACATCTGCTACACGATCTGGTACCACAGAGACTAACACACTCTCTACAAACACTGGAAGTACCCTTACTGCAAAGACCGAGACCACAACTGTAACTGGTTCAACATCTACCAATACGCTCTCTACAAATACAGTCTCTACCGGCGCATCCTCTACAAAGACCGATACCACAACCGGATCGGCTTACACCAATACGCTCTCTACCAACACAGTCCCTACAGGCACTCTTTCTACAAACACGGCTTCTACCAATACTGGAAATACTGAGACAACAACTGGATCAGTTTCAACCAATACGCTCTCTACAGGCACTCTCTCTACAAACACTGGAAGCACTCTCACTGCCAAGACCGAGACCACAACTGCAACTGGGTCAGCTTCCACCAACACTCTCTCTACCAATACAGTGTCTACAAACACGATCTCTACAAATACTGGAAAGACTGATACCACAACTGGATCAGCTTCCACCAGCACTCAAAGCAGCTCGGCTACAGCGAGCATTACTGTCTCAAGTGACACTACCGCTTCTTCAAGCACCACCACAGGATATGACACCTTCACCTCTACAAACACCCAGAGCAAATCATCAGAGACGACCACTAGCAGTGGTACTTCTCAGACATCAGGATCGAACACTTCTGGTTCTACTACAGTAACCTCAGCTACAAGTGAGGGTTCTTCCACTACTCAGAAGAGTACCACCGGAAGCGAGACTTCCACTATGACACAGTCTTCGCAGACCACTTCTATTCCCTACGTTCCTAGTACTTCCACGAACTCCGGTAGCTCCTCGGTCGCTACGACCCAGACTACAACTGGATCCGGGTCTTCTACTACCGGTGCTTCATCATCTACAATTGGATCTTCGACTCAGACCGGAGGTTCTACTACAACCGGGTCGGTAACTTCTGTGACTGTTATTTCGTCATCGACTGGTAGCTCTTCGGTTGTTACTACTCAGACAGATTACACAACTGGTTCTGGATCTTCCACAACTGGTGCTTCCTCATCTACTGGAGACTCTTCGACTCAGACTGGAAGCTCTACTACAACTGGAACTGCAACTGCACAGACTGGCACTTCCACCACGTCTGACAGTTCTTCAGCTACTACTACACAGACCATTTCTTCAACTGGATCTGCATCTTCTACCACTGGTGGTTCAACATCAACTGGCGGCTCTACCACACAGTCCACTGGAACTTCTTCCACCGGAGGAAGTACATCCACATCAGTGCCTTATTCGGTACCTAGTGGAACATCCAGTGCTTCAACTTCCCAGTCATCAAACACTTCTCAAAGCTCGGGTATTTCCTCCACAACCAACTCGGTCCCTTCAACTACAGCTACACAGCCCTCAACCACTCAAGTTACATCAACTACCGCCTCGGGGTCATCCACAATCACATCCATCCCATATTCCGTTCCGACAACCATGTCAACAAAGACCTCATATGGAACATCATCAGCGACATCAGGCTACCCACCACCAAAGCCAACTTGCTTCCGCTACACTCTCGTCGAGAATCCTCCCACCCCAGGAAAGTGTGGCAACACGGGTCTTAGCGGTGGCAGAAAACCCAACTTTCTCGGCAAAGGTGATGCAGACAGCCTCGAGACGTGTGGACAGAGCTGTGGTGAGAAGAAGGGGTGCAAGGTTGTTGTCTACGGCTACAAAGAGTCTGATTACAACAGACCCTATTGCCAGTTGCTCGATGGACCTCAAATTCGTGAAGCTAGAGATAGTACAGCGTGGAGATGGTATGATATGTCTTGCTTCAACCCGGATTGTGTCGCACCACCTGGGTATGAATGCGGTTATTAAATGAGTTTGGCATTTTCCCTTGGTGTTCATTTGTCTAGCCATGGCGTTTTGTCTTCTATATACCGTTTCATCAATAGAACATCTGCTCTTTTACATCCCACTCTTGAAAAGACCCCATTCCTCGCAGTGTCTTAGTGATCACAATGCTTCATTGTGCTTGATTCAAATTGTTTTTAGCTGAAATCTCCTATTCGAGGACCGAAATACTCATTCTGAGCAAGAGTCTTGAGAAAGCAAGACTGAGTCCCATCACAACCTTCGTACGGAACTCTGTTACCCCACCAGTCAAGATTGATGTCGTGATATTGCAAGCCAAAGAAAATAACCAGTGCAGATATGGCGATACCGACCGAGAAAGCGGCAGAGAGGATATAATTATACTGAGAAACCATTAGTACTCGAACAAGACTGTTGTGTAAAAGCATACCTTGGCCCAGAATGCGAGATATCGCTTCTTGATATACATCCAGGAAAGCCAGCCAATCGGCACAGCAGGCCAGATATAAGTGATGTTGTAAGGCGCCCAGAGCATACCTCCCGCAAGAAAAACAACTGGGTGAATACTCCGTATGAACTTAATGTTTGGGTATTTCTTCCCAAGCCACCAGAAGAGAAGAACGATAGCCACGCCAAACGGGAAGCCCATCAAAGCCTCGACATATTGACCCCCAGGGCCGAATAACTTCTTAGGTCCAATAGTCCCCCAAAGCACAGCCGCAGTGAAGAAGTTGTTCATGCCAGGACACATAAAACGGTATGGAGCATCCTGTGTACACACGCCCTCCAGACTTATCTGGTACTGCAATACACCGACGGAAACAAGCGTCGACACAAACGTGGGGACCATCTGTGCCCAAAAGGTAAAACGTGGTGGTATCTTGAGGTAGTGCGCTAGTTTTAGGTCTGCACTGAAGTAGACTGCTTGAGCGCAAGTGCTGTATCCAAAGGCTTTGAAGAAACACATGGCAATGGCGTTACCCTCGACAAAGGCACCACCGAGGAATTCGGACAAGACGTTAAGTGAGACGCCAATTCCAGTGGTTGCTGATATAATGCCAACAGGGACGACAAATATCAGACTCAAGATGACACCGAAAGGCACGACTGCGGGTGTGGTGTGTGTTGGCCATTGAGATACACCGACAACGCCTACAGTGAAAGCTATCACAAGACATGCCAAGTACCACCACTCGGGGACTTCGCGGTAGGTCTTCATTTGACGATTGTGTGCATCCATTACTTGCTCATCCTCAGATTCATTCTTCCTTGACGGGCGGAAACTGTCAGCTAATCCCCTGAGCCCCATGGTGATTGTTCGGTGGTGATATAGCACAGCATAGGTAATGGCAGCCGTATAGAGGGAGAACAAGAACATGTAAGAGCTAATATGTGCAGCTGACAGAAATGCAGGCGAGTATGCTTCGTACTTTTCAGAGTCAAAAATACCGCGCTCATCAATGATGGCAGATACGTTATACAGCCCCCCAAAGTGATCAAACACTCTGTTCGAGTTGATGGGCAGATAAGCAGTGCTATAGCCATTCCCGTAGTAAACGCCAAGTATAACAAAGCAAGTCAGCAGTGCGCCACATAATAGATTAAAGGTTGCGAAGAAGGGCACCATGAGAGGATCACAACCCAGCGTAACTATGTTCCAGTCAAACGTTGGGAAGGGATTGATGCCCAGGCCAGTATATCCGCCCGTAACATTAGCCAAGTCGCCGTTGTTGGGGGATATCCAGGTCATCCAACTGAACCAACTCAGGCCAGCAAAAAGATAATTGGGTAGCCAGAAGTAAGCAAACATTGCGCAAAAGGCTATGCTGAAAAATCTAAAGCGAGATGTGTTCCATATCCTCTTGAAGGGACCCGGCACTGGGACGTCTCCCTCATCGTGTAGTGCCGTGTTGAGGGCGATGTATACCAATGTCGTTGGCCACAGACAATATGAAGGGTAGACGAGGAAGCGTCTACAAATACCAGCAAGTCCATAACCGATGAACTTGCTGGAAAGACCGAGTAGGATCTGATATCCCATGCTCAATGCGTAGGGTTGATTAAAGTACTGCGGAAGATACTGGATCCAAATGATGTAGTTTGTATATGGCGTTCCCATAGAGATGCTCGACATAATAGTAATCAACATATGTTCTTTCTTGTTGAACTTTCCAGGATTGAGACTGTGTCGCGCACCGAAGAGAGTGAAACCAATATCGGGCAGAATCTTCTCGAGGAACATTCCAAAAGGGTATGCCAGGAGTTGAGGCACCGCCAAACTGACGCCGATCGTGGGTTGACGGATCTCGAAGAAGCTGTTGATGAAGGAGGCGGTGCAGGAGAAGATAAGACCGATGAACCAGGCGCGTATCGTGGAGCAGGGCATGCTTGGGTCATCATGGTTATCGACCACGGCGCGGACTTCAGCGTATGGTGAATTGTGTGTGATCAACGCTGCCTCGACCTTTATCTCTTTTATGAGTGTCTGATGTCGTTCAGGATGTTTTAAGACATCATCTTGGTCTGTGATATGTGAGTGTGTGTTGTTTGGATGCTTGTGGGTTAATATACCTAGGAAGTATTCAATCTTTTGGATGACTGAGAGAGGAAAGTTGGGATCTCTCTTGTGAAGCTTGTATACCTTGCTCATCATCTATAGCTCGTCAATTCCTGCAAGGTGAGTAAAGAGATTCGAAATTCTCACTTTGTGGACATGTTCCAGAGACAGCGTTGCCGCAATCTCCCTTGCTTCAAGCAAGTCATCTTGGGTAACGTCAAGATCTCTCTTAAATCTGCCCTCAACCTCGTCTGCCTCTTGCGAATTGGGAAGTGAATCATCGCGGGACTATATGACATGTTAGATTGGCCAAAGACGCAAAGGGAATACTGACTCTTTCAGTGAACTCGACATCTGGAGCACTCACTAGAGCCTCCGACTTTTGTGTCTGGCTTGCCATGAGGATAGAATTTTGATGGTCATTGATACTAGAGAATTATGTTGAGAAAGAAGATATGACGACGGGTTTCTGATCCTAAAATAACCAAGTCGGTTGGTAGTACAAGAAGCAAATATATACAATTGGGAGATTAAGGTCAAGCCTCCAGCCCTATATTACCTTGCAAAGATTACATGATCGGCCGCGCGGGTTCATGATTAAAGATGATAAATGCCTTGCCAAGAGATCAGGTCCATCATGTTGCACCAATAGGTTAGCGGCTCACTGGGGATAAATATGCTTATTTTAATAAGCCGCAGTACAAGGGTGAAGTTTATCTCGGCTTGACCGATGGCGATAGATACAAGGCAATGCAATGTAACACAATACGTCAAGCTGACTACGTTTTATGTATGATTTGACTAAACTACTTTAATTGGGTTTCTCAGGCTTACTTTGATCAACGGTGAACAATTAGACAATATTCAAAACATGGTATTGGTCAGCCCTACTGGGCTGTGCATTTTGGCCACCTTGACTCCATCAAATGCATCTTGACGATATCACTTGTTGGTTTACGGGTACATCAAATAGAATATGACTACGCACTGATACAGTTAGTTGACTGTGTTGCGAGACCTCAGTCGGTCGAGACAAGCAAAGGGGCAACAATGGGCTTTATGTAAAGATACAAGTAGTGACCAGAGACTCAATATTCACATGTGATGGACAATTAATTCATAAACAATTTGATTGACTGATTTGACTGATAGGAATCAATGAAACTTGATTAAAACTCAATAAACGAAACCAACGATATCCCGATATTGGCGAAAGAAAGTAATTCCACTTTTAATCCATTATTGCGCACCTGATTGCGCAAGAGCGATCCTCTTCCAGTGATCACGCTCTTCTTCCAACTTGGCAATCTTGTCTTCCAGTTCCTCCATCTTCATTGCCTTGCGCTCCCGAGACTTTCGTGCGGCAAGAGTGTTACGAGCACGCTTCATAGCAATGATGTCACTAGGGTCATCGATGATGATGGGAGGCAGAGGCTTGTCTCGCTTGCGGGCATTAACACCAGCCACAGAAGAGTGGCGAGTGGAAGGCGATGTACCCGACTTGCGACGGGGCATGGGAGGAGACTGAGCATCAGAGTCCAACTCATCAGACTTCATCTCAGGAGAGGTCTCAACACTCAGCTGGGGAACAGCTGAGGGTTCCGTAGGGAACAGAGGAAACCAATCTCCAGCAGGTGTGTCGAAATCGGCATTGCCAAAGTTGGGAGACACATCATACTGGTCAAAGTCCGGAGACTCATTGTAGATGGATGGAGAGGTCAAAGCCGTGAGGGCCGACGAGTTGGGAGCAGACATGAAAGGTTCTTGAACAAGAAGATCCTGAGGCGAGATGGTCGCCAAGTTGGCAATAGAGCTAGACGCACTGCTGCTAAAGTCAAAGACAGAAGCAACAGCAGGTGAGGAAAAGGCCGTGTGGGCCCCGCCCTCGAAGGCAGTGAACTCTTCGAGTTCGACGTCTGATGAAGATGGTGAGCTTGTGGAACTAGTAGATATCTCATCAGAGGGGTACAAACCTGCAGCGTTCATCATCCTGGCGGTTTGTTGCGGGACGCTACCTGTACTCTGGGAAAAAAGAGGTACTGGGGGTCGAGCAGCACGGTTCTGCTGGTTCAATGCAGTAGATGACGAAGGGGCCGAAGAAGCGTAAAACTGGTTCGTGGGGCGGTTGTTGTTTACAGTAGACGAAGGACGACCAAAAGCCTGGAGCAACTGGGCTACTCGTTGATTCTGAACAGCAGGGGAGACAGGCTGTTGGCGGTTTTGCAGATGAGACGAGTGACGACGCTGGTTTGGCAGCGATGTTGTTGTAGAGCGATTAGGGGGCTGATCGAACAAGACAAAGTCCTGACGCGGTGATTCGGGACTCTGTAACTGTTGCGCGGATTGTGCCGGCAGGCTGGGACTGGTGGAGAGAAGCCATGGTGATTGGGGATCCGTGGTGAAGACTGGGAAGTCTTGGCCTGAAATGTTGGCGGTTGTGAGGGAACTGGAGCCGAAGCTATTCAAAGCAGTGCTGAAGTTCAGGTCGACCGTGAGGTGAGCTGAACGGGTTGGTTGAAGAGTGGGGATTAACTTGTTAGGGTCCTGAGACGTAATTTTGACTGAGGCTTGGGGGGAACAACGGGGAAGGGGGGTTGTTTAGAACATCTTGATTGCCTTGGGCTGTAAATCTTGATGTAATTGTGTTTGTATAAAAGTTTGGGGTGAGGAAAGGAAGAGAGGGAAAAAAGAAAGCCTCAGGATGGGCGGATGGGGACAATTTGTATTTCTCAGGCAGCAATCAGGACGAGGGTTTGTGCGAGGTACAAACCCAGAATAGCGGGCCTGAGGTTGACACTAACAATTATTGCCTCAGATGGGGCTTTTCCTCGTTAGCCGATGCTTTGCGTTGCCAAGTACTCCTACCAAAAAGTGCGCCCTTTGGGTCAGCAAGGGTCGGGCAATGAGTCACATTTTTTCGTGCTAAAGCTTAATTAGGACTGGCCGAATGTCTCTGGTGCAACCAATTCTCAACATGGCGCATCCTGCGACAGACCAAAATGCCAGAATTTAGGACTAAGCCTCCACCGTTCATCCTGTACGGCATTGTACTGTACAGCAAAGCAAAGCACAGCCAGCACAACGCATCGCATCACAGAACCATATATAGATACCAAGGTACTGTGAGGACTCAATTTGACCACGCAAGTCTCAAATGGGGCGCCCTGGTATCCTATTTTCCCCGTGTTTTCACTCTCATGCTCCATCTGAGCGCCATTATTCTTATCGTTGTCTTTGACCTCTTGTTGCACTGTAACCAACACTAATATGCTGCCCTGGCGCAGGTAGGCTTAGAAGTTAGCGTATTACTCTCCGTAAGCAACTGACAATGCCCCTGCCTCTAAACTCTCTATTGGCCGAATTTCCATTCCGCCCTGTTGACCTGCTGAAGAACCTGCCAATCACCATCTATCTACGGGTACTAAAACCGTGGGCTCGTGTTTCCAACCTCTTATTGTCCCATACCACAACTACGACGACGACGACGACGACGACGATAATAAACCAGTCTCATGTCGCGAATTCTTGCAGCTGACGAGGATGTTTGAAAAGAGAGAAAAAATAGGACAACGAATCCTTCCTCTGAATAGGGGGTGCAAGTCAACGGTGCCGCCCATACATTGTACAACACATGCATCTCTTATTTGTTCGTTCCCAACTCTTTGTCTCAGTTTGCCTACCAGTCTGCCTACGTATATGCCTACATATGCCTTCCGGCCCGTCCATCCAGCTGCCGTGCCCTGCGCGCCATGAATCGGTCAAGAAATTCGGCGGAAATTTACTCGTCAATTTCCCCATGTTCCAGTCCTAGTGTGATAGAGAGTCCTTGAAATTCGTAGGTCCAGGCATAGCAAATTACCGTCTCAGCCGTCCCATCCGATCGTTGTTACAGTAGGTGGACGAGGAATTGTCCCCATGTTTCAACTCCATCACACTGTGTCAGATTAAATGCCTCTTTTCTTTTCATGTTAGCCGCAGCAACACATTTCGTATTGAGGCAGGGAGGCTACCCTAGTTGGAGTCGAACCATTCATAGACCAGTAATCGGTGGACATGGGCTGAATCTGAGGCCCTCATGAGTTCAGCCCACTCGTGTTGGGATTCTACTACATGGATGGGAAAGTCCTGAAAATCGATTTTCTGCACTGCGTATCAGTATCGTGTTCCTGGTTCTTATCTCTAAATCCTAACTCTCAACACCACCCTCTCTGAGATTATCTTCAACTTCCTATCACAACCCAGCTAGTTAAGACGCTTCTCCAGGCTAGTAAGCAGAAGTGGGTGTTGTCGAATGTCTGCAGGACCAACTGACAAAGCATCTCGACTTTTCTATCCCAGATTGGAAATTCTTCGGGACGCGCAAATGGCGACTCAATCAGTTTAGGCCTGATGTTGGTATCGTCGGAACCTCCTGTTTAGGACTCCGCTCGACGACATATCCTCATATTAAGTGGTATCTCAATTCCGTACAGCGGAATTGACTTCGAAAACTACGACGTCCGATATCTTGATTCCTCATCAAGATCTCCATTCTTCAGTCCAGCCTATCCAAGAATGAATCAGCCTGCTTCTTGGCTCTCCGAGTTGCCATTTCCTCCCTTCGCTTCTCAATTTCCCGTCTTCTAGCCTCCTTCTGTTCCTCACGCACCCGTCGCTGTTCCTCCGTCTTACGCCGCTCTTCCGCGAGCCCCTCCATCTCCGTTGTTCGGGTCTCATCGTCTTGACTAAACTTGTAAAAGCCTGTTCCCTTGGTCCGAATTTCCCAATCTGCGTCGTAGTGCTGCGCTGGCGGTGGTGTTGCGCTGCGGTCTCGCTTCCGCGCCAGCTCTTCCATCTTGTTCGGGTCGTCGGGGTTGAAAGCCATAGATTGTATTGTGTCTCCCACGATGAGGTTGCCCGGCGCGCTGGGTCTTGCCGACATGCGTTCGAGTTCTTCGGCTCCCAATAGACCGCGTCGCGCTCTGCGATCCAACTTTTCCTTTTCTGCTTTGGTGACTTGCCGTACGCGACCAAACTCATCCTCATACTCGACCATCTGGCTGCTTTCCTCATCGTTATCTTCATCGCTGCTCGTCTCATAGTCTTCCTTTGTCTCCTCTCCTTCCGCCCATTTTCGATCAAAGTCTATTAGCGGCGCGGCTTCATTCTCTTTGGCAACATAATCTCCTCGCTTCATCGCTGCGTAAAGACGTGCCTTTTCCTCCATTCGTCGCTTGGCGCGTGCCAACTCTTGAGTTTCTTCCTCTGTGCCAGTAACCTCCTTTAATTGCAGCTTTTTTGATCCATCAGACTCCTTGCTTCGTTTGGGTTTTGAGCCTTTGAATATGTCATCTTTGCCTTCTTTTTGAGAGCGAGACCGGCCAGCTGATGTCGCGCCTGATGAGGAGTTTGACATCAATGATGTCAATTGAGCAGTGAAATCAAGCGAAGTAGATAATGTTGCATCACGCTTCGGCTTTTTAGTAGGACGTTGTCCGTATAGATTCGGGTCCTGTGGCATTTTGTCTGTATTCGATAGTTCGCGTATGTGTTTTTGAGTACTTGGTTGTTGATGATCGCGATGAAGTAAGTACCAAGACGAACGCAATGCCACATGGGCAGTCAAACAAAACCGTTGCTACTCAACCTGAGGCAATCACCACCAAGGCTTGAACAGCAACATCGACAGCCGGGTCAACATTCCAATCACTATAAATAAATACATACTATGAAAACTGAAAATATCATGATTTACAACGTCTGCCTATCATATTCAAAGTGGACTCATCAATTAATTGTGAACCCAATTGGTTATTCCTGAAGTGCCTCCGATTGTAGGGTAATCCACCGCGGGGTTCTGTTGCGTGCTCAAATCACTGTCCTGAGTGCCCCGCCATCGGAGCTTGACTTTATTCCTTCACAAGCTTCATCAACAGTTCTGCAAGTACCACAGCAATCATGGCCGCTACCAAGCAGGTTTTCATCGGAATTATCGGTAATTGAAACATTCGAAACTATAAATACACAACTTTATAAACTAATGTCCCAACAACAGGCGCCGGAGGTGTTGGCAAGGCCTTTATCGACCAGCTCCAGTCCCTTGCTGCTCGAAAGCCATCCCCGAAACTGAACCTTGCCTACATTGCCACGAGCCGCAAGGCCATCTACAACGACGACTACTCTCCCATTAACCTCGAGAACGTCGTTGACACTCTCAGTTCCTCGTCCAAGGCCCCGCTCGCTCTCGCTCAGGTCGTCGAGTACCTTTCCAAAGCCCCCGCCAAGACCGTTCTTGTCGACAACACCAGCTCTCAAGATGTCGCTGAGCTGTACCCCCTTGCTCTGAGCCGAGGCATCAGCATTGTTACACCCAACAAGAAGGCCTTCTCTGGATCATACAAGCTGTGGCAAGACATCTTCTCAGCTGCCGAGTCATCGGGTGCCCGTGTCTACCACGAGTCCTCCGTCGGTGCTGGTCTCCCCGTCATCTCCACCCTGAAGGATCTCGTTGAGACCGGCGACAAGGTCACCAAGATTGAGGGTGTTTTCAGTGGCACCATGTCTTTCCTCTTCAACTCCTTTGCTCCTACTGAGGGCCAGGGCGGCAAGTGGTCTGAGGAGGTCAAGAAGGCCAAGTCTCTGGGCTACACCGAGCCTGACCCCCGAGATGACCTCAACGGTCTTGACGTTGCCCGAAAGCTGACCATTCTCGCTCGTCTGGCTGGAATCCCCGTCGAGTCTCCCACCTCTTTCCCCGTGCAGAGCCTTATCCCCAAGGAGCTCGAGTCTGTTTCCAGCGGCGACGAGTTCCTCGAGAAGCTCCCTGCCTTTGACTCTCAGATGGAGGAGACCAAGGCTGCTGCTGAGAAGGCCGGCAAGGTTGTCCGATTCGTTGGAAGCATCGATGCTGCTTCTAAGCAGGTCAAGGTCGGCCTGGAGCAGTTCGATCGCTCACACCCCATTGCTGCCCTGAAGGGTAGCGATAACATTATCAGCTTCTACACTGAGAGATACGGAAGCAACCCCCTGATCGTCCAGGGTGCGGGTGCTGGAGGTGACGTGACCGCCATGGGAGTCACCGCTGATCTGATCAAGGTTTTGTCGCAGATTGCATGAATGTTGAAATAAAATAGCCAAAAATAAAAGCGCCAAGTTTGAGTTCCCAGCAATTTCGAAGAGAAAAGAACATATTGTTGTGTTTCGCCGTAAACAATTAAAGTGATGCTTTATCTATTCCTGTTGCTATCGCCGCAGCATGTGGGTTCGTTGTAACAACAGTATTGGGCTCGTCAGTCGGTGGAGGATTATCGTTACAGAGGTTCCTCCACGTCCAAAGACAGAAGTCGAATATCACAAGAAGAATGACGGGGACAAATAACATAAGACCTAGGCCGAGCTATCCGCACATTAGTCGCAAGCGCAAAGGTAATCAGGTCAATCAGCACTTACACAGACAAGAGAGATCAAGTTGACGATAGAGGAGTACTCAGGCATTAGAGGACTGAATAGGTTCCATGACGTTTCAGAGGACATGACAGACATTCCGGGCAGCGCTACAGATTGCTTCGAAATAAAAAAGCTCATGACTTGAGAAAAAAGCGAATGATGTTGTGGATGGCAGAATCACAATTCCGAGGCAGCTTCGCTTCAGGGAGGTCGATGCTCCATCTATCGTGACCCAGCAGACAGGGATTATTTCCGCCTTAATTAACATGTGCAATGCAGAGCTGAGCATATTTCACCGCCTTCCAAAATGGTTAATTCTGCCATGCGCAAAGCTTCATCCTCATCTGCCTCACAAATTATCACTGGAAAATGGAAAGTACTTTAACAGCATCATCACAGCAGCAACCATGACAGCAGACCTTCCAAATAAGCAAAAAGGCCGCGAGACAGATCGCATAAAGAGGACCAAGGATGGAGTTACTCAGTTGCCGCGCAAAAAGTTCTATCGCCAGCGAGCGCATGCGAATCCTTTCTCTGACCATATGCTAGAATAGTATGCAGACTGCTCAATCCGTTTCAATTACATTATAACTAACATGCGACAGCCCCAAATCACCAGATGACATGGATTGGTCTCCATACTTTCCTCACTATGTTCAAGAGGAAACATCAGAAGACTCTTCTAAGCCTCCTCGTCTGACAAAAGATGTTGAGATTGTCGATATTGGTTGCGGATTCGGAGGTCTTACGGTTGCTCTGGCTCCCAAGTTGCCAAACACTCTCACACTTGGTAAGTGGAGTGCGAAATGGTTATCAGCGAATGTGTATTGATAAAAGTAGGCCTGGAGATTCGTACACAAGTGGCAGGATACGTTCAAGAACGTATAAAAGCGCTGCGATCACAAAACTCGGACAACATGTACCAGAACGTTGCCTGCATCCGAGCAAACACGATGAAGTTCCTTCCCAATTTCTTCAAGAAGGCCCAGCTGTCCAAGATCTTCATCTGCTTTCCCGACCCTCACTTCAAGGCCAGGAAGCACAAGGCCAGAATTGTGTCGACAACGCTGAACTCGGAGTATGCCTATGCGCTCCGACCCGGTGGCATCGTCTACACCATTACCGATGTTGAGGACTTGCATTTGTGGATGGTTCAGCATCTCGAGGCTCACCCTGCATTCGAGAGGATTTCCAAGGAAGAGGAAGAGGCGGACGAGTGTGTCCATGTCATGTCGACTGAAACCGAAGAAAGCAAGAAGGTTACTAGAAATAACGGACAAAAGTTTGTAGCGTTGTTTCGAAGACTTGAGGATCCTCCGTGGTAGAATTTAACTTAGCGATACTGGTAATAAGGGTAACAATATTGGTTATATGAACATCCCATTCTTTATCAATAACAAGACGACTTACGCATAACTAATGTGGTAAGCCATAAGGAATCTAGTGGGTAGCAGAAAAGTTGGCCTCCCAAGTCTTAGGGTATAGAAACAAGTAAGGTAAGAGGTATAGTTTAAGTAGCATAAACTGACCTACTGATTTCGTCTCTTATGCTTCTACCGGCCAACTTTTCTGATACCATCAATCGAGTTGTACCTGCAGACTGCCAGTCATCACTGAGGTGAGGGGTGCTGTCCAGGGTTCCTTGTCCCGCAGACTATTTTGACAGGGGTCAAGCAACAAAATGACAGCATCCTTCTCCGCTGTAATCGACAGCCACCTCACCTTAAGTTAGTTAGACCAGTCCCGGTCTTAACCTCCACTACCTATTATCGCATCACCGACTTTACTACTTACACCCGTCCATCTTCGTTCAAGAATGTGGCTTTGAGGTCAACATCCTGGTGATGGCCCTCAAGCGTAGAGATGTTATTGTTGCAGGACTCGCTGCCTTCATAGCCTGGGGCTTTGCTGCGAGCTGGTCACCCGTTCTCCGCTGGGCAGGCCATGCCTTTGTTGCCGGCTCCTTCGTCACCCTCGTCCTTCTCTTGGCCGGCCTCTTCCTTGTCTCGAGACGCCCAAACGACCGAACCCTGCCACCGAATGGCGTCACCTTCCTAAATCCAAAATCATGGCGATCAGAGGTGCAGGCGCTGCGCCAGCGACAATCATATACTCCAACCCAAATACAACCCGAATCACCCCGCGTTTCTAAAGCTATCGACGGTTTGCTCGGCCTCATAATCCGCGATTTTGTTAGCAGTTGGTATTCCAATATAAGTCGCAATCCGACCTTTACGAACCAGGTCGACAAAGCTGTGCGCGAGGCGCTGCTGAGCTTGTGTGATATCCTACGAGATAAGGATCTGGCGGACCTCCTCACTAGTCGTCTTGTTCCTCTCCTCACCGCCCACTTTCGAGATTTCTACGAAGCAGAGAAATCAGTACGGGGGAAGAAGCTTAACCGCTCAGTTACTGAATCCGAAGAACTCGACCTCGCTATTGCTTCAAAATTCCGCGATGGACGCCTACACCCTGCTGCGTCATTGTCGTTTCCCGATACCAAGATGGTTCAACAAGACTACCTGCGATCTCTTGTCGCAAAGATTATGCCACAAATTCTTCCGGAGAACATGTTGTCTAGTCGAGCTGTCTCCATCATCATTCGCGAGATTGTTGGGTGTGCAGTGTTATTTCCCGTGATTCAACTTCTTTCCGAGCCCGATACATGGAATCAACTAATGGAGAATATGGGCCGTTCAATGCTGCAAGACAGATCAACAGTACGCAAGCTTCGTGCAGCTTTGGATCAGCATGCTCCCTCTACGCCAAAGTCCAGCAAACTAGCGTCTATGCCTAGAGTTGCGCCAGGCGATAGCGAGCGCAAGTTTGAAAAGTTCATCCGTGCTATTCGGAAGGTCAACAACCTGTCAGATGCACGCCGTTTTCGCAGCGAAGTTGCCAGTCAACTCAAAAGGGATTCTTCTCAGGATAACCAGGACCAGGTCTACCTTCGTCGATTGGAGATGGGAAAGAGGCTACTCGATCAACGAGTGACTCACCTTGCTGCTGGTGGTGAACGCCGTCCACCTGGGCCATTGCCTGTACCATCCACTTCTTCAAAGTCCAAGCTGGAAAGCGCGCCCTTGGTGGACTTCCTGAGAGATCCTTCAGCACTTTCCTATTTTATGGAATACATGGATCGTCAAAATCTGATGCCCTTGGTACAGTTCTGGCTTGTTGTCGACGGTTTCCGAAGCCCCCTGGAGGAAGATGGCCCGGACGATGAGCTGCCATCGACGCTCCCTATGTGGACTGACGCGGATCGTCAAGACTTACAGCAGATAAATCAAGCATACTTATCAAGGTCTGAGTTAAAGGTTCCGGACCATTCAAAGAACGAAGTGAAAGAGTTTATCAAGGCAGGGAAAACAGCCACGCCGATGCAGTACTACAGAGCCCGACAGGCTATTTTGAAAGCTCAAAGTGCAGTTTTGGAGGAGATGCGCGAGCGTTTCTTCCACGGTTTCAAGAAATCCGACCTCTTCTATAAATGTCTTGCCGCTGAGGAAGCAGCCAATATCCAGACCCTCCGATCAACACCTCAACCAGAAGCACAAACATTGGCGCCCGGTCGATCTAGTAAGACTTTGCCAGCGAAGCCAAGACCAGTTTCACGGTTAACCACACAACTATCCAACACGAGCAAACGTACAGGATCTGCTTCGGACCTCAGATCTCTGAACTCCAATGGCAACGGCCTTGGTCATCGAGTTAGACGCTCACTTGACGAGGGCTCTTCTACTCCCCTGTTTGACGACGACGACATTGATACCGATGGCTTGGGAGATTCTGTGCAAAGCCTGGAGGCAGAGACAAACAGTCAACAACTGCCGGACACTCAGGTTGTTCAGGCAGTGGAGGAAGCGCTCACAAACATCATGGAAAATGATCGTCCACAGACCGCTGAGGATCTGCGCGCGTCCCTTTTCGAAAACAGTGGCATTGGTAGTATTGGTGGCATCGATGATAATACGTCGAGCCTCTTCTCAGGTCACGACAACGAATCCAATCGTGGCTCTCTTGACATGGGAGTGCGACCAGGCGCCTTGCTCAAAGAAGGAGAAAAGCCAAGCCTTTCGTCGCTTGGTCTTGTCAGTGCGGCCTCACGAATCGGCGTCTTTGTTGATGATGATCTATTTGGTGATAATAACAAAGATCTCCCTGATGACGGCGATCCAGACGAAGGTCCGCCACCTGATGATGAAGACGAAGTGCACGAAGCAGCACCAGGAGATCTTGGACTAGCCGAAGCAATCACTGCTCTTTCTAATGACATTGATCGCCTGGTAGCACAGGAGGCGGTCGTGGAGTCCCTAACGCGGAAAGCAGAGTTGACAAACAACACTGCCGAGCTACGCATCCTTAGGAAGTCGAAAGCGTCTTTGCAAAGGGAGATTAGGCGCAAGGAGCTTCAACGTCAGCAGTATGTCATCCAAGAGAGCGATAATAGTCTCTACGGCCGCTCCACTATCAGGATCAAATCCATTCAGGTCGGAAGAGAAGAAGACGGCAGAGAGTTTGCCCTATACGTTATCGAAGTGCAAAGAAATGCTGGAGAGCAGATGCCCGCGGCTTCATGGGTGATTTCGCGGCGATACAGCGAGTTCCACGAACTTCACCAAAAGCTACGGTCCCGTTACCCGTCGGTCCGGAATCTTGACTTTCCTCGGCGACGTATGGTTATGAAGTTCCAAAGCGAATTTCTACGCAAGAGACGAACTGCTCTCGAGCAGTATCTGCAAGATCTACTGCTACTGCCCGAAGCATGCCGTAGCCGAGAGCTCAGAGCATTCCTTTCGCAGAGTGTGATAACACAAGGTCAAGATATTCTGGATCGCGAAGACAAGAAGGATATGATGACGCGGCTGTATGATTCTGTTGCAGATGGAATGGACGATATTCTTGGAAACATCCCCGTTCTGGACCAGATATCTGAGGCTGGCCAGAGTCTAATCGCGGCGGCTACAAACCAGCTCAACACGGTTCCACTCAATGTCGACGAAGAGAACTTTCCAGCCGCCGAAGCCGAGGCTGAATTAAACGCCTTTGAGAATAAGGAACTTGAACCGTTCATCAAACCGATTTGCGACATCTTCCTTGAGATATTCGAGCTTAACAAGGGAAACAACTGGCTCCGCGGAAGAGCTGTCGTAGTTGTTCTGCAACAACTTCTTGGCGGTACGATTGAGAGAAAAGTGCGGGATAATGTCAAGATGCTTTCTCAAGACGACAATGTTCTCAAATGTATCAGCTTGGTTCAGGACAGCCTGTGGCCTGGAGGAGAGATGCAACGTGATCGAAAACCACGAACAGCCGCTGAGAAGAAAAAGACACGGACTGAGGCGAGTCTGATGCTGGCCACACTGGTGCCAGATCTCGCTGGCAGTGTTGTGGGAAGAGTCAATGCGCAAGCAGCGAGTCGTCGTATCTTTGCGACGTTGAATAACTCGAGGTTGAAGTATGTCATTTGATTAGGAAATCGTCTCGTATGAGAGAGGACTTGGCTAACTCGTTCACAGTGCACACCTCGCATTCACTATGATTGATGAAATCGTCTCGGTCCTATTCGAGGAACCGTAAGGCCCTAATGAAAAGATCTTCTTCTTATTATTCTCCACCAAGCACATGATAGAGTGCGCAGCAAGGCGTTGGGCGTCACTGACAAGGAATCAAGTTGGGCTGAGATGAAAATTATGTGGTAATTGGCGAAAAATGACTTGCGTCCTGTCTGTAACGAAACCTTTTTTATGCTGTTATTGAGTTAGTAACATAGATTCATGAGGAGGCTATGAAATAATAGTAATGACAATGGCTGGTTTTTCTGCATTCTGATAAAGATCAACTATAAAGTTTAAAGTCTCCTACGTAGTATCAATCCCAACAAGCCGGGCACTTACTTACAGCGCCTAGCATGAGCGTGCAGCAGCATTAATGCAGGCAAAGGCGTTCGCATGTGACGCTAACAAAGCATCTTCAGCGCCCGAGATAGCGGGATCCGGGGCACCTTCTCGATCTGGTGTTCTGCCAGACTTGTCCGCCTTTTGCCCCAGCCTTCTTCGTCGCGTAAGGTTTAGAGTCTAGCTTGTCCATGTCGCACTCTTCTCCTCTCCACCAACATATCTTCATTATCACCCATCCTCGTCTACTCGTCACCTAAGAAAACCCCGCGTTTTCTGTACTTCTTGGTCCATCGCGCGCAACTGGCTCTGGACTTCTGGAATCTCTCTGGCTAGATCAATACTTCGAATTTTTGCACCTCGCTTTCCTTTTGGATCCCATCTCTCGCTTGACTACGGTCCTCCTCCAACCGGCAACATGACGGAGGTATCAGCCACCCGGCTGTACTTGGGAAACCTCCCTCGCAATGGTCCGGACTCATCGCCCTGACGCTCCTAGTCAACCCACTGACATGCTGCCCAACAGCTACCAAATCCGACGTCGAGGCTCACTTCGCGACTCATGGCACTGGAGAAATCACCGAAGTGAAGCTTATGAACGGCTTCGGTTTCATCGAGTACAAGGACCCAATGGATGCCCGCGACGTTGTTCCAGGTGAGTCATATCATTGACCCTCTCGTTGTGACTCTTGCTAATCAATTTTGACAGCTTTCCGTACGTTATTGTTTAACATCATCCCCCTCATTCCTGGCTAATTCGCGACTTCGAAAGATGGTTCTGATTTCATGGGGGAACGACTTACCGTCCAGTTCGCCCGTGGTTCCCGGCATCGCGAGGGCGGCAATTTTGGCAACCATGAGCGCACTGCGCCTCGGCCTCGCCGAACCCCTCATCGAATGCAGATTACGGGACTACCAAATGATACCTCTTGGCAGGTCTGTTCATCCTCCCCGTTGTTGATCGCTGGACTCCATGGACCTTCCCTTTGTGATTTGCGCGCATCTCTGGCTTTTCTGGTTTCGACCCATTGGAACTGCACCGGGATTAGTTCCAGGGGACAACAATCAAGGACCCCCTCCCGCTCTTCTGGTTTTGCTTCCTGGTTCTTGTCTTGACGGATTGCGCTTTCGTTTTGTGCATTACATGGACTTCCGGCGTTTCCCTTTCCTGGACAGCAACTTACGTGGATTCTGGAAATAGGACCTCAAGGACTTTGCACGTCAGTCCAGCTTGGACGTGGTTTACTCCGAGACAGGCCGTGATTCGAACGGCCGAGGGTGAGTTAAGTTTTATGCGTGTCGAGGTCATTATTAATGAATTGTAGATTCGTTGAATTCGAGACTGCTGCTGACTTGAGAACTGCTGTCGAGAAGCTGGATGGTCGCGAGTTTAAGGGCCAGCGAGTCCAGTGTGTCGCCGACGTATGACAAGGTAGCCCCATTCAACTGTGAGAACTGTAAATTGACTCGACGCTTCAGACTCAGCCGGACATGCCTCCTCGCGAGCGCGGCCGATCGCGCTCTCCTGGACGACGCCCTTACCCCCCTCCCGTGGACGATTACGACCGCCGCGGTCCTCCCCGAGGTTATAGCCCTCGTCGAGACGGATATGGCTACCGTGATCGTAGTCCGCGTCGCGACTATTACGACGACCGTGCTCGCTATCGATCCCCACCTCGTCGCCCTATGGAGGATTATCCTCCCCCTCCTCCTCGCGGTCGATACGATGATCCATACCGACGCGATTACCCTCCTCCCCCGCCTGATCCTTATGCCAATGGGCGACCCCCATACGACCGACCTCCTCGAGATTTTCCTCCCCGAGAGGGTGGATACCCACGAGAGGGTGGCTATCCGCGAGACTATGATCGTGGTGGACGTTACTGGTAAATCCATATTCCATTACCGCTTTGGGCGCTTGCTTGGCAGGACTGTCCTTGACCGACGGTGTACTAGATCTTTCCCAACCGAATATGCCAATTGGCGTGTAACAGTCACGACCTGTTAATGGGTATGAAAGGGCAAGATTCAATGGAGGCAATGATTGGCAGACAAGTGCGACAATGTATGACAACCGACTGGTGACATTCCCAACCAAAAGGATGAGGCAGATTGGATTGGCGTCAGGTGCAAGGGCTTGCAGGATATACGTCTAGGACAAATGGGAAAAATCCACGACTACAGACATTGAGTTTGCTACGTAATTTGAGATATAGTGTACGACTAGGCAATGGAGTAGTCGCGAATGATGGTTTGCTTGTTTTGCTTCTTGTTTAACACTATCACTTGCACGATGTGCCTTAGGGCACCACTCTCATTCGCAAGACGTTAAACAGGGTCAATTTATTATAGGATTTGAGAAAAGAATAATCCAACTTTGATTTTGCATTTTCAAACTGGCTGTGATCGGACAATGAGTGAACATATTACTCCAGATTTACGTAGTACGGCCACCCAATCCTGGCGCCCCATATAATACAAAAAGAAAGATGTTGTCCTAGAGATTATGACTGCACGATACGCTTATAAGAGATTTTGAGGATGAGTAAATATGTGGTATCAGGCGGTTGTGGTTATTGTTTCGTATATGATTGCCAAATTAGGCGGTCTTCTTCCACTGTGTGTAGACACCGATAAGACTGCTCAGGGTACCAGTCAGGCCTACAACACCGTCGTCGAGGAATCGGTTGTAGCCAAGACCGGAAAGGGGAACCAGGATATCGAAGACATCGCAGAGAAGCTGCTTCTTGGCGGCAGCGCGCTCACTGGAGGATGAGTTAGTACATGCGACAATGAGGAAAAGCAATTACGAATGGCAACTTACATAGAAATGGTCTTGCTCTCAACGACACCCTCTCCCTCCTTCAAATCAACCTTTGATGCTCGTGCACTCAACTGGCGAAGAGTGTACAGCTGACCGAGGATGCTAAAGGCGATACCAACAGCCCAGGATCGGTAGGCCTCTTGCTGCATGCGCGTAGCGTGCTTCCAGGTCTTGATACCGGCGGCGTGAGGAATGGTGAGAGAATCGCAGGCGAGATAACCGGCGTAACCAAGCTGGCGACCGACCTGGGTGTACTTGAGGACGGGGTCCATGGACTTTGAGTCGGAGGCGGTGGCAGCAGCCTTGAGGTGCTCGACGAACTTTCCGGCTCGGAATACCTTTCGGAACAGGCCGAACTGCTTCTTGAGGGCGTTCCAAGGAGCGACCTTGTCTGCTGTTGCGTTTGCGCGGAGGAGGTACCAGGCGTAGAAACGGGCAAAGTACTGGAAGACTCGCATGAGCTTGTCGCGACCGAGGGTAGTGGCCATGTAGCGCAGGTAGTGCGCTACCGTGGGATGGTAGATAACTGCGTCGGCGACCATGATGGCGATGGTAACGATTCGAAGTCGAGGTTGTGTAGAGCTATGCGACAGTAGGTAGGCTCGTAATTACAATTTCACCAGTAAAAAACCAGCAATTACTGATGATAGAAAAGGCGATTAAAGATGAGATGGAGATGGAAAAGCGATAGGTTAGGTTCAGGGAAAAAGCTGGGGAAGAAGGAACGCGCGAATGGAGTCAATAAGTTTATTAAGGTGCAAGTGCAAATGCAATGCAATCCCCACAGTACGGTTGGGTCAAGATCCCTAGTACAGTACAGTATAGTTTATGGTAGAGATTTGATCAACCGTGGAGACGGAGACTTGACCGAGATGCCGAGGTCCGCTCACGAGAGCGGGATTAAGACGAGGGAAAGGAGAGAGAGAATCTCATGCAAAAGTATTGCCTTTTTGGGTCTGGGTCTGGGGGAACAGGGGGAAAGTAAGGCAATAATTGCCCATCTTGTGAAAACACAAGATAAAAATAAAGAGTCTAGTCGCTGTAGTTTGTTATATCAAATTTTTGTTTATGTTACCTTGGTTAATGTAATAGAGCGGCACTTGACGTGGAGCTTTCACAGGCAATGTTCCTGATTACAGGTTAGGCTGTACCGTCAAGGTAGAGAGTTTGAGTTCATCACACATGACCCGAGGCTTCGGGTTGAATAATAACAACAGGGACAAAACGGGGAAGCTTGGCGCCATTGAACCTCGGAAACTGTCCGTCAATGAAAAGTACCGTTCGTAATCGAGGAGGGAAAGGATTCTTATCAGCTGCCAGTTCAATCCAGGTCAAACTCAGCTGGAACTCCCAAGGTAATAGAAGTCCGATTTAGGCGGATAACCTTTGATCCGGTTCCGTAATGGAAGAAGAAGACCGCCGGTTGAGGGACAGTCGGTAGAAGGAAGGTACGTTTTGAAGACCCGAGGAACGAACGTAGGTATGATATATGCAGGACACAATTGCCTGAGAAAGGAAGACGTCAACGATTACAACTGAACAAGAGACGAGACAAGATATTCAACAATTCCAACTTTCTCACAGTTAAACTCCCCCCAAACCCACTTATCGTTGCCTCACTTCGGTGTTTTATGAAGATCTCCAGTCTCCAAAAGATCAAACCCCCCGCTTAAACGTCAATATGAGCGAGCCACCCCCACTACAACCGCCTCACAAGGCCACGAGAACATCAAGAAATCGAAAGAATGGCGGGTCTCAGGAGTGGCTGTGACGACAAAGACTCTTCCCCCATCGCGATTTATCAAAAAATCTATGGGTTCATGATGTATGTTCTCTGTATGCTCCTCGGTGAACAACCCCCGAGGTTCTCCATTCTTCACCTCCAAATGTGGGGGAAGAAACCGGGAGACATAGTACGTACAAACAAAGCTAACCAAAGCTACAGTTAAACAGTTGGGGGAGCTTTGGAGACCCCGGGAAATCCTCTTGCTACCGCTTCCCCTCGGCCGGGCTACGCTGTACGGTCAACCATGGTCCATGAGATTCCGATATTGAGGCGTCCTGGTTGGTGCAAATGCCCATTGCCATTACATGAGAAGTCTTGAACTTGCGGCTCCAGAGCCCATAACTCGCACGGATGGGGCCGTTGATGGCCGCCCCCCGGGATGCGGGCGTATCATTGATTGGCATTGGATGGATCGTCATCCGTCAATTGTCGTCAAGTCACCGACGCGGTTGTTACTCTGCTACTTTGCTTTGCGCTGCGAAAGCTCAGGCACTTGCTTTTACATAACTTGGTCCCATCTCCCGTTTCGTCGCGTGCTCTTGTCTTCTCCCTCTTCTACTTCTTCCTCTCCAACCTTCACGATACCCTCATACCCCTCCATCATAACGACCTTGCACTTCGCCTTCCCCTCTTGCTGATCAACTGTCCATTCTCTCTACCCACATCTATTTCAAAATCAGTCACAATGTCTACCACCAACAGCGGACAAGAATCTGAAAAGGTTAACACCAACATTGTTACCCTTACCCGCTTCCTCACTGAGGAGCAGGCCAAGCACCCCGAAGCTACTGGTGACTTCACGTACGCTCATGTGACCCCCCAATTCTCATGATAACCATGCTAACCACCCCCTCAGTCTATTGTGTCACGCTCTCCAGTTCTCTTTCAAGTCCATCGCCTACTACATCCGACGCGCCACCCTTGTGAACCTCACCGGTCTGGCTGGTTCTTCAAACATTACCGGAGACGACCAGAAGAAGCTCGATGTCATCTCCAATGACCTCTTCATTGAGGCTATGCGCTCTTCCGGCAAGTGCGCGCTTCTAGTTTCCGAGGAGGAGGATGATATCATCTACTTCAAGGACGCTTCAGAAGCCCGCTACGCTGTCGCTTGCGATCCTATTGACGGTTCCTCCAACTTGGACGCTGGTGTCTCAGTCGGTACCATCTTTGCCATTCACAAGCTTCCCGAAGGCTCAAAGGGCTGCAAGGAGGACATCCTCAAGCCCGGTACTGAGTTGCTTGCCGCCGGCTTCACCATGTACGGTGCCTCGGCTCAGCTCGTCATCACCATGCGCGGCGGAAGCGTCAACGGCTTCACTCTCGACAACGGCGTCGGCGAATTCATCCTGTCTCACCCCGATATGCGCCTGCCCAAGTCTCGCGACATCTACTCTTGCAACGAGGGTAACTCACTATACTGGGAGGACAAGACCATCAACTACTTCAACTCGCTGAAGCAGGCTCAAGAAAACGGCAAGCCTTACAGCGCGCGTTACATCGGTTCCATGGTTGCTGATGCTTACCGAACTCTGCTGTACGGAGGTATCTTTGCTTACCCCGCCGACAAGAAGAGCCCCAAGGGCAAGCTCCGTATCCTCTACGAGTGTGCGCCCATGGCTCTTATCTTTGAGAATGGTTAGTCTTTTCTTTTCTTTGTCTCCGAGTCACATTTTACTAACTTGATTCCTAGCCGGTGGTCAAGCTGTCGACAGCAAGATGAACCGTATGCTCGAGGTTGTGCCCGAGCACATCCACGACAAGGCCGGTATCTTCATGGGTAGTTACGACGAGGTTGAGAAGGTTAAGAAGTTCCACCAGTAAGATGAAACAATACGGCGCTTTGGCATGGGATCACAAATTCAGTTAAATATCAAAAAGCGAACCTCATGAGTAAATGAGCAATTAATGATCAATTTATCATATCTTTTTTTTTACTTCATCATGTTGAGTGTCGTCATGATGAGATGTCATGATCGTGAACCATCATGGCGGCGGTTTGATTGGGCATGTCACCACCGACCCTGTCTGTCATACGAGTGGCATGACGTGCTTGTATGGTTGTCTGATTGCGATTTTATCCACGTAAGACGATATGGCTAGCTTTTGTCTGCATCTGTAAAGCGGATACAGTGATCGTCTTAGCCATAGTAACCTTGTGCAAGCCATTCGTACGTCTTCTTCACATAAAGAATGTAGTAGACCAGACTAGCCTGGGTAGTTCTGGAAGGATGAGATGATTGCTTAATTTTCTAATCAAGAAGAACTGCGGCTTAACATTAGAACCTGAAATGTAGTCCTCCTTACGGTGAAGAATACTTGTATCCAAACTGCTCCTTAGCCTCATCAACAACCACCTTGAGATCTTCACGCTTCTTCCTCGTCTTTTCATCCACAGGGTCCAGCCCCGTCGGCTTTTCCTCCTTAGAAGGTAGTAACATGCCACGTCGGACAGCAGGCCTCTCAAGCATGCGAGCAAACCAAGCCTTTACATTGGGATATTGGTCCCATGAGATTGTAGTTCGCGGTAGACGGTCGGCCCAGCCGATGAGGGCAATGTCCGCGATGGAGTAACGGCCTCTACCATGGCCAACGATGTAGTCTCTCTCCAAAAGACGCTTGTCTAGAACACCGTAGAGACGCTCGGTTTCTCCAACGTAGCGCTGGATACCGTATGGCATTGTTGATTTGGTATCGTAGAGAAAGTGTAGGGTTTGACCTTGCCTGATACCGTGTCAGTCAATCATCCCATATCCCAACCAACGACCAGTGACTTACATAGGTCCAATCCCACCATGTTGCCATCCAATCCACGATTCCGCACGAGTATAATCATCATCATCAATCTTGAAAGAGAACTTATACTCCGGATCATACTTTCTCGTCAGGTAGCTCAGAATAGCATTCCCTTCAAAGACAGCGAGGCCATTGTTATCATGGTCGACCAACACGGGGATACGACCATTGGGATTAAGGGCAGTGAACCAAGGCTCTTTTTGGACCCCTTTGCTAATGTCAATGCCTTGGATGGTGTAGTCTTTGCCGTAAGCATCACGAAGTTCCTCGAGAAGGATCTGGGCTTTGAGGCCATTGGGTGTGCCCCAGGTGAGAAGCTCAATGCCTTTTGAGGCGATGAGACCGGTTGGTCGAGACATGGAGTAGTTACGTTTAGGATATTGAGTAGAGTCTTGAGTGATAGATTGGAGTTTTAAGGGTGGCGTACGATATTGGTGACAGTGTAGAAGTATACGGGCTGGATTTAAGGATAGATATCTCTTCATGGTGAAGCCTGTAGAAGCCATATCTGTCACTTTGAGCTTCAAATGGTATGCTCTTGGATAACAAATCAATTACAATTCTAGGAAACCCTTGACAGTTGGATTTAGACATATTCCTCTCGCAGCTGAGGTATAATGCTTACAAAACAAACTGCGAGTGTGCTTACTCATACCTCAAAGTGACGATACAATTTGGAATCATCTACCCTAGGACCCAACCTTCAACACTTAACACTTAACACTCAACCCCATAACTTCATACAAGACCCTTTAACTAATAATTCATGAATTGATATAGCTAATCTAATTACTAATTCCTTTCAAAACAACGGTGAAGAATTCCCACTGTGGCTTATCAACAACGGCTTCACCGTCGAACGTCAAATCTCCAATGAAACAACTAAACAACCCGATCAACACACAGACAGTGGAACTACCGCGCGGTAGAATAAAAAGAGAAAGAAAAACCTGCCTCACAGGTTTCACTATATAGAGTAAGAGGGGATCGGCCCGTTCTTCGTCCAGGGTAACTCCCAGCCTCTCAACGCCATTGTGCACGGTTGAAATAGTTTCAGATACAACGAGATTGTGAGATCAATAAGAGATCAATGCTTGGTGGGGGTTCGGATTTGCCATATAATATAGAACTTAAGTCTGTTGTTCTATTGAGTGCACGTTCACTATGCATTTCCTGCGTATATGGTATGAGCTTCAAACTAGGTACTCTACGGTGTGCTGTGCTGCAACGGTAACCCTTGCTGGTGATCAATCGGTGGTGGAGTCAAGTTGGGAATAAGACGAGCTTGTTAGAATGAAGGGTCCTTGTTGATAATGGTGAGATTTCATACTTCCGAAAGAACCGCCCCGGACATCCGGATCACCCACCAACAGAGAAGAATGACAGTTTCAAGTTCATTGTATAGTACGAGTACATATCAACACGTCGTCACAAGACAGCTTCTATCACTGCAATGCAATGTTGCATTTTGACAATATTGACAACCTCTACTCTACCAGAAAGGGGGAACAAGCATATATCTACGTCACTATCATAAGGTGCTCGAAAGCTTTGCTTGATTAGCAATTGGGTTCTGACTGACTTTGGGCTGCAGAGCGCCCGCCTCAGAAGTCAAGTTTGCAGTTCCCCACCCCATCCTTCGTCCCTCGATGAGATCCTTGGGACGATGGTTATTGGGTAGACTCAGAGCTGATGGATCATGGCACCCCTTGAGCTTGGGACAGAAACGGACAGTTGAGTGGACAGAGCTGGCAGCCATCGTGAATGTGATAATGCAGCTCTGCGGCCTGAAGAAAGGACAATTCCAAAACAACACCACAACCCTTTCCCTTTACTTTTCCGCTTCCCTTTATCCGTCAAGGCTCTACGTGGGTTGCTATTGCGTGTTGTGCCGCGACAAATCATGTCAGTGAGTGTATGCAGTGCATGGCCCCCAAAGCCGCAGGGTAATAGCATATCGCACATCAGTACCAGAAATCAGGGAAGCGATATTGGGTGCCAGGTTTGAATCTGTAAAAAGAAATCCCCGACAGGTGCCAAGAGTGTCACTTTTGAAAAGGTAGGATACCGGTAGATCCGTGACGTCTTTTGATGCCGCTAGGACATTAACTCCAGCGCTCCATCTAACCTCCGTTCAATGTATCCCTTGATTGAAAGCATATTCAAGACAAGATCTTGTTATTCCAGTAATTGGGACCTGAAGATCGTGGGAGTGCACATAAATGAACCCTCGACAAGACACAGACAGGGCATGTCTGGCTGCACGTCTGAAGGATTCAAGCCACTGATGTAGTATGTTCTCATGCGCCTGCCATCTTGACTTTCAGCGGCTGGTTTCACCCTAAAAGAGTAACTGATTCACTGCCAAGAGCTGTTCGTTCTTTGCGGTCCATTCCCCGAGACAACTGGTTCGTCTTCAAGCTAACGTGAAACTTTCTAACAGACATCAGTGAAGCTTGACGGGGTTCAGCGTACGGCCAATTTATGGCGGCTCTTTCGTACAGGTGCCCCAAACCAAATCAACCCAAGCGTCACATCTCGCTTTCGTTTAATTACCAGTATTCAGATTAGTCACCATGGACTACTGGGTCGTAGCAGGTAGCTAATGCTCCCCTAGTAATGCTAAACAGCACCGTCGTGGCTTTCGGCTGGCGGCACCGGTGAGAGCCGTCCCTGTACTGGAGGCATGGAGCTAGTGATGTTAGACACAGGCCGATGAGATGCGCCTTGATCTGCTTGTGGAGCGAGCAGGATTCCATTCGTCGAGTCGCGAATTCGCCGTAGACTCATACTTGATAGAGTTGTCGTATTGGGGCATTCGTGATGATAGCGGCGATGATCTTTCAGTTAACGTGATATGTACTGTTAGATGAGTCAATAAACGGTGCGGTTCATTAGGTAAATGCTCAAAACCTTGAGATGGCATGGCGCCGAAACGCCGGAAAGAGCCCAATCCAAACACAACGTTAAAAAAAAAGCTATTCAGTTTAGACCACGAGTTGTTGGGTGTGCTTGATAATCAAGACAAGACATGTGATGGGTAATGGAACGGCATTAAAGGCAGTACCGGCATTTCTAGAGGCTAAGGTTAGTCTTGGGAAGCTAAACACAAGATCGTCTTGTTTGCTCAACTAAAGTAGCGGCAGTCATGTGTTCCGCTCGTTGTCACTTTGTACGTAGTTCATGGGGAAGCGGGACAAAGTGCCACAGATAAAGATAGAATAACGCGAAATTCCAACATGGGGAAATGGTAAACTCAATCTTGTAGCGGCCACACGAAAGCGTTGAGGCGCAAGATGCCTTTTGGTACAAGGTGTAAACAGAGGAAAAGAAGAGGATGAATCATTGTGACTGAGAGAATGAAGATGCCTGATCGGTCAAACCCGAGAGATGGGAGAATGACGTGCAACTGTCGCAACAAGGCAGACTCATGAATGCGAGAAAGAGACAAAAGTTCGTAATGACATTGAAGGTGTTGCGATATTCTTGGTAGACAAGTCAACCAATTCATGCAACGAAACGGATTGCTACACGAAAAAGGGTATCAAGATGCGACTATTGACAGGGACAAGGCGTGAACAAAGTTCCTCCGCAAGTTGAAACATTTTACCAACTTGGTGATGCCTTCTCTGTTCAGCTTCAGCTTCAGCCTCTTTCATGTCTCGAAATCGAAGCTATCCTCGAACGATTGAATAGACGACAGAGAGACTCAACCTATCGGGCAAGGTACAACAAGGGCGTGTCTTGAACTGTGTCCGCTAGTTACAGCCTCAGTACAAGAAGAATGAACGTGGATGGATGTGTGGCTTCCCAGCCTGTCGGCTACCACTCGGCGAGATTCCCATGCGGCCGTTGACTCTTTGTGTGTGAGTGTCGCAATAGTAGTTACTTGACGGGAAAAAGCAAATCAACAATGACGGATCTTGGCTCCAAGCGAAGAACGAGAGCGAGAGAAATGACCCCCCCTGGTCCTCCGCCTTTTCAACACTGCAAAACGCTCCTTCCCACGTTAAACTGGCGGACATTGCACCCCAGTCACTACTTCCCCACTTGGATCACAGAGCGGGGATGATCGAAGGCAGGGCCCCCCCGCCAGACAGCAGACAGCAGACAGCAGACAGCAGGTGCAGACAGGTACGTACCCCCTCATTTTCCCAAAGCAGAAACAGGTACGTACCTTCTATCTTTAGTTTCCACTTATCAAATCTTGAACCTACAAGGCAGGCGCAGGGAAGGGAGACGGGAGATTGGGTTCACGACCTCCAGCCTCATAGCGGAGTCGAAAAGCCAATGTACTTACTAGCACAATTTACCAAAACAGGGTGTCATGTTGCGCTCCGGAGAGTAGAAGGGGGCTCGGCCGGTAGAAACGTGGCGGAGTTGCCTTTTTTTCCTTCTTTTCTCTCTTTCAATTTTTTTTGACAGGGCCGGCCGCCCCAGCTTAATGAAACAAGGACCAGGGCCAGCTACCAGAAAATCTCCCCGTCTCCGTCTCCGTTCCGGAGCAGGGAAAATCAACGTTTCCGTATCCCGTTGATCTTTCTGTCACGGCGATTGGGTTTAGATCTTGGGAATGAATCTACCTGTAGAAATCTTGCAAATACTGCTGCCTGGGTACTAAGTACGCTTCGGAGAACCAACCCCAGAAAAGAAGGACGTTACAGGAGCTCATGACACCAATCGCATTCAATTCGTCTATTTTTGCCCTCTGTCCGATAATAAGTAACCAGTGACTCAACTCTGGTTCACATGCGTATTCTATTGCATATCAGTCAAAGTAACAGTGGTACTGCATTTCGCATTGACTGCTACAGTATACAAATCATGACAAAAATAATCCACCCCTACAGAGTAACATTCTGCGCTGGACAAACGACGATCGCTACGTTGATGTTGATGCATTAGGCGTATTCCCCAAATTAAACCCGTATCTCGACCAAAATGATCATCCCGACGAATCGCTTTCGGCAAGATGAACTGGCCATGACCAGCAAGGTACAGGTATGCGCACAGGCAGGCACGGGAAGGACAACAAGATTACACTCGTGGACTTTGCTACCTCGGAGTCGCAGCGCGGCACAGCAGGTTACGGTACCCCAAAGCCTTGTATGTTCACCGGAAGGATGAATGTGTGTTGCATTTCTCGAGCCGAGACTACAGAGTAATGGGTCGTGAATGCAATCAATGCCCTTGTTGTTAATTTTCTCGCTTTCCCCCTCCGCCTTCTTGCGCACGTTTTCATTTCAACAGGGGACCTAGGGAGTCGGCTATGGATACGTCCATGGAGTTGGGACTCAGAACAGTGGGAACTTGTTTTTGTGTCTTGTTCTGCTGCAGATGCGTCCAGCCAATTAAAATACAACCCCACCTCTAATCTTGCTCCCGCCCCTTCAGCCCTACCGCTCGAGGTTGTCCCACTCGGACCTTGCAAGGTTAGTACCTAAGACGGAGCTTTATAAGCCACGCCCCCTCTTTTTTGGAAGCTCCACAGAAGTTCACTCAGTGAAGTTGAGTGCTGCAACAGAGTAGAATCGCAGTGAGTGTAATAGAGACAACAACAAGCCGTGCTCGTGTAAATCATGAGACTCAGCTTTTCTCTTCATCTCCTCTCATTTACAAAGAACCTTGAAAGATGCAACCGAGATTCAAGACATTTCTGTGTGATATCACAAGTGACGTCTCGCCAAGAAACTCTGCCGCTGTAGATTACATGACAGCCTACATGCGGCTGCTCTACACAGTCCATCCCATCCGTTCTTGGGAGTGCCCATGCAACCACGGGGAGCATCGTGAAAGCAGCAATCTGTTTGGACAGCTTCGTTCTATCTCCCGGCATCGCCGAAGAGCCTTACAGTTAACCTTCACCGCTGACTCTCTCTGGTTCCTAACTAACTTATGGGGGATGACCTCCTTCGACGAGCTGCAGCCCTACGGGGGATACAATGCCGCAGCTCAAGAATCCATATCTATCAATCATGGCATGGCAATTACGTGTTGTTGCACCAGAGGGGGAAAAAAGTACCCGTCTCAGCCCAAATGGCGGACCTCCGCATTGACACTGGCTGCATCCATCACCACCACAACAACAATAACTGACAGTTATGCTCTTGTTGATGCTGTACCTTTCAAGTCTTGGGATTGAACGGCCAAGAGTCAATTGCATCTTCAGCCCACGGAGGATATGCACGCATTTGGAAATGGCGGACCGAGATATAGCGACGGGATACGCAGGGTGCAGTGCGTACAGCGTACAGCGTAAAGAGCTGTCAGGCAGCCTTGTGTGACCATGCTGCGTCCTTTGTTTGAAGTAATACCATTGGGTTCGCTAGGTTCACCTATGTTCCAGCTCCGATGGAGTGGATCTCAGCCCTTTTTCCCTTTGACTCTTTTGTTTTTCGCTTTGCTACCTATCCGCTGTGTCTTGCATCCAGTCATCACTTTGAATTATAGCTTGGCCTGCTTTAGTGACACACGCGTCCTTTTCCCAAAGGGTATCTTGTTACACTCGGCTTGAAGAGTCAAATCGAATGAGTTTCCTCATGAGGAGATTTCATTCTATCGTACTTTTGAAAGTCAATTACGGTTGATGCTCCTATTGACTTTCGGACTTTAGTGGCCATAAGAAAGGAATTAACGGCACCACGTTTCGAGTTGCGCCCGCGCAAAGGTGACCCGACTCTGAATTTAACCCAGTCGGACCCCCTGCAACTGGTAACAAGTATTTTGCCCATATTGTCGTTTTGGACCCCAAAAGCATGCCCCCCTGTTCTGCCTCTAAAGTTAGTGTTAGGCGCACCCTACAGCCCTCGCGAATGCCCCTCCCGTCCCCTTCATCTTTTCTGGCAGCAGTTGAGCCGGGCGGGCGTGTACTTGCCCATCATTTCCTAAGAGGGGAAGAATTGAGTCCCATCACCAGCTTGTGGTTTCAACCTAGTAGCTATCCCAGAGTGAAAGCTTGATGGAAACGACGCGGGAATGAAATAAATTTACAGCTCGGACACTACAGTAACATGGTTGGGATATTTGGACCAATATGTAAAGAGTCATTTCCCCCTGTCATTGTCGAATAAATGTCCTAACATGGTAAAGTCACATTTGAAAGCCGTGACGACTCTTGGTTCGCATGTGCTATCCATGTCTTGCTTTGCTTTGCTTCACGTGAAAGGAAAGACATGGAGAGACACAGAGACAAAGAGATCTATCTCTACTCCACAAGTCCGCAGCCGAGGGGGAGGGGGATCGATCGAGTGTCGCGTCTTTGTATCACATGAAGTGAAAGCTTTCGATAAGCGATAACCATTTTGTAGCATATTGAACTCGGTCAAAGTAAATTCCCGACTACTAATGTTGAAACCGGGGACATTTTACAAGCGATAAATTGATTATCAGCGGTAAAATGTCTCCGTTCTATCCTGGTAATGGCAGTGCTAACAAGCAAAGTCTCCGGGGGGTTTGAATCCTCTGTCAACTAACCCGTGCCTGGGATGGGCTGGTCCATCAGCCAAAGCAAAAAACAGAGCAGAGTGAGAGCGGATCCCCATTATGCCGTCCGTCCGGTGGCTTGTTGAGGGGGGAAGAGTGAGAACCTTATTCCCACCCTCGTCGACGGGAGGACGAGACGATGGGTACCGAGGAAGCGGGTGAAGGTTCCTGTCAGACGGTAGTAAGAAAAGGAAGGGGAAGGGTATCTCTATCTTCTCTTTTTGCTGACAAGGAGTGAAACTGAGGGTCATTTCAGACACACACAAATCACCGGATGAGCAGATTAACAGTGACCGAATGCGAATGATTTTAACCAAGATAGCCACTGTTTACTTTTCCGATGCAAAACGGATGTGACGGGATGGCTTGTCGAATCCAATGGCTGTCGAAGCGCGCACGGGTTAGGTACAGTACCCAAGTACTAACCTAAAGTCTCAGGCTACTCCCCCTGTAAAAAAAAAAAAAAAAAAAAAAAAAGATTTGATTTCACTCTTCAAACAACAAGTTCATTTCCTTCGGCTTACTTTCGCTTCGCGCGCAGAATAAAATATCGGGTCAAGTTAACCGTATATTTGGTTTGAAACAGCAGGTAATAGAAACGTTGGTCTGTTGTTGTTTTGCTCTGTGCGCCTTGTCTACTGTTTTGACTGCCCGGCATGCATTGGTCCGGCGCTACGGCTTCGCCGAACTGCTAAACCACCAAAGTAAAGAAGTGACATAATATTCATCTCAAGCTGCATCCCGCCTTTTTGGACTGTACGTCAGTCATCAAACAGACGGATAACGAGCAGCATCCTATTTTGGATAGCTACTCTACTTTGTCTCAGGATATTCTTACTGCAGTTATTTTTACAAGCGAATATAGTACGGGCGGTGTTTAGTAAAGTCCGCAAAGTCCGCCGTGGTAGTATTTTTTAATCTTGCATTTTTAACGCATTGATGCTGTTCAATAATACAGGTCCCCGAAGGTATATGAGCTTGTGTTGGCTTTGGTTTATGATCGACAGCTACAGTTAACCGGTCAAACTTTAGTTTGCAAATAAGAGACCTTACCGGTATGTTAATGCTCTGAAGCTTGAGCTTGAGCTTAGGCCAGGAGGGGCATTTGCGGTGGATGTGTTAGGTACCCCCTAGTCACAGTCACAGTCCCAGTGATCTGGCTCAGAGTCAGGGCGCAGCGGCCGACTCTGAACTCAAGGCTTGTGCATGTCCTGTCATGCAAAGGGCGGCGGAGGAACTGTCGGTCGAGATTTGTCAGAGGGCGTGTATTATTTTATCTCGTAAACGTTAATTAGATTTAGAGAAGACAGAGGGGATAAGAGGGTTGACTCAATACTCTCTTCTGGTTGGCAGATTACGATTCAACAAGCGCCTAACCGTCATGGTCATCCATATGTCTCTCTCATAGGGCTGGACTGGACAATCAATCAGTGGCGATGGTAGGTGGATTAGTTTCTGACTCCCCCCCGCGATTAATTATCTCTGCTACTTTTACTGCTTGATAAGCATCATCGGAAAAGATTGGACGACAGCCGCCCTTGGCTGTGTGTGTGCGTGTAAATAGACCCCAAATACCGTAACCCCCCCTAAAGAATAACCCGTGATGGATGTTGATCAAAAAGGCGGATGAAGAATAACGGGCGGTGCCACGTACATACATACCAACTGCTTATCACCCATGCGGATTCAGGGGCAAGAACAAGAGCAGCCTGGCAATACTCAAGTGTTATTGGGTTAAACTATTTGATCTGAGAGGTTACTTGAGGCAAGGCAAATCAACGCACGATGGATGGTAGGATGGTAGGATTGGGGCCCAGAGGTTTGGGCCACAGATTCGAAAGATATGTCCAAATTCGGTAAGAATTGATGAACAACTGACCAGGACCAAAGTTCCTGTCCGCAGAGGCTTCAGGGGGACCCTTTGTACTGCTACTGCTGCTGCTGCTGCTCCTAGCACATGCATCAGGTAATTTTGAACGAGTGGCAGTTTCAGCCATGTTCAACGGTCGAGGCCTTAACCCATCTATTCGTTGACAAGACGCGAGAAGCCAAGAGGTATCATTTCACAAGATCTTACTTTAACTTATTGAGGAATCATCCTTCAAACGAACAATTTCCTTCCAAAGGCTGGCAGTGCATATGAGAGGCACAGGGTCAGGGACAACACATGGCATAGTCCCGACAAAAGTCAGGCATGCGTAAGGCTGAATGGAGGCGCCGAGTAAAAGAGTCCGTTAGGCAAGAGAGGAGTTAGTCCGTTGGGGGTTGGAAATAAACACTCCATGCCGCGCGGGAATATCATAATCAGAACAAAAAAGAGAATTCAAATATTAAAATAAACCCTGTGCTTGACTGGGTAATTCATTCGACGACCACGACCAACGACGTGGATCAAACAAATCGAATGATTTCCCACCGTGTTCACTGTTAACTTGTGGGGCGTGCTCAGACTTGGAGATTGGCTCAATCGCGATTAGGAAATGATGGACCTTTTGAACATGGGGGGGAGTTTACTACAACGTGGTAGACACAGACGAAGGACCAAATCTAGACTCTAGATTATGTTTGATCTTTAGGAGAGAAAAAAAAAAAAACAGGGGTATTTTGGCTTCGGCAACTCATGATCCGTTAATGATATATTATTATTATCTTATTGTGTGACAGAGACAGGGTGTGTGCAAAAACAACAATGCCTGTCCAGGTTTAAAAAAGAGGCGATGAAGATATTTTTGACACAAACCACCTCTTATGAATCAACGTCCTAAACTAAGCTCTATTAGGAAAAAGGTCTTTTCCAGTCTAGTAAGGTCTATATCTCCTCTGTACTATAATCAACCTCAATGCCGGAACGTCTTTCCGTAGGAGCAGTGAAGCGGTTGCACATGATGATGGTGGTGTGTATTGAGGCCATACAAATTAGACCGACCCATCAAGACAAGACAGGACAAGACGTTAGAATCACAAAATAAAAGAGGAGGTGGCAAAAAAAGAAAGAATTTCTAACTGCTCTCTCTGTGGTTGTTATGGGTCATATCCGAGCCGTTGAAACTGTCTCGATTTTCCCTCGAGCTAGATGCGGCACAGCAAAAAGGGCTAGAACATCACCCGTAGCCAAGCCATAGTTCCAGCAGGTTTCGGAATTCAAACGGTTTAGAAGTCCTTATTATTCACAATGAGCACGCAACAAAGCACAAGCCTTTCCGCGGCGCCGCCCAGTCATGCTTCGCCTCCAAACTTCATTTCAGTTGAAACGGTCCGCAGTACAAGTTTAGTTTCTCGAGAATGCGGCTGAGGATCCAATGGCGAGGGCACCCTTGTCATCTACCCAACCCTCGTTGGTTGGTCAAGTTGATGTAAGTAAGTATTCACATCAACTTTTAATCGCGCTTGACAACTGGCAGAAGATCCAATCAAACATGGCTACTCGTAAGGACAAGGATTCCAGAATATAATGCCTAAGCCTCTTCCTACTGATGTGCTGTGCTAGACTAGAGCTATTTTCCCTTTCGCGCTTGTTTCGTCCTATAGAATTCGAACCGAAACAGGGATTCCCATCCCACGGTTGATACTAATTCCCATTCCCATTCCATCTTGGCATACTAACTACTTGCTCTCTAGAACCAACAGTAGAAAACAAAAAGCAATGACCAAAGAAAGGGTTTCATGAAAACGGCGGTTTTCGGAGCTTCAACTGTAGGCTACTATACGTATGTTCATCTGGAATAATTACCGCTATACAAGGGATCTTGTTCTTCAAGTTTGGATCTAACATTTGAATGTAACTCTGGCTCGTTCTACGTTTGTTGTGATTGGTTGAGTCTTAATTCAACAAGGGTACGAGATGGTTTGCGGCAATCGCCGCGGAGCCGGGATTTCCCCATGACACGGAGCCGGTGACTTTCGTTCTTTTCTATGTCCGATCCGATGCTACCATGGTATCTGTACAGATCAGTAACGACCTCAGTGGTGAGAGTGTACCGACCCTTCTATGGGAATACACCACTACAAAATACAGAGGATCGCTTAGAATAGCGCTATAGATACTCACTCACTCAAATCAGACCGCTTGTTCAATTTCATGCGTCGTGGATACACTCAAAAGTTAGTCAGTGTAAGAGGAGTAACTATCTCGTCGAAAACAGAGTCCGTTCAAGTTGGCGGGAGCTCCGGGTGACCCCATTTGCATATACTGTAATTCCACCATACAATGGTGGTCTCGTAGACTTTTCAAAGCAGAGTTGATCGACAATATCTTCATTGACAACGGCCCTAATGGATAGTGAATCAATCCAACCACTGTCACTCGTGCAGATAAGCGCCAGCGATTTGACATACATAACCGTTGATATCGATATTGTCATCAAAACTCTCCGAACGCCGTGTCTCGCCTCCCCCTCCGATCAAGTCAAGTCAAGCTCAGGGCGCACGCACACTCTGATCGTCCTCTGAAGGATTCTGCCAAAGCAGGTTAATTTGCCCCGACTGCCATGTAATGCCATCTGGCCATGTACACGGGTACACACTCCGAAGCCATGTCGAGTACGTACTAATCCTTGACCTGTGCTCTTGGGCTAGAGAAACAGGGTTCAGTGTAAAGTTGCACATCATTTACAGGCAAAATGGCCCAGACTAGACTAGCTCGGGGGGCGCTGTAGCAAAAACATGCTGCCATCGCAATCTGGGCAAAATGGTTTGTTAACTCAGTGCAGAGCGGAAAAGTCATTGGGATGGACATACGTATGTAAGTGCTGTCGATCTTTAGCGGAATGGCCCCCAAAGAGACAACTTTCCAGATTCCAGTCAAGACCTGCGATGCGAATGATTTGACTTGATTTCATACCCTTGCTCTCAGGTGCTTTGACAGCACTGCTGTACTGTAATTTAGCTCAACTGCTGCAAACTGCTAGATTTGAATGCCATGGAGCGAGGCGTTGCCACTCAACGGTCGGGGGCAGGGGTCGGCCGCCATCTAGGAGCGTTTCTTTTCCCTAACGTCCCGTTGCGGCCGCGCTTAATCTTAACAGCCGGAAGCTTGATCGTGAAAGACAGCCGAACAAGACCCCTGCATGCCATGCGCTGCGATCCTTCAGTACTGAGTCCACAAAGAGCTTCTGTGGAATCGCTTCATGTAGGGTCTCACTTGTTGACAAATAACGGACTGCAGGTAATACATCATCTGAGACTCGATGAAAGCCAAGGCTCCTCGTGTTGGTACCTGAACTGGCCGTTGGACCTGTCCTGGTTTCAAGTTGATTAGTACGTCACGATTTTTCATGACTGTTCATTGTGATATTTGATACAATTAACTGTCAAGCCTTGTTGATACAATCCCAGCGTCACATGGTTCGGTTCAGTTCAGTTCAGTGCAACTTAACAAATACTCCGGTCGTTATTTGCAGGGGCAGAAGGCTCATCGTCCACAGCCATGTGGTTGGGGTATGAGACGAGTTGACAGTGTTGACTTGAGATAACGGGTAGGGATAGGCGCGGCACTGGGGTAGAATCGCACCATGGTGATGTCGCTTGCTGGGCTTGTCTTGTGCCGCAGTGCGATACGTAGTTTAGCATGACAAAACGATCTCCCATGCGGCAACCTCTAGACTTCCCGGCTTTGGTAGAGCTTGGCAAGTCTAAACCAAAAAGGATCGAATAGTCGACAGTGGCCGTAAATACTCATATTAGACATGTTGATCTCCTTTCATAGCATCACAAGGCTTGGGCTCACTCTCAGTATGAGGTGAGCACCTAATCCTAATCGTGTCGTCACACAGCCCTATGACGGGCGGCTGGCTTCAGAACTGCCCTAACGACGTGTCCGGCCCGTCAAAAGGTCCTCTAACCCGGAAGAACGGTCCTGGGACAGAGCCTGGGATTGTCGGGCTACCATTGGCCATCGGCCAACCTGTATCAAGCTCATCATTTCGGGGTCCATTTTCACTATGCTTGACTGCTCGGGACGAGTCCTTTGTGATTGGTCAACGTCAATTGATGTGCTCTGGGTTCCATGGGTCCCATACGTTTGAGTAGCATTGACCAAAACGACCCTTCTTATTTTTTTTCTCTCTGGGATTGCCAGGCCCCAAACCCTGGGCAGAGAAACTCGGGCAGGTTCAGGCTCAGACCAAATAGTGGAGAAGAGCTAGGGGAAAGCAAGACGATGGTATGCTGCGCTAGTTGGAGAGAAATAGCAATCAACCTTGAGAAAGCGGGCAAATTTGCCCGAATTAACTCGAATCTGACTTGAGTCTGCCTTGAGGTTCATGGCTTGTTTTGGAGGATCTGGTTGGATCAAGGCTCATTAGCGTCCAGCAAAGTGCCAGGCTGAGTGAGGTGCGCAGGCGAGACAGGCTTGCAAAGGAACCTTTTGCTGTCAGTTGTAGGCTCAAACGGCCACTGATGCACTGAGAAATGGTTATCCGTCTATTCATTCTGCTTGAGTTGGACCTTGGGCTGCGCCTAGTCGTTCATTCTCACTCCACTGTAAATGTTACGTGACGAACGACACTGATAAACGCAATACGCATCCATTCCAGGCCGTATCTGGCATAACGATACGTTACCATCATCGCAGCACAGTACAGCATGTGCTTGTAATTATTGATGTACTGATTGCATTTCATATTTGAATGCTTCCAGCGTGAATCCCGCTCTTTTGAACAGACACCATCGTGTGGGAGGCATAACACTCCCCTCCATGTTCCACAACGACGTCGCTGCGCAGATAGACAGACATCTACCGGCTGTAGGATTTGATGCAGAAGTGCATCGTGGTAAATCCGACTTGTGCACTACTAATGTCGAATAACCTCATGAATGGGTTTGTCAGTATGTCTCTCATTCGCTGGGGATTAGGTCGGAGGCGGACATGAACTGCGGAGGTTATTATAAATCGTCAATTTGGGTTAAAGATTGACTGTTCATATGTACTAATTCCAAATGAGACAGTTTCAACTAGGGACTGTAGCCTCTGTATAGATGCTGTAACTTGATTCCTACTGATGTTGAGATGCTGTGCCGTCGCTCAATGCTTCGCGTTTCGCTCAGTTAGTAATCCACTTGATATTAATCACCCAGATCGCTGCTTCTGGACTCGACGGCACAAGGATTGTAACGAAAGGATTCTGGTGTTCCATGGGCATCTCAAGTTACCCAGTAAAACAGTGCTGAGTGCGAACCAGCTTCTCCCAGGTGGAGAAGAGCAAAAGGCGGAGATACGTACCTACTGCCCTGTCTGGATTGGGGCTCAGAGGGTGATGGTGATAGTACCAGCCCTGTGAGGCCAGCGCAAGTGAGTGAGTGCAAGTACAAAGTCAAGGTTTGCGGGGCCTGGCGCTGCGACACCCCTCTCCAGGAAGGCAGAAGGCAGAAGGCACCAGGGGACCTTTTTCTTTTTCTGGCTGTGGCCGTGCCGTGCATCCTAAAGGTGCTGGGGAGGTGTGAGTGGAGTACTTGCATGGGTTAGACCGTGGGCCTGGGCGTGCAACTCCAGCCTGGGAAGGAGGTGTGTAGTTTCTAGGTCTGCCTGCCTGTCTTTCTGTCTAGGTACCTACTGCAGATTGATCAAAGAAAAGGCACAAGGGCATGGCATGGTAGGGAAAGACCAATGCATCCTCGAATACCCCCTCATCCACAACTCAACCCACACCCTTCGCCAGGGTCCTTTCCTCGTCACTCATCTTGGGTCCTTCTGCCATGTCTGCTTTCCACAGCTTGGGGATATTTAATATACAGCCTCTTCCCCCTCACCTACCATCTTGCTCTCCATCTATCTCCAACAAGTTCTTCACACGATTCAACTTCAAGTATCTTAAGATCATCTTGATCTCTTCCAGCTTTTACTTATATATACCCACAACCACCACCCTCATCTTCAAGCAACTCACTATTCTTCTCGCCTTGGTCGTGCCTCTTGATTGCTTTGGATATAAAGACAAACAAAAGAGGAATACATCTACAGAAAACGGTTCAAGATAATTAGCTCTACCAATCCTACTTTGGACAATCCAAGAGCTTTGTCGTCTACAAGTCGACCATTACAACAACACCCCACTTACCTACACAACAACATCACAATGTCCATGTTCATGACACAACCGGCCTACGCCTACCAGGCTGCTCCCCCACCTCCCAGGCAATACTCAGGAACAAGCAGTGCCTTCAGTGCTTCTGCCAACCCTGATGAGGACTGGACCAAGATCTCAGATCTTGCTGAGCGCCGAAGAATTCAGAACCGCATTGCTCAGCGCAACTACCGTATGTAGACTCGAGATTCAAAGTGGTGAAATGGCACTGACATATAATTCCAGGCAAGAAGCTTAAGCGCCGTCTTGAAGACCTTGAGCGCCGAGCTGGTTCTTCTGACGATGCCGAGTCCGACAAGCAGCTCCAGAAGCCTACCAAGTCGAAACGATCCCCCTCCGCTCCCAAGCCTCAAAAGTCGCAGTCAACAGCTCCCAGCAAGTCTGTTGCCTCACAGGGCCAGTTCACTCCTCCCATGGAGCCTGCTGATGAGCTCTTCTTCAACAACTCTTACGACGACCGAGCCCGCTCAGACAGCCCTCCTCAATTCACTTACTCGACTTATCCCGCTCCCGACGAGATCCTCCTTCATCCCTACGGCTCCGCGCAGCACTACCCAGCCATCACAACCGCTGATGCCTACCCCAACTACATGACAGCGTCCACAGTGCCCATGACACTCCCTTCCATGACACATTTCAGCGATGCCATCAAGCGAGAGCCAACATACTCTAGCGACGAAGGACTCGCTCCCTACATGACATACGGCTACATGCCCCCGATGGACTTCAACTCTGGTAGCCCATACGATCAGAACCCTCATGTGAGTCACGCCAGTCAAACACCCCGCAGGATTGCCCGAGATCCACGTTGCTGATGGGGTTGTTCGCAGACTCCTCCGCTGTCGCATTCTTTCGACCACTCGGCCAACTGCTCAGAGGCTGGCTACGACTACCCGACCACGCCTCTGTCAATGCCTAGCTCGCCCAATATGATTCAGCATCAATAAGGCACTAGGCAGGCATGATTGTGAGATGCAGCGACTTTGAGAATTTGTTTAGGCGTTGGGAATGGGCCCTACGAGGCATATAGCATGGCGGGTTTTGATATTTGGGCACTTTCACACTCAACTTTTTTCACTTCTTGGATACTGTCAAAGTATCTTACAGACGGTGGAGACTGTCTGCCTTCATTTTATGTACACGGGTCGAAGCGCTCGACACTGTGGTTATCTGTAACGGCTGCAAGATGTATGGATTGTTTATTTGGAACGGTGAAGGAAAAGACGATGAGTGAGGCGTTTTGGGAACGTATACATTACGCATTCGAATGTACGTTTGAACATGAGTGGATGGCACTGGTGAAGGATGAAAGCAGGCAAGGAGGCAAACAAACATGGTGGCTGCGGCGGGGTCGGACCAGACACGACGACCTTGACTTAGCACTTTACACTTGATAGTTGAGCAAATATTCAGAGCCATTGAAACATACTAGACGATGAAATATGCAGAACGTGTGGCATGAATCACAGGCTTTACATGTTGAACAGTGATGGTGATGTGATGAAGTGGCTAGATGGTCCTGAACTAGATCAAATCGATAGCGAAGAGGCTGGCTGGGTGAAGACGATAGACCTTGCCAAGACATGCGTGACCGAAGCAGATGCAAGTAACCCAAACGAAATAACGTTTTCGCTATTGAATGGATTCATTATTCTTTGAACTTGCTCCACGGTTACACGGAGCTGAAGAGATAGAGCCTCGGGTATTTGTTGTTGGTGTTTGGATGGCTTGAGAGGGGGCTTGGATATGCAACCAGCTTAGCTATCTCGAGCTAAGCTGGCTGAGGCGGCATCCAGAATTTACGCCGCCTTTACTGAGAGCCTCGTTTCCACGACCTATTGGTGTCATGTATGTTTGTAATGGTATCTCTACTTTACTTTCCCCCGCTCGTCTACGTCTCCCAATGGGGATATCTTGACGGCAAAGATGTGCCAGAGATATTTGCTTCAATTTTCCAGCGATTTACTGTTGATAGGTCTTTTAGTACCCAGTACATGAGTCCGAGGGAAGACTCGGACTCTAAGTCCGAGCGGGATCCATCAGGATTCAAATTACCATCCTAACTAAACCCCAACGTTTGGTCCTACGGTATTGAATGAATCCCCCTCCTCCCCCTCCTCCCCCTCCTCCTCCTCATCCTCCTATGGATATTTTTCCACACCACGTGCCAAGAGGAGGGTTGCATGGGGCGGGAAAAAGAACGAGAGGATTGGGGAGATAGAGAGACGAAAGCCGGGCGTCTCTTTGTGTTACGAGTCTAAAGGGAGTCGGCCGCCCCCGTGTCATTGGTGCGCGCGCGTGTACATAGGTAGACAAGCAATGTACGTGGTCAGTCACTCATTTTCCCGGCTCCTACGGGACAGGGTCAAGTCAAAAAATCAGGCTGTCGCTTAATGTTGTTGAGAGATGGCGATTGTCTTCAAGGATGTCAATCCCTCCTCTTTCTGTGGCGAAAATAAGAGACAGAGAGAGCAATATTGCTGGGGGTTACAGTTACGGCTGTCACGGGAGAGAAAGAGTTGTTGGGCTCAGAAAAGAGAGGGGTGTGTATTTTCCATGTATGTGCCTCTGTAGAGACGGGTATCCAAGGCAATGCACTATTATGCAGACGGTTTATCTTCAAAGTATAGATGTAGATAAGTAGGCTGTGGTGAAGGATTTTGGTATTGTAAGTCCTTTCGGTTACGGTACCACTATACCTGGACGTTGCAGTGCAGCAGTTCCGGCTACCCAGTCTTTTAACCAAAAGGTCCGGATATTCCTCATGGCCGACATGGGGGATCAAGGCTATTCTACTACAGAAAAGGATTTGGATTCTTTTACGCCTTTAGACTGCAGTAGATAGTAGGTATCTACCTGCCTAATGTATTATCTCGATGCAGAGACCCAGACCCAGACCCAGACCCAGAACTTATTATTAGGTTTATCTGCCGCTACCGTATTTCGTTTTTGAACCGACGTTGGACATATCAGGTTTAGAATGAGGTACTGCCAACCGTGTCTTGGCATGAATTAACGTTAGTGATGATGCTCTGATTATCTAAACTTCTGAGGTGTGAACTTTAATCGCACATCAGGGCAGCCTCCAGTCAGAAACATTGCCCTCTGGAAGCATAAGGGACGAAATTAGTAGGCCAACTTATGCTGTTTAAATCAGACTTCTTAGGCTATTTGTTTTTTCATTTTAAGACTTTAGAGGCTGACGTTTCTGTTATTCACTGAGGTAGGTATGTATATCAAAGCTCTCACTAAAAGAAAACGGTATATCATACATAGAAGATCAAGCGACCTGAGTTCTAGCCATTTAATTGACTAGTCTATTAATTTAAATACATATAGCAATAGTCTCATGCCTAAAACCGATGTTCGTTAAGAATTTGCTGCAACGAGGCAGGTCTAGCGACCTTAGTTAAAAGTCCCAGTTGGAGGATCGCATCACCATGGCATTGAATCCCCTCTTTATCGATCTAAGAGGCTTGTACGACGACCTTAGTATGGCCGTGCTGGTGGGCGACCACATCACAAGCTTACATGACCGTAGCCTCTATATCAAGCCCCGATGTCCCCCGTACGGTGATGATGGCTGGCTGCCCATTTTGAGCCTTCTGGTAGCGAAAGAGTATTGCCACACCGCATCTGCCGTTCCATAACTCCATTGTGTTAAGTTTCGGCATTTTGAGCGCTGCAGCTGCGGCGTCTCGAAGCATTTTGTTGATACCCAAGCCGTTAGTGAGCGTCTCCGAAGTCAGCGTCAGTGAAGTGAGCTTATCCCAAGTCCATGAAAATTGACGCGCTGCGAAGAAGTGACCGGCGTCGGCCATGAAAGAGTCGGACAGCATCGTGAGGCACAGGTTGGCGCGAGCAAGACTCCGACTGATGGCCGGATTCGGTACTCTGCGAGTAGGATATCCGCCAAGTCTCGTTGAAGTTCTCGAATATCGTCAACTTGCACAATTTCGTCGAAGGAAAGGATTCGAATAGCGTCTGGATGCCTATTTTTTTTTTGTTGGTCAGCGGCTGCGTTAACTAAATTGGCAGCTATCAAGTAAGCACTTGCCTTCATAGTCTTGAGTCCCATGCCAAAGCGATCTTAGCCAAGGTTCGTAACAAAGTTCTTTCATGTTCGGGAACCGCGTGAGCATGTTGGCGAACGCAACTGGCTTCCATCGTCGACGAGTCTGCTGGCGAAGGAGCAAGACCCCAACGACAAGTACCAAGGGGAGATTGCGCCACCACTGCATCTCGAGTTCCTCGCCGCCGAAAGGCCCCTCGCCCATGATCTCTACGCCGGAAAGGTTGGCGGAGATTTCATAGGGATCCCAGACCATTGGAGGGTTCCAGTCGAAATACGTGTCATCTATGGAGGTCCTTTCCTTGATGTGTCCAGGGATAGAAGGGCACTCATCGAGGTCGGTGTCTGAACAGAAGCTCAAGTACTGGTTGTCATCAGGCGAGTAGACACTGATATCGAGGGTCAGGTCACCACGAGGCTCCTATGCGCTCAGTGCTGTGAACAAGCTTTCAAACGCGTCCGCGATGAATTGGTTATCGATATTGTCCAAGCCCAAAAGGTTTACATTCAAGTCGGAGTTGTATTTGTCCTCATATTTCCTCAGTCCCATTCGAAACCAGATATAGCGAATGTAGTCTCCCTTTCGGAACAGGATAGCTCGAGAGTCGGGGTCTGAAAGGCGCGGTACCGTCAAGCTGATCTCAGCAAAGTTGAGTGGCTCGATGATTGATCGCCAAGTTCGGGAAACGGTCGCGAGCTGACTGCACTTCCCGCCGGCAATTGGTAGGAGACCAACGATTTCGTTTTGAATCTCAGGAGGTAGGCACCACCAAGACGTCTTGTCAGCTATCTCTGATTTGGCCTGTGGCAGTCGAAAATGAAGGTTGAATGTGAAGGATCGTAGTAGGTGTGCATTGAGAAGGATGTGATTTTTGACGAGTTTCGTTTGCTTGGTTGAAGATCGAAGGAGGAATGAACATATGCTGTGTGACAGCTGGCAGGCAGCTGTCAGGCCACCAGCCACATACATACCTATTCATAATTGCCCACCTAAGGCTTAGGGTATTAAGATAAGTAGTCTAAGAAGCATAAAGTGACCTACTAATTCCGTCTCTTATTCTTCCGGTGGTTAATGTTTCTGATACTCTGAGGATTGCCTACTCCAGGCAGGAGAACATACTCCATTGCTGTGATTCATCGAGTCTTAAGACTTAGGCTTGAATTCAAAGTTGTGAAAATAGAAATGTTAGTCCTGGTAGTCAGTTGCTATCATATCGGTGATGTTTTCATCATTTCCATAATGAGATGTGGTTGATTGCCGTACGTAAGCATCCGCCTATAGCAACTGCCGTCTTGGCGGTGTCACATCAAACTTCATTATGTCATACATTTCAACAAGTAAACATCAGCTACTTGAACTCAATTCAATCTGTCAAAAACACTCAATTCATTTTCAAAATCATGGAATCTCACGTAAACTATCTCTTTGGAGGCACAAAGTACGTAAACAATCATTACTCTATGAAAAAGCAAAATACTAATTTCATTTTAAAAGGCCTTGGGACAACAGTCTCTGGACAGCTTCAGATGATCGCGTCCGCGGTGGCTCCAGCATCTCTCACCTAACAGTCTCAAGCCCAACACAGGCCATCTATCACGGACATCTCGATACCAAGACACTCGGCGGCGCTGGATTTGCCTCGCAGCGCACAGTTGGCGATCTTGCGCTGGATCTCTCTCAAACAACGGGCCTGCAGCTCGTTCTCGGCGCGGGCAGCTCTGAGCAAAAGTTCACCCTCAATGTCAAGGACACCATTCCCGGCAAGAGAAAGGATGGTCGAGATGAGGCTGGTATCAGCTGGGAGGTAGACTTTGAGGCGCCCCGTGAAGGAGGTGTGCTGGTGAAGAAGTGGGATGAGTTCAAGGCGACGTATCGCGGAAGAGATGTCAAGGATCCTGAGCCGCTAAAGATTGATGATATCAAGAGAATATCTCTCATGACACGAAGGTAAGATTCTTGCTCGTGAAGAAAAGTGAATTGTTATGCTGACGACTGAAATGAATAGCTTCTTCGATAAGCAGGATGGAGATTTCAAGTTGGTGGTCAACTCTATTGCTGCGGTCAAGAAGGACCATGATGAGAGTGACGATGAGTACGACTTGAAGAAGCCTGCTATGCCGGCCCAGCCTGCTCCTCGCCCTGCGTGGAAGGCTCTGTTCTGTGGTCTTTTGTAATCAGATTAGATACCCAGATATTTTTGCATTCAGACAGACTCTGGATGGACTGCGAATGAACAAAAGCATTGCGTTATGCTATCTGTTGCAGGATCTTTTCGATGACGTTTAACCATAAAGGTGTACAAATTTGTCGCAGCGTCGTCTTGTCTGCGAACTTCTCAAATCATTCCGATCGACATCCTGTTCTCACATGAGATGCAATTTACCAATGTAGTCCTCGTTTTTAAAGGGTAGCTAATTGGTAAAAGCGAACTGCCAAATCATGCTGAGCATAACTACCCCCAGAACAAGGTGCTTGTCTTCGTATCCAACATTTCTTTGCATTGTTGAGCTGTAACTAGAGTACTAAACTAGAGAAACCAGTCTCCAACGCTGTTATGTACCTGAAAAGCCTAGTCGCTGTACTTCACAATATCATACAACCCCCTGTTTCCTTTTAAAACTTCAATTCTCACAATATACATCCCTAAACCTGACAAACACCGTGTCTCTGATGCAGGACGCCCCATCCAACGCCAAAACACCCCCAAACTAGGCATGTCAAAGACTTCAATATGTGTCTCCGCCCAAGTCTATCCAGCGCCCCCCTTTAGCCTGCAGTCGGCTGGTTTTCCTTATACCTGTCACATGAATCCATATTTCTCTTTATCCACCCCTAGATCTTCCTTGAGTATATTCACGCCGAGCCCATTCCCAAAATCAAGGTCCCTTATGGTCTGGGCTCAGCGGCCGAGATCCAAGGACGAAAACAAGAGTAGCAGAGGCCCATCTGTTGGACAGTGCTGCTCCATGGCAAACCGATATAAGCCTTTTGATCCAGTTTCGAGATATGTGAAACAGAATGCAAGCCCCATAACCATCAGCGGCGACGTTGGAAGAGAAGCCAGCCAGTCGCTCTGCTGGAATGTCGGTCTTCTCTCTGCGCATTAAGCCGGAAGGGTTGCGGGTATCAAACGATGCAACATGCTTTTGATCCCTTCGCTTTTCCCAGAATATCATAAATAAAATTCAACCGTCCTTCATCAATCGCCGTATCAATGCACAAGGGTATTGTCACAACAAGGAGAACTGAGTCTCCCAGATATTAGCGTCGCCTTTTTTACATGCTGGAACCGCCGACACCATTGGGGTCTACGACATTATCCGATAGGTTGATGAGTAGCTGGGCAAGGCATCTCTTGGTTGCTGCATCGTCGCGGAGAACAGAGGAAAAGGTGGCATCGCGAAGTGGTTCGGGTAGACACTGGCGTAGAGCCTCACGTGCTCGAGCGTTATCACTAAGACTGTTGGGTGCTATGATTAGATGGAACTGTCCTGTTATCTGATATACAGGGGAGACGTACCGCAAGAAACACCTAACAACATGCTTGAGAAGCCGAGCTGTCTGAGACTCGACAAGTTGGGCCACCATGTTGCTAAGTACGGTGCCAACTGCATAAAATCGCTCGTACGTGGCGCATATGTAGTTAAGCCCATTGTCGTCGAGCAGGATCTTCTGGACGATAAAGATAGCAACGGTCTTGCTGAGCTCCGAACCGGTCTCCATGATACGCAAGCAGAGAGGAATGATCTCTGTTGTCAGGAGAAAGTTGATGACTTCGGAGGAATCGTTTTTGACCAGCGCACCAATGACACCAAGACTGGTCAATCGGAGATATTCGAAGGGTCGAGACTTGGAGGTGGTGTTGAGAAAGGGGTAGAGAAATAAAGGGATATGTGCTATACGGATGTAAGCTATGTGCGAGATCAATGTAAACCAATGTATACGCACCATTGAGGAACAATGTCCTTGTGTCGTTGTGTGATGCAACGCACTGGAGTAGTGCGAGAGCATTACAAACTCGATTCGAGGCAGCAGCGGTGAGCTGTGAGGGGTTAAGTAGAGTATAGACTGATATGATTTCCTGAAGGAGAGAGGTCATCACACCTAGGGAACACGTTAGCTGGCTTCTTTCAACTTGAGCCTCATTGACCCGGGAAAACAAAGCTCGGGGACCTACCAAACGAATGCCACAAGATCAATGCTAGCTCGGGGACCTGCTCTCGCTTCTTACTGAGCTCCAACAAAGCAGCCTCCCGAGTGTTTTCATTGAGAAGATCGGCAATAAAGGCCATGGTGCGTCGGTTGTCCTCCGAAACGTTGTTGTGGTCTCCGTCTTGACCGTGGCCCTGCATCTGACCCGCGCCAGCAAGGCGGTTGAAGTGCTGCTGCTGCTGTTGAACGGCGGCGGCAGCAGCGGCGGCCACCTGCTGCTGCTGCTGCTGAGTGTGGGCATGATGCGCGCCAGGCTGCTGGTGCATCCAAGCCGAATCGCCGCCCTGAGGGTTGAACTGGTGGTGTCCGTAGACGTGCGCCGCGGGCATCATTTTGGGCGTCTGTTCTTTGCTCGAGGTTTATGAGGCGAAGGGGTCTTTGTATTGTAACTTGGAATTCAAGAGTCCCTCTAATGCTTGGATGATGGCAAATTGGCTGAAATGCCAGTCGATTAATCGGCGCAGTGACCAAGGATTAAAGGATTCGTTGGTTCGAGGGCGCAATGCGGAGAGGTACACGAGGCGGTTTGGTTTCGTTACTGGATCAACAAGGGCGAATGCAGAGAATATCAAGAAACTCGGGTGGAAGGAGAGACAGCCTTTGAGTATGTCGAGTAGATACTACAAGAGAGGTTTGTGTTGTATATTTTACTGATAGTGTTCAAGGTGTCGAGATCGTGGGAAGATCAAACCCAAGGTAAGATCGTTTGGCGGGTTGGTTTGTGGTGGTGGTGCTCACACCTGCGACTGGGGCAAGAGCGATCCGGTTTCTGTCCCGGGATTGGTCAGCCTGATTTATCTTATGGAGCTTAGGCTCTGGCAGACAAAACCAGCTCTGGCATCGTAACATGACGCTTGGACCAGGAGAAGGTATCCCTGTAAGGTCAATCGCCTACATGTCTACATGGTCTTGCAAGTGCGGGGAGGTCACTCTCCCATGCTAACCTTTGAATCAGTGATTGTGATCATCAGCCTTGTCCTACGAGCCTCGTCAGAGTTCGATTTGTGCCCCCAAAGACTCGAGATTTTCTGAGTAACATGGACGACCTTTGACAACAGGAGGCATTCACTGGTAAGCGGCCACAAATGTTAAAACATAATCAGCGGATGTACTCCAATTAATTACTTCGTTTGGCTTGCTTGCTCTCCTCAATCGCCTTCTGCCCATCTCTGCAAGTCTTATAATAAATCATTACTACTACTATATCTTTCCTGTATAATGCCCACCCATGCTGAAAACAACGAAAAAGCGCCTTCAAGCCCACTTTAAGTCAACTGCTTATACAACCGACTACATGTCCAGTACGTCGCCCGCTTAAAATGGTAATTCGTCAGCACCCAGTCAAGCGCCACATCTATGAACAACACTGTCCCGTCCCAATGCTTGCTTCAATCAAACTCCACTGTTGGAAATGTCTACTCAAATGAGCTTCTAATTATAGCCTCAGCTCCCTAAGGATGTGGTCCGCCATGCTCTTGTACTGCCACGTGTTTCCAGCCATTCGCTTGAACTGAATACCATGTAGCGACAATAGTGGCACCTTGACGATGAAGATTTCAAACTCCAACACCATGCTTCCGCCAAGATCGCTCTGTACTTGAGTGCTCGTTTCTCCTGGGACTTGTCGGGATGGTCCCGCGTTCCTACCAGAGTTGCTATCAAACGAAGTCTCCGAGTTTGAGAAGCTACGGTCTCGATCCGAGCGGCCTGGCGTTCGTGGTGTGGTAGGAGGCCGGTCTGAGTCGCGGAACTCATCCCTTTCTCGCTCGCGGTCGTCTCCTCTCATGAGTCCTCCGAAGCTGAACCGACGCTTATGACCTGGGGTGTTTCCAGGGCTCATGGGTGGATCTTGCACCTTGTTCAGATCAATACTTGGTGAGTGACGACACCTGAATCCACCCTTAATCTCCGTGTAGTCAACGTTCAGTTGCTTCAATACCCGCTTGATATCCGTTCGGATCGCGGGAACCGACTTGCCGGATGTCGTCGACACGCTAAAGAGACCCTTGAGGAAAACTGGCTTGGACAGTTCTGTGTCGTCCAATCGTTCAGTGGACACGCCGCTCTGCTCCAACTCTTGATCCGTTTCTTCAGGAACATTAGCTTCCTGAGCAGCATCCCTTCTCTGCCGGCGATGTTGTATGCTCTCCCTTCTTGCGTGACCAATAGACTTAGCCCTCAAGCTCACAGATCGAGAATGACCATGAGTGCGGCGTGAGCTGGAAGATTCTTCATTCCCTACAGATTGATCAGATTCGTTGGTTGCTGGATGATCCTTCCGCCTTCTCATCTCTGCCGAGTTGACACTGGTCGATCGTCCCAAGCCACTTCCTCGTCTACCCTCCCTGGCACCACCAGCAGACATGGGCGGGCTTAGAAGCTCACCATGCTGGCCTTGGTTGCTGCTAGAACGGAGCTGCGAATCCGATACATCCTCTCTATCACGCCGGCCACGGCGGATGCTGAAGCTCTTTCGAGGTGCCAATGGTGAAGGTTCGGCTGGAGAATGAACCTGCACCACAGGAGGATGTGAACGATCCTTGTCCAGGCGCTCAGGCTCCCTACGCTTGCGTGTGCTGAAACGACGTAGGATACCAGCTGCAGTACCCTCCTTCTTTTGGATTTGTTCAACTCTCGGTTCAGGTGGTGGCGCAGGTGTCTGCTTCGGCAGCTCTGGCATATCGTCTTCGCCATGGGTCCTGGCACGAGGTCTGCTGCGTCCACCAGTGGGCTTTTCGCCTGGCATCTCATAGGCAGAAGAGTTGGTATGAGCTGCTTGAGGTGCTGCGATTTCTGGCAAGGGTTCGGCCTCCCTTGCTTTCTCTTTTTCACGGGCCTCGCGTTCCCTCTCTCGCTCTCTTTCCTTCTCCTCCCTCCTCTCTCGTTCGCGCTCTTTCTCTTTCTCTCTTTCCCGTTCCCGTTCCCGTTCCTTCTCTTTCTCCTTCTCGCGGGACTGGGATGCCGCTGGCGGCGGCACCATATCGGCATGATCGCGATCTTGCTTCTCCTTGACAAGGTAATATATAGATAGAAGGGGACTAAATGCGTTCATAGGGTCGTTCCCAACTTGGAGGGCCTCGGAACTGGGAGCCGACAAAGTATCGCGACTGTTGCCGGAGTTCCTTCGCTTGTAAAAGTCAAAGCCGAATGGCCTCCTCTTCTCGGCATCTTTCGCAGGCGGTGGAAGCTCCTTCTCTCTTTGGTAGAGCTTGATAGCACGCTGATATTCCTCGGATTCGATGATTTTGGTGAGCTGTGCATTGATGCTTTCGGGTGTGCCAAAGTTGAAGCCTTGCATAGCAAGAATTACCTCTGGCTCCAAGGGGGTCGTTAATGGTTCGCGGCTGGGCAGGTAATTATCGGGAGGACCGTTGAAGCCCTTAGCCATCCATGGGTGTGTCAATACTTCCTGCATTGTAGCGCGCTGTTTAGGATCCGTGACAAGCATGCGAGATAAAAGGTGTTTGCACTCTGTAGCTTAATTAGTAATATATATCGAAACAATTCGCAAGAAACATACCGCTTGATAGCCATGCGGGATAATCGACAAGACCCCTCTTAATTTTGGCGTGAAGCGCGGGCATGCTTTGGTCGTCGAATGGCACTTTACCGCAAACTAAGACATAAAGAACAATGCCGAAACTCCAGACATCGACCTCTGGGCCGGTGTACGCTCTTGCCTGCAACAGCTCAGGCGCAGCAAAATAGAGACTTCCACAGAATGTCTTAAGGTGACCCTTGGGGGCGAAGAGGTTGCTGAGACCAAAATCGATAATCTTGATATCGCCTGTCTTGCTGATGAGAATATTCTCGATCTTGAGATCTCTATGCACAATGCTGTTCCTGTGCAAGTAGTCCAAGGCACTTGCGATCTGCCTACTAAACTTTCGGGCTTGTTTTTCCTTAAGCTTGCCATGGGAAATGATATAGTCGAGCATCTGGCCACCGTTGACATATTCGAAAAGCATATACCAATGGTGGTTTGTACGGACAACATCGTGAAGTGCACAGATGTGGGGGTGGTTCAGGAGAGTGCTGATAGCCGCTTCGCGAGCAGTTCGTATTTCCTTGGATTGATCGGCACGCTCTTTGTCGGCGCGAGACTGATGGCCATCATCGGTCGAGCCACGAGGGATGATTTTACAAGCTACCTGTTGAGTCGAACATGGTCAGTATGTGTATGGGAGCTGCATGGATATCGCGATGAGGGGCATATTCATGCGCATAATCGAAGGACGAAATGATTCATAGAAATAATGTAATCGGCCAGAGCAAAAATGTTTAGACATACCTGTTCGCTGCCGTCTTCCTTTCGGGCGAGCTTGACCTTGCCCATGCTACCAGCACCAATGGTCTTGCCTAACATCCATTTTCCAGATTGGGTTGGGATAACCGTACGTGATCTTGCGTGTTTAGAAGTTGAAGCACGGGGTGGCGCGTCGGCATGATTAGTTGAAGGAGCTGCGCTTGCGTGGCTAGTCCCATTACTGGGAGCGCTGGCTGAAGGAGGCATCTCGGGCTGAGGGTTGTGGTTGTTGTTTTTTGAACGAGAAGAAGAGCTCCTTCGATGGGCCCTCGAGGGATCGGGGCCCCTAGTCGGGGGAGGATGTCGATCGTCTTTGCTCGAGGTTCGATTATGCTTTGGGTTTGCGGCTAAGCGTGAGGATTCGTGGTCATTTTGCGAAGTAGATCGGGATGAAGAGGTGCGCTGATGTTGGCTATGATGAGGGGGAGGATGTGAGTTGGCGGCGTTGGAAGTAGAACGAGAGTGAGAGTGGGAATGGGAATGAGAACGGGAGGCGTAGGCCTGGGATTGGGCCTGGGACAGGGACTGGGATTGGGAGCGAGATTGAGATTGAGAGTGTGAGTGTGAAAGCTGGCGGGTGTGAGATTGGTTGTAGTTGGCACCTGTTCCAGTGGACGTGGCTGGTGCAGGCGCTGCTGGGGCCGCTGAAGCGGAGGGAGAAGGGGGAGGAAAAGAAGGAACCCGACTGGAACGACTGGAGCGAGTTGAATGAGTGCGACCAGGACCTCGTGAAGCATCAGCGGCGGCAGAAGAAGCTGTTCTTGTTCCCATGACTGCTATTTTGTATATAAGTACTATGCTGTGATCTGCTGTGATGTGCGGTACGAAGCGAAGCGATGCGGTGTTGTAAGAGATCGGAGAGAGACGGTGTAAAAAAGGCGGGATGTTGATAAAGTAACTGGGTCTCTTTCTGGGGTTTGCTCGAAATGGTAGTGAGCTGTCGTGGAATCAATGCCCAAGTAGGCAGGGAAGACGCTGACCCGACCCAACTCGATTCCAGGTATAATGTCCAGTAATTGTATGAGCTGGAGCTGGAACTGGAGCTACAATGCCAACGCAGGCGTAACGTAGTCGCAAATCCAGTCGCTTGCCGGCAAGGCCCTTGACTTGATTCTTTTGCTGGCCGAGTACGACCTAATGACCAGAGTGAAGGGCGGACAGATAAAAAGACCAGAATTACTTAGTCCCTGTGGTGATCTGAAGGTTCAGTTCTTTAGTTGCGATGACGATGTGTTTGATCCGATACTGCCAACTGCATAAGAGACTACCTAGGTAAGGCACGACAGGCTCAAGTACTGACCAGAAAGCACCTGGAAGAGTTAGGCTCAATGCGAAGTGAAGCAGCGCTATATGCAAAACGTAGATGGATGGCACAAGAGGCAAATGTCGATAGGCGCAAGTATCTTGATTGAGTTGTATGCCAAGATAGTGTAGAGAGACTGAGCGTCTCTAGAGAGTAAAACAACCAGCAATCGAAGGAAAACAACGCAAAGATGCAAGTGAACAGGTAAGAATGTGCAAGGGAAGAAGTCAGAGCTTTTCACCCTGACAAGCAGATTTAGTAAGAGGACAACGGCGCAATGTCCGTCTGGTTTGTCCAAAGAACAAAAGCCCAGTTGGGGGGCAGGTTTGGCTAATGGAGATGGATATCGTACTATGTATTATGGACTGTAGCTAAAAATGACTTGGTCTGAAAGCGCAGCACACACAGCGCAACACGCAGGACATCACAGCGAAGCAGAACAAAGTGCAGCAGCGGTATGTCCCATCTGCTCACCTCTCTCACTCAAGAGGCTTGGAGGCCAAGGATACACCTGGATGTATGCATGCAAGTTGCCGAGACTTTACCACCAGTCCAGCTGTCTTTGATCTAGCACAGCAGGCCATCTCAATCGTTTCAGGGGACTTTCCACTTAGGTCACAGGTAGCTTCAACTTTCCACCAACAGTCAAGTCTTGAGTGGAGATGAGATATCTCGCTCTAGCTGAGCTCTCATTTCGCAGACCGTTAGTAATGGATCTAGTCTATAAGCTTGACGGCATAGTTGGAGCCATCCGTCTGTTTAATTCTACTTGACTAAGGTTTTGAGGAGAGCCTCAATCAGACCTGCAGTAGACATTGTGGCTTCTCATTCGATCGATAGCTCCACGATATCAATATCTGCACCGTTAAGTTACCGTACCTACCAAGCCAAGTTCCCTGTTTCCAGCAACACCAATGCCAAGCACAATATCCGACGTCAGCTACCAGTAGAACGCTGCATCTCTGACCTGCTAAGTGGATCTGCCACAAAGTGCTGCAAATTTACGTGGCTAATTAAACGAGGGGTTGGAGGCTGGGGTTCAGAAATGGGAACCAGGTTTAGATCTCGTCTCCTTTTGAGGCAGCTGTGTCTTGAAAGTCGCATTGCCTGTTCCAAAGAGCTCAAAGAAGCAAAATCGAAGCAGCCACACGACGGATAAGCGCATAGCATCTTACGGGCTGTCCCTGAAGGGATCAGAAGACATGGCTACCAAAAGCAGAAGAGACAAAATTAGCCAGTCACGTTAAACCATTTGAGACCATGATATCAGATTCTTTGTTTCTTTCAACCTATATCTGAGATGTCAATTTTTCTGTTACCCCTTGCATTGTGTAATGTGCCGGTGGATAGGATACGTTGTGATGCAGCACAATGCATGTCTGTGTTCACATCAGCCGGCAATCAATGATATGCCAGCCTGGTCTTGCTATAGGCAAATGTCAGCCACCGCACCCAGAAGGAATGCCAAGACTCAATCTGAGCCGAGTGTTCCTCTTCCAGTGACAGACAGACAGAAATAAACGCAATAGTTATCCCTCTACGGTTAGAGGTGTCGGTCAGACTGAAACAACTTTGGTGAATAGACATGTTTGAATGCTTCTTAGTATTCATCATGAGAAATACTATGACGTCTCTCTCCGATTATGTCATGACTTGTTTTGGGCAACTGTACGCAGCAGGTCTTGGAGTTGTTTCAAGGCTGCTCTGCGAATCGCATTCCTTCACAGCGATGCTCGATTGACAATTTTCACTCGCGTGTACTTGCATTGGTACCCGACGTTGGAGAAACTTTGGAGGGCTGGAGTTGCACAGAAACTCTCCAAATTTGATAGAACCCCCTGTCTTGAGGTATCCCACCGGGGCCATTGAGTTTAGCAAGTTGACAGCCAGGCTAGTGGCTTACAGAAAGGCTAGTCCCCAAGCTATAGAGTACAGAAATAAACAGTCTATGATCTCGGTCTAAATCGCACAATATGACTTACTATTTTCGCCGCTCATGTTTCCAGCAGCCAATCTTTCAGTCACCCTGACGGACAGGGAGCTAACTTTGTTGTTTATCGATAAGGCCAATATAGACGTTGCGACAGTAGTCGCATCAACTTAGCGATTCGCATCATCTTCGTCACAAACTCTGTGGTCATATTCGAGATCTTCGCGTCTTTACCCCAGCGAGTTAGAGCGCTCATTTTAATGCTTCTACGGCCATTACACGATACGCCAACATCTCAGTCCCATGTCATATAAACGCTCCCGCGCAACCTACGAAGCCGATTTCCATGCACCCTTCGCAACATTCGGCACTCCTCTCCCCGATGACCCCGAAGCCCGAGACGATGGCTCGTTCGTTCCAGTGTGGAAACAGGAGGTGAGGGATGAGAGGGGAAGGAAGCGACTGCATGGCGCGTTCACTGGAGGATGGAGTGCAGGATATTTCAACACTGTTGGATCCAAAGAAGGATGGACTCCGTCTACATTCGTCTCGAGTCGAAACAACCGACAAAAAGACGGCAAAGCCCAAGCACAGCAGCGACCAGAAGACTACATGGACGAAGAGGATCTTGCCGATGCCGCAGAAGCTCAGAAAGTACAAACTTCTCAGGCATTTGCTGGTCTCGGTTCTTCCGACCAGGATACCAACGCTGGAGGATTAATGGGTTTGCTGAGAGCTGAAGGTGACACCATGGGCCTGAAGTTGCTACGGCGCATGGGCTGGAAGGACGGACAAGGCATTGGTCCTAAGATCCGAAGAAGTGCCCGGCTTGATACCGAACAAAAGAATCCCGAAACCGCCGAAACGCATTTGTTCGCACCGGATAATGCTGAAATGATTCGATTTGTCCGCAAGAGCGATCGGAAAGGATTGGGTCACGACGGCGAAGCCAGGTTGACGAGCCTCAAAGCGATTACAGCTGCAGCCGACGACGATGACGACGACGACAGTAATAGCTTCGATACCTCCATCCAAAACACATCTTTATTTTCTTCACAAAAATCGAAGACGAAACCAGCGCGCGGTGGAATAGGAGTGGGTATTCTAAACGACAATGGATCCGATGAAGAAGACCCTTACGAGATGGGACCCAAAATCCGGTACAATCGCGTCGTCGGAGGTGACAAGAAAAAGAAGAAGGCAAAGAAAGCATCCGCTGCAATTAATCCTGCACTGAAAAACGCCCCTGTCTTCGTGTCTCGATCAGCTCGAGCTGGCAATGGTCTCGGGAGGTGTCACGATGGGCGATTGCCGCTTGATGGTTTCGTACTAGCCAAAATTACAAAGGATTTGTGTGATCTTCTCTTGGAGTATGCGCCGCCTCCAGTCCCAGAAGGATGGGTATCGTCCAAAACATCCTCAGACCAGGCCAATCCTTCGGACTACAAATCGACAGCTGATGCCGCGAAAGCATCCACCCATGACGCAAAGTCGAGGGCTGCACTTCTCGGAGAAAAGAGCTTGCCAGGGAAGTCTATCTTTGACTTTATAAGCAGCTCGGCACGCGATCGACTTGCTACAGCATCTGGGAATAAGAATCTCCCGCAAGGCTTGGGAGAAATACCCGAAGGCTATGCTATGTCAGAGGAGGAAAGACAACAGGCAGTTTGGGACCAAACGCCCAAGCTAGACCGAGACACAGCCATCGCAGCGATCTCACGAGGCTCATCCGGGCCTTACGCAGACAACGAGGAGAAAAAAGCACGTTATAGGACCTACTTGGAACACTTTGCGACAGGCAGTCAACCATTGCCATACAAACCTCAAGGCATGGGTTACGATGACTTTGCAAGAGAATTATCGGAATTCCATAATTGTGCCAGGATATTTAAACCTATGACAGGGTTTATGGCATCTCGCTTTACCACAGCTAAGAAGCCATCAACCGTCTCAGCAAACGAACCCGAGGCGGACCTATTATCAAAGCCAGAGCACAAGGTGACTGATCCAGCAGAAGATGCAGCTAAGATCGGCATGTACGGCAAGATGACTCGTACAGTCCAGGACTTTTACCCTACCAGATTGCTGTGCAAACGATTCAATGTTAGGCCGCCAGCACATTCTCAGCCAGATCCACAGACGGGAACTGGTTCTGGCCCAAGAAATCATGAAGATTCAAGACCTATGGATGATGTCGAAATCAATTCGAGGTCACTGAATGTGGATATCCAAATGATCGAGGGCGCCCCTGTAGGAACTGTGCCACCAGCTCCTGTGCCTGAACCGGCCATTAACCCAGACAAGAACGAAGCAGTAGAAGGGAAGACAGCGCATGATGAAGTCCTTCGAGCAATTTTCGGAGATAGTGACAGCGAATAGACCGCTCCTGATTACAACATACTAATAAGTTAAATGGCAAAAGAAGACGTGCTTGCAACAACTTTTGCTACTTGAATTCATATATCAGATACCTGCGTCCAGATCAATAGATGCCAAGGATATACTCCGTATGCATCGGGTAAATGATGGGACTAGGTTTGATGGGACCTGTGATGTAAATACTGTTTAACCGAAAAGTCTTAATATTAATCCCGTGGCCTAGATGATTATTGACCTCGAAATAAAGACAGATCATGTTGGAGGGACTTTACATAATATCCCAAAAGGATGTATTTATACGGTCACTAGCATTTATTTGACCCCATTCTTTGAGATGTCAATGTTTTCAACCTCCATTCGATCGGCCTCTCAATCTTAAACATGGAAGGACGCCAAGGGTCGAGCTTACAACTCCAGCGCCTCTAGCGCCTCACCTCCACTTGGACTGAGCGGCTAAGACCCTGCTGGTAGCACGTAGAGACCTCTGATTGGACCAGTCAACTACAACGCGGGGCTCCAATTTAGTGTCACTCTGCCACTGAAGCTCGGGGGCTCACTTCAGGGGAGCAGCCGTCGAATGAGGAATCGCGTTGCTCGCTGTTCTGAGGACCAATGTGAACCTCACTCACGCATCACATCACATCGCCATATCTCCATCACTTATAGGGAGACCTTCACGACGCGACGAGGCCGCACTTCCGATACGACAGCGAACGAAAATTTTCTCCATTCGCCTGTTGCGCTTAATTTCCGCCCTCAATCAACGTTTCAACTCTATTGTTAGACTGTTTACCACATCAACCACCTACTCAGCCGTCTTGGAACCGGTGAACTACCTGCATCTTTGATCGACCGCTCTTCTCCTTTTCGTCCCTTTGCCGATTTGGAGAGGCCCTTTGTCTTGAACAAACCTGTGCCCTCATAAAAGGAAACCGCCATCCTGTCTGAATTTCAGGAACTTGGAATTGGACCATCTACGTCCTTGGACAACAAGACACCATCACCTGCCTCGTCAAGACCGCCAAGCACGCGCACAACTTCAAGCCATCATTGCGAACCGACTCCCGATAACCTAAAATCCGCCAAAGAGCCGGAATCTCACATTCTTTCAAAGTGCGAGCAGTCTCCACCGCCGCAGTATCCCTCCTCCGAACCTTCAACCTCGCGCCCTCCCCCCTTCTCGTCGCTCTTTACCTCTCCGACCAACAACGCTCACGAGCGCTCCGACAAATTCGTCACCTTTACTTCTCGTTCTCCTTGTGAAGCAGAGGCATCAGGATCCGCCGCGCCAGCATACGAATCTTCTTCTCCAAGAGAAGCGCTTCCGTTTGACCCAGACCAAATCACTACTGCATTTCGCGATCCAGTCGCGGAAACCAAGCGCGCACTTCCTCGGGATACCAAGGGAGATTCTAATCGAAAGGACGAGGACACAGAACCGCCTCCGGCTTATTCAGAAGAGGGCGATAGTCCCCTTGCCGCATTCTCTTTCCTAATGGCTGCCGCAGGAGGAGCTTCAAGCATCATCACCCAGGTGCAACAGGGCGGGCCGCCTGTTGCCACTCTGGGAGATGTTGGTGCTGACGAAACAATTGCTATGGACCTGAGGTGAGCTTCTTGCGCTGAATTCAGTCGCTGATACTAATTCCAAATAGGGGTACAAGGTTTTATCTCTCCAGGGATGAATTGCTCACTTTACCTGAGTTTGTTCTTCTCTCTTTGTTCCCCAATGGTTTGTTTCCTGAGGGTCAAATGGGCGGTTTTTCTGACGGCGATGCCGTGCAAGTAGACGTAAGCCAATGCCCTTCTTATTGTAGCAAACTCGTTGACTCACCGAGACTAGTACGACCCAGCTTCGCTTCAGTACATGCTTGATTTCTTCAGGGACGTCGCACAGTCTATCCCCACAGATGGATCACCAAGTGCTTCGCAAGACGAGGATACACCATCTCTTGGTACATCTCGTGACGACTCTAAGCGAGCCGGTATCATTGTACTCCGTGAGGACCTTGACTTTTACGCTATCCCTCCCCGACCAGACATTGGTCAGCTTGATATGATTGCCGTGAAACGGGCAGCCGCAGAGGCTTTGCAGCAACAGTCTGGCATCTTTTCCGGACTCAAGCGAAGTGACGAGCCCGGTACTACTGAGGCCCATCTTATTGAAATGTTGACAGCAGGGTGAGTCAAGTCCGCATGAACTTGTTTCGAAGTAACGAATACTGACCTATTATAAGTGGTTTCAACCACGACGACCGATGGGGTCACCGTGCTGGCGAGCCTAACAAGGCTGTCATTTGCAGTTTGGCACTTGCCCGTCTGCGCAGCGATATCCGGGGCAACGAGATGGGTACCAACGCCGTTGGCATGGCCCAGAAGCTTCTCCTCTTCTGGCGCAAGCCCGCCCGACGATGCTGGTGGGAAGGTGTTGAACTCGAGAACGTTGCTGGTGTCGAGGGCAAGCTCAAGGTCTGGATTCGAAGAGTATGGACCCTTGAGATGAGTGTTATTGGCCTTCGTTAAACCATCATGTTCCGCATTTCTCTCCTCGAAAAACGTATAATTGTTACCCTCTTTCTTTTTTGTCTATCACACTTTGTGTAGCTTTTGTTTTTTTATCCCCCCATTCCCTCCCACATTTTCACTATTTCCTCCATCCAACTAGGCTACTACCCATTGTCTTTTTTCTCTTTTTCTGTTTTACACCATTTCATCCTGCGATCAAAGTTGGCGGAGGTTGGCCCCCATGAACTTGGCCAGATGCAAAAAAGGCACATACGTGGAAAGGAAGAGAGGGTTTTTGATCCATCGAGATTCACAAAGGGCGGGCGTCAGGGTGCCATTGGAATGTTGGGAGTTTCTTTGCAGACCTCCCATCTGTCTTTTCTTTTATGTTTGATATACAGTACAGAGATAATTTAACTACTCAAAGACATGTGTATATTCCTCCTACGCGGAGTTAGGTCCAGTTCCGTACTAGATGTGTGATGTTTTGGGAGGTCTTCTCAACTCTATGACGTCTTTCATGATGCTCCTTGAACAAGAACAATGGCTTCTTTCTTATAAAGGCGAGCGATGTTCCATGATCCCACGAACCCTCTTGGAGTAATATCCTTGGTTACATCTAGGCCAGGAGTTCCTTGAGAGGACAACATCGCGTAGTGGGTAGCAGAAAAGTTGACATTTAAGCTTTATGGTACAAAAACGAATCGCCTGTAGGTATGCATCGCTTGTCATGCTACTATCAAATCACGAGAAGGCCTGGCAGGAAATCATCATGAATATACAATGGTGAGATGCTGGCTGTACAGAGTAAGTGTTTCGGAATTAGGACTGTCTTTGCTGATTGTCTTACATATTTCACCCATTCTCTGAATTCAGAAGATGCCCTATTTGTGAGCATCCACGTCTCAGCATTGTCATCAAGAGAGCATCGAAGCTTACGCAGTAATCATTGGACATTCAAGATGCTTACTTATGTGAAGGTCTTTCAGTCGTCCATTGTTTAGTGACAGGCTGAATATGCTGCGCACAATGTGTTTCGAAAGCAAAGCTTGGGAAGACATAACGCCTTGCTATACCACGATTCTAATAATAGAGTCAACATAGCGTATACCAAATGTTTAAAAGTTTGAAGGGAGATGGCGTGTTGTGGCACTTGTACGAATAATATAGTTTGGTACCTGCATAATACGATTTGGCGGCGTTACACTCACAATATCAGGATCACTCGGCACTAAGATATGTATTGAACTGGCACGAATTCTGGTAATTCCTGAATTTTATCATGGTAGTCTGGAATTGTCAGGTTCTGTATCGACGGGCAAAGACCTACTGGTATATTGTTGAGCTCTTGAACTCGCAAGCTCCGGGCAGTGCCTGCAGATCATTGCTCGCTCAGTGTCTCGTTCCTGCATGGTTTCTAGGCATCCTACAATTAGGAACGAACGGAACTTGATGAACCGTGACATCCGTATTTCTCCAAGAGGAGTTCGTATCTCGAGAGTTGATCAATCCTGCCATTTTTATAATACCAAGAAATATCAGTTCCTCATCGTACTCGTATATAGCACAGCCTCAAACATTTGGGTTAGTACATTGAATCAAGCATTTTAAGTTAAGAGCGATCTGGGGTAAATGGGCAGGATCAGCCGGGATCGACCTGCCGACCTTCCTTTCATTGGGTCATTCAGGTCTGCACCTTCTTGGCCGAGGCATCAATGACATGTTTGTCTCTCTTTCCAAGGGTCCTTCCTCACTTTTCATTCCCATCTCCAACTTATTCCTTGCTTTGGCTTCGCTTCATCTTCATCTTGTTTCTTTCACTTCCACTCTCACGATCACGTTTACGATTCACGACTATTTCCATTCATTCTTTGATACCCATTCGCATACGATTATTCACATCATTTGTACAACTCCATATTTTGCCTGCTTCCAAAAACCCCAAGTCCATCACATTTGCTTCCTGATTCCCCGACGTCATTCCCCTCACCGTTACAATGGCGCCGATCCTCCGCGTTACCGCCACCACATTGGCTTCAACGCTTCTCTTCTCTCTATCTTCAGCCCAGGATTGCAAATTCCAAACCCTCAAGACATCATACCCATCCCCCGTCACTGCCGAGAATTGGAGCTATGGCCTTGTTGCCAACGAGCTTAGACGGCCCCGAGGCATTCTGTTTGACAGCAAGGGTGCCCTCATTGTCATAGATTCTGGAAATGGTATTCTCCATTTCGAACTCGAGGATGGAGGAGGGACATGCCTGCAGGTCAGGAAGAAGACAACCCTGCTCGAACAGGACAACGTGAGTCAGCTAAACATTTCCCAATTTGATTCAAACTGACCGAACATGTCTAGTTGAATCATGGTCTCGCCATCTCCAAAGATGGCCGAACTCTCTATGCTTCTTCGTCCAATGATGTCTTTGCATGGTCCTACGACCCGTCAAAGGTTACCCTCAACAACTCTACAGTCCAGACCTTGGTCACCAACATGGCAAATAGTGGCCATACTTCACGCACCCTACTCATCTCAGACAATAATCCAGATATGCTTCTTGTGTCCCGTGGCAGTGCTGGCAATGACGACCGTGGAGCCGAGGATCAAGAGACCGGCCGTTCCCAGATTCGTGCATTTAACATATCATCTTTCACCAGTGGCTCTGACAAGAAGCCCGAACCCTATGATTATCTCGATGGCCGTCGACTTGGTTGGGGACTCCGTAACTCGGTAGGCCTGGCAGAGCATCCCGAGACCGGTGGCATCTTCAGTGTCGAGAACTCGGCTGATCAGCTCCACCGCAACGGTGAAGACATTCACAAAGACAACCCTGGTGAAGAGATGAACTTCCACGGCTATCTCAACGGATCCCGAGAACACCAGGGCGGCAACTATGGCTACCCTCATTGCTACACACTCTGGTCTACTGACGACTTCCCCAATCGTGGTAATCTCAAAGTTGGCGACCAGTTTCCTGCTGATCGACAGTCTCGTCAAAATAAGGACGATACCAATCCTACCGACCAGGAGTGTAATGCGGATTATGTCGCCCCAGTGCTGGCATTCCAAGCTCACACTGCACCGCTCGACATGAAGTTTGACGAGGAGGGCAATACTGCCTATGTTTCGTTCCACGGAAGCTGTAAGTCACCACCATCCTGAAACCTATCCTATCTAACATCGTCAGGGAACCGTGAACCTCCAGTTGGGTACCAGATTTCTGAAGTAGCTTTTGAAGATGGTCAACCAAAAGACTCATCACGAAGCAAAAGCGCTGCCACACCCATCATCTACAACGAAAAGCTGTCTAACTGTCCTGACGATTGCTTCCGTCCTGTTGGTTTGGCATGGGACCCACAAGGACGATTGTGGTTCAGTTCTGACAAGACCGGCGAGATCTTTGTCTTGAATCACAAGAAGGAAGACTTTGACGGCGCCTCTAAGGGCGACGACAGCGATGACGACGATGATAATGACAACTCGGCATTTTCTCTGCGACCTGGCTCTGCTGTATTGATTGTGACAATGGCAGCTGTCGTCATGGGAGGATTCCTCGCATAAGAGAGCAGTGTACTTGAAGTACTGGTTGCCGAGGTCTTGAAGGGATGGGTGAGAAGAGTTATGCGGCACTTTGGTTTGGAGCGCGTGTTTCATTCGGGGCAATCCGATATTATTACAGTGTATAGATTAACCTAATTCATCATTGCTTAAATTCATAACTCTATGCCCATGAGCCAACAAAGCTTGCCTCTCGCCTTACATCGTCATCGTGCCTGTTTTGATAACAATCGGCTTCAGCCCCCTTGTTACCCACAACTGGCGTCTTCTATAGTATCTAGAGGGTAGCAGAATAAGCTTTAGGTTACAAAGGAAATAGCCCAAGAGAAGATGAGTATAACCAAGCTACAGACTCGCATCTTCACGTCTCGTTCAGTATTGGGTTTAAGTGGCCATAGCAAGATAATCACCCTTTTGTTTGCCTTGAACGCCTGGCTCTCCTATTTGTATCCATCAACGTGTTGTTGTACGTAACCATACTCTATTCCTCAATAGTCTTAACACACTCCCACTCACCCCGTAGGTTCTCCTTCCACAATGACACCTTGTTGTCCTGGCCACTGACTGCCAGCACGTTACCGCTAAGCGACCAGCTGACTCGCCACACAGCCGCCTCAAAGGGAAGAACCTTGGATTCCCACTGAGTAGGGCTTGAAGGATCAGATGTCCAGATGCGGACAGTCTTGTCCTGGGAGGCGGAGGCGATGTAAGACTTCTGGAGGACAGTAGGAGACCAGGCAACATCTCGGACCCAGTCGGTGTGACCGGTCAGGGGCTCGCGCTCCTGCTTGTAGGTCTGAGAAGCAGGGTCAAAGGCCCAGATCTTGAGGACGTTGTCGCTACCACCAGTGACGAATCGACGGTTACCAGTAGCACCAGGGCCAGGAGCGCTGCTAACAATGCTGCCGGGGGTTGTAGCTGGGGCCCAAGAAACGGAGTTGACGCCGAGACCGTGAGCGGCAAAGGTGGTGTGGTCGATGCTGTTGTCCTTGAACTCGAGAACGCTGACATTGCCGTCGGAAGAGGCGCATGCTAGCAGGCAGCCAGCCTCGTGGGGAGACCAAGAGACGATGTTGACCGAGGCCTTGTGTAGGGGAAAGTCGTAGATTCGCTGCCATCCGTTGCTCTGTCCACCCTGCTCCTTCCAGATGAAAACCTTTCCATCGTAGCCAGCCGATGCCAGGATGTTGCCGTACTTGGGATGCGCCCAGGCGACACACCAAACAGCACCCTCATGACTATTGATTCCTCCTGGTCAGTTATTGTTTGTGGTCTGGCGAGTGCTGTACTCACCCCTTCAGAGTCTCGACCAATCGCTGGGTCTCGCCCTCAATCTCAAAGATCTTGATCGTCTTGTCGCCAGAGCAAGTAGCTAGCTTGCGGCCGTAGTAGTCGAGGACAGCGTCATGCTGGAGAAGCTGTCAGTGTAGCTCGAGATGGGAGGAAGCTTGGTTGTGTATGTGATCAAAAGCTATACGATGCATCGTGCAGCTCCCAATCGCATTATTCGAGGGGTGGAACGTACAATCATGTCCTCATGACCGGAGTTGGAGATAACTTGCGCCGACTAAAGGGGTGGGGAGTTAGCTTTACTGTAATCAATATATCTAGATATTGATCAAGACAAGTGGGTTTTCGTTGGGTAGAGAACATACCATTTTGTTTGATTTCACACCAGAGTTACAGCGCAAAAAGAAACAATCAGAAGAGGGATGACTTATAAAAGGTGGCTACTATCAGAGGACACGATACCGCCCATGATCTGGAGCTATCGCGCGCCAGACCGTGGCGGTGGTGACAGATGGCCAAGCTGAAGGTCACGTGAATCGATACGTGATCTCATCGTCTATTCGCCAACCCCCACTTACCGCTTTTGTTCCCGAGCGGTAGAGGCAATACGTACCGAAAGTTGATGTAGCCTCGGTCGCAAGCTTCCCCGGACGCTACAGTAGCCGTTATGTATTCGATCACGAGCCATTGACTGTCCTGCTTTTGGAATCTGGGGAAACGGTACTTTCTTGGATTATTCATCTTCAAACCTTACGTCTCATTCGTCTTTTTTACTTTCGACATTGTACTTTATTACTTGTCTATATACACACCATTATCTATTGCGCATTCTCTCGAACCATCTATCATCTACTTGTGTTGTTCTACTCGCGCCGCCACTAGAAACAAACACCCCGCCTAGACCGAGGCATACTACTTGGATACCAACATCTTGACGACATACCCATACATAGATACAATCATGGCGGACGCTTCATGTAGCGGCGGTACTCCCTTCAAGCGACTCATCGATCACCAGGCCCGAGATGTCAGCCATCATCAGGACCGGCTCATAGATCGCAACGGTCCCCAAGGCCATGCTGTAAGTGCAAGCATGATATTCTACAAGATTACAAGCTGAACTCTTAAGTCCTTCAGATCTACACCACAGCATATGCAAGGCGCGGATGGCTTCGGCGCATTCATGGATGGCCCATCAACCCTTCCAGGAGTTCCCCAGCATCACCACGCAGCGGGAAGATTAGCAGCCCATGCTGCCGTTCTTGAACAAGGACATCCACATGCATTCCACGCCGCACAGCCATCGCACTTTAATCAAGCGCATCACTCCCCTTCAGTAGATACGAGTAACTGGGCATCCGACTTTAACCGCTTCGCAAACCAGTCGCAGCAGCGACAACCTATCCAGAATGGCTTCTCTCAAGCCGCGCCTCAAATGCACCAGCCGACCCCTCAGATGAACTTCCACACCGCATTCATGCAACCCAACAATGATTTCGCGCCCATGTATGGCCAGTCTACCGGTACTTTCATGGACAATACCACAGCACCGATACAAGAAGCTGGTTTCGACGACGAAATGTCAAAGTGGATGGCAACAAACGGTGGCGGGGGTATGGAAGAAGTAGACGCCATGATGGACAAGATGGCTCGCGAACTAGAACTCAACGACGCAGCGGTAGCGCAAGCCGAAGCCGAACGTGCCTCACAAGAGGAAACCACCGTCGAGCCAAGACTAGAAGCGAATCCTCTCAAACTTGTCTCTGATGACATCGGCAATCTCTCCATCGAGGCAGAACGAGAGGCTATTCTTCAAGAACCCGAACCCGCCGAGACTGTCAAGACGAAGTCCGAAGTCGCAGACGCTGCTGAACGACTACTAGAATCAGTCGAGCACGAAGATGGCGAGAAGTGGAAGAATTCGGTATTCTTGTCTCTTATGCGAGATTTCCGCGATGGGAGAAAGGATATTATCGACAATGAGATTCGCGAAACACCTGAGAACGAGACGAATATTGCGAAAGACGACCAGTGACAACTTTTGAATCACCGCGAAACCAACAGAGCTTCTGAGCAGGATTTACAGCGTCAGAATACCTTGGAACATGCTTCAGGGAATCTTACCCCTTATCAAGACGAGTTGACGTCGCGATGGGAAGTTACGCCAATGTTGAGCAATGGAACTGAGGAGCCTGTGCCAACACATGGTTCTTGTATTGAGCAGCTCAGTCGGACAACGTTCTAAACTATCATCTACAATGATAACCAATGAGATCGAGGAATGAAACAATGAACAATATATGGTTCATATATATAGGATATAGGGGCCGAGTCCATATAATACATCATTTTGAATACAAGAGACTTAGTAACACACTTCAGTTTTAAAAACAGTGTTTGTATAAACATGCACAAAAAAGACAAGCAAAAGATGATGATAGTTTGATTTAATTCAGAAAAAGCATTTCTTTTCGTAAGCCGCCAGTCGCTCCTCTAACTCCAAATATTCCCATCCCTTCATTTGTAACCCAAAAATGCAATCCGTTACGTTGTCATCGCGTCTCCCGTGATGCATTCTTGAATAATGACAAAAACGCAATGGCGCGTACACGATGTAAGTTAGATATAAGAAAATCGTGCAATCCAAACCCCAACCCAGTCTTGTATGCATAACGCCATGTGATATCGAAAGAAAAAGAGAAGAAAAAAGATATCAAGAGCAATCTGTGTTCTTGATCATGACTCATTCGTGATGAGTCGACGCTCTATTGAGATTTCCATATACAAGCGCAATCGGTAAGTGCTGGACTTGTCCGTCTCATTAGTTGTGGAAGAGATCGCTTGCCCTTGCCGGTCCATGTAAGCTCCAGCCCAGAGATAAAGTCCTCGTCCTCATCTTCTTGAATAGTCATTGTGATTCTTGTGCCATTCCTAATGAGCGCCGTCGCGTTGGTTCCGTCGCCAATCACTTCGTATTGAGTGCATGTGGCTACCGAATCTTCGTCCCAGAGAAAGCGGCGCTCCATCATTTTGTAAACATGAGGGTAGACAGGAAGTTTCCAAGCATCCCAAGCGGTTGACTCAGTCGCATAGCTGTTCTCTGTCGTGGTAGAAACGCCACCGCTTGTTGTCGGGGTTGGGTGGTATCCAGTGGCGGTTTCGTTAGGATAAATGAAAAATTCGATAACGGTGTTTGGCCAGGTACAAATCCAAGGTTGTTCGCCCACCTTGGCATTCATTGGCTTGTTCTTGAATCGATGGAATGAGTTGTAATCTTCGTAATCACCACCATCTTCATCCCAGCCTCGCTTCTCCAACTCGCCAAGCTTCTTGTCTGATACGATGACGGTTTTGTTGTATGTTGTCCGTAACCACCAAGCAGGACCGCGTGCAACATCAGTTGTGTCGTTAACCAACTTCATAGCAACAGTACTGATACTTGGCGGTTGGGCGCCCCAAGGAAATGGGTATTTGTCATCGTCAATGGCCCTGAGTGTCAGGTTGTAGGAGATTTCGGATTCGTTCTTAGGGTCCGAATCTTTCAAAACCTGAATCGACCAAAGGGGATAAATGATGTCGCAGGACCAAGCTGATGATTGTGTTGTGTCATTAAAGCAAGCGCTATATCCCTGGGGGCTAGGGTCAATGTTGGGAAGGGCAAAACGGCCTGTTGCCATGGGTGGTAAATCGCTAGGTATAATTGTCAAGATTTCAGGGTCATATGTTGTTGGAGTAGGAGGTGATAAATATTTGTTACTAAAAAGTTAGCATAAAAGTCATGTCAGATCGTCGGTATAGAACTTACTCGTCAACGTCAGGGGGCGGAGGTGGGTGATTTTTAGTTAGCATCGTCCCAATCACAGCACCCATGATAATACCCATCAGAATAAGACCAACAAACAGGAGACATATGGCCCAGTAAGGCACGATCCCGCATAGCTTCTTCTTAGCCCGCCGTTGCCATTTGTTGACGGGAGGTTTCTCAGAAAGTCCAGCGGCAGCACTATTGATGTCATGTGAACTGTTGTCTGAAGAGTTGGCGCTTCTCACAGAAGGCCGGGTCCTCGGCAAAGCCAGGTCGTCATCAGTCGAAGAGAACTCGGGGTCGCGAGTTGCGATTCCAATTCCACCGGCACCGGGTATTTGAGCAACTGGTCCTTCTCTAATTGGGGAGGATGGTTCCGACACAGGAGATACTGGGGAAACAGGTGCTTGTGCGGTTGGCCTGGGCACATAGGCGTTGTCTGGGTATCTTGTGTAAGGTGGCAGTTCTTCTGTGTGGCCCAAAGGGCCTACTAAATCTCCTGCCTCTTCTCCATCTGGTCCTATTTGCCGCTGGTATGTTGTCCCTAAACCGTTGAATCCGACTGGGATTGACTGACTGCTACTCTCGCCGGAAGTAGTGTTTTGCGTATAAAGCGCATATGGGTGAGCCGGGCCTTGAGCTCCTTGATAAGGCCGATCATCTGGTATGATTGCATTGGCGGCAGTAGAGGTTGTAGCCATGCTCATTGTTCGTTGGGGGTACATGTTGTATGGGTGTGAAGGACCAGATGGGCCAGTATAAGGGCTTTCGGCACGGATGACAGGGGCGTCTGATGATAAGCTGGGGTTGTTTCGTACATGAGATCTATCAGCCATGGTCGTGCCATCATTTCGGAGAGCGAGAGAGTCGTGGTTTCGGTGCGGTTTTGAGATACTGGAAGGTCGGTTTCGAATAGCAGGTGTGATCTCTGATGATGAACGGGGCGCGATAGATTCCTCGGATGACTTTGCGGAGGTTGTTGGTTGTGAGAAAGACTCGGTCGGGGATAATGGAGGTTCATGTTGAGCACTCGAGTTTGGTGTCGGGTTCGTGTTTGAAGAGGTGGTGGTATCAGTAGGTCGGAATCCGTCCGCCACCATCATGGCATTGAGGTCATAGTCATCTTCGATAACAGCACTACCCGCTGATAGCCTTAGAGAACGCGATCGTCGGGTCGAAGAGCGACGCGAGGCGGCAGAGATCTTGCTGTCGTTGGGATCCATGGCGTGATGAAGAAGTAGGCTAGGGCTTCGAGCCAGAGACGCCGGCAAGGGCGTGCCCTAGAGGTGGTGAATTAATTATCGAGCGTTGAAGTCGAGGTTGTTGTCCTAGAGGTACGATCTGGTTTGGTTGGGAGAGCGGTCGGCTGGTCAATGTCGAAAGGGAGGCCAGTTTGAGTTGGAATGCGAGCGGTATTTAGCGAAACGAGCGAGATTCTGATTCGATAGAGATGAAATTGGGCGCGTCGAGCGTTATCGAGAGTTCGGGATGATGAGCGAAGGTTTTCGGGTTGAAGATGTCGACGAGTTGATTGAATGATTGACAGATTGAATTGTTTAGCCGTTTGGTTGAGATGGATGGATCGATGGATGAATGGGGAATGGGTATGAATGGATGGGCAGGAAGTGCAAAAAAGCCAAGAAAGAGAAAGCGGGTTTCGAGAGGGAGCGAGGGAGCGACTGAGTGGCTACGCGGGAGCAAGAGGGAGAGAGCGGGCCAATAATAGACAAGAGGCGCCATGCCATAGAGGGTCCCTCAGCGGGTTCAAGTGGGTACTCAGACCAGAACTGAACCAGTAAAATATATCCCAGAAAGGGGAAAGATGTCGACCTAGGGACCGTCTAGGGGAACGAGCAACGAAACTAAGCTAGAGATGGACTGGAAAAGTCGCCAAGGTTTTTGCTTTTCCTTGGTCCTGAACATGGTCCTGAAGTTGGAAGTTAAGAGCGCGCCATGAACAAATTCATTCCACTTGTCTTTTAAGAGAGTCTGATACAGATCTAAGATGTCCGTTCAATTGTTTCCCATACTAGGTACTCTCTATTGTACCTCTACTATGTACTGAGAGAAAAGAAACCCCCTGGTTGCCATTCAACCAGTGGACCTGGCTAGGGTCTCCAAGGGGGTCACTGACCATGGTCCGCCTCAAGCGATTGGCAGATCAACCAAGAGGGACCAGTTTCAGCACGCAGCAATGGGCAATGGCTCTGCGTTTGTAGTGGATGGAGAGAGGTTTCATTCCTGCGTCATTGCATTGGAACTCGCCAGACTTTTGTTGGACTAGTCAGTCAGTCTACACAGTACTTCCACGATGTATGCATAATCATGTTGTTATTATTGTTTACGTGGTAGAAACCTCGTATTTACTATCCTCGTAGCCCTCAGTCTACGCAGTCTCGGCCTTGATGACAATTCATCTCCATCTTTGACCGGAACCATCAGCTCCTCTCTCTCTCTCGCTTGGCAGCCAAACCTGACTGGGATATTACAGAGCAAAAAAGTTGGTCAGTAGATGAGATGAATGGAGGGGGACTTGGGAATCAGGGTCTAGAAAGATGGAGAAACAACATCTGACAAGTTGACTCTCTATATATGTGATTAACGATGAGAGTCATATCATCTGTTTTGGTTTATCAAAAACTCTTCCTTCCATCACATTCCTAACATGTCACTGCCGATCCCGGCCGAACCGGCGACGAACTTCCATGATAGTCTTGACTTGGCTTGGTCTCCTTGGCTCGGCTTGGCTTGGCTTGTCCCAATCCTAAGGTCAGGTCCAGGTCCCTCAAATCAATCTCGGATGTCCCCCGTTTCCGCTGATCACAGCAAATCTCAGGGTAAAAACTGAGGGCTGAATCTTTTTTGGGTAACCCGTTATTAACTGCCAGCTTCATTAAAAAGGTCCACACAAATATCCTGCCTTTCCTTCATCGCTTCCAAGTTTTCTCTAAACGTCACTTTTGTTTGACCTAATCCAAGGATTTTGCTCCATCAGAAATAATTTCTAATTTTGATTGAATTCACAGAATTAATATCGCGTGCCAAATGGTGCTCTCGTCGACTAATATTATGCTTATGCCTGTACCGCTCGGGCTGCCTCTATCATCTCACATGTCTTGTGTCTCCAAGCTTATGCTTCGGCAACGTGCAACGTGCAACACGAACTCGGAAACATGGTCACAGTAAAACAAGAGTTACTTCCCGATAACACAGTCTCATGCTGTGTCCAACCACAGCCCGCAATCTCACAAGTTTCTTCTTTCAGATGCATACAAAGTTGGACGATTTCGATGTATGCGTTGTCACGAAAAAGATGGTGTCAGACCCGAGACTCTCATTGATCTTTTTCTTTTTCACAGAAGCAGGTGAGATCTAACTAGCTCTTATATCAAGCAACCCCCAAATGAAGCATTGCTCGCCTCGCTTTTATTTGTTTCGTTATCTGTACATGTGTCTTGTCTGGGGTAAGTCTAGTCTAGTCCCTGTGCTGAACTGCCGGGACATCATTGGAAACCTAGAGCAACCATGAAACGAAACCTTGGTCTCGGGTCGCCTAGTGACTCGAGATGTTGAACCACACGTTCCACACTTGTAGATATGAATAGTGGTGGGTTTTAGTTAGCACTCGCATAGACTGGAGATCACCCGGACTTGAAGGAATAAATCCTCCTTGAGCTAGTGAGTTCTGTGAAGATCGAGCGAACTATCTATCATCAGCTGTTTCATCGGTCGTGAGTAATCAATACCTATACAGGTTACCCATGTCAATGTTATGGCTTCAGTACTGTTACCCTACATTGATCTCATTATCAACACATAACGTAGAGTCCAACCATAAAATAACACTCTAACTGTAAACGAGGCTCAAAGAGCACGCATATACCACTAAATGCATCTCTCGAGCCTGCATCCTTGGATCGTCAGCCTTATAATTGATGTTTTCTGTTTCGTTTCTGCACACCAGATCACCTCACCTCACCTCACTTCACCCGCTTATATAGCTCACCTCTCTTGAGCGGCTATTTCCATACCATGACATTCCATTTTCAAGCCAACTGCATGAAACCCCATCCTATCCCATCATGTCACAGCACTCCCAGTTGAATATTGTTTCCCCTCTTTTCTTCTCTCACCCAACCAAGCTAAACTCCTTCCCCTCCTTCCTGCGCCGCGGCAGCTCGCAGCTTGCAGTAGACCTCAACCAATCGTTGTGCTTCAAAACGAGCGCTTTGCAACCGCGCTCTCATAACTCAGGTTCTTTAGATGTGCACTGCAGCCTCGTTTCGTTACCTTGGTCGAGGTTTATACTTGAAAGACAGAGAGGATACAAAGCAGCCACGGCGAAATGTCCTGACTGCATGACGTCTGGGCGTCGCCTATCCTCGACCCATTCGCATCATGTTGTGTTTAGTTCGAGTGATCAGTCGTTCGTGCTATGTAATTATGCTGCTCAACGGGGTTTCGTGCTAGGTTAAGTTTCAAGGAAGTTGATCCTATGTCCAATGTACTACTGTTCTCAAGGTCGAGTGCGAGTAGACTTGACCTTTGTATCGTGGCCAATTGACTTGGTGTCATCCAAACAATTCCTTTTTTAGCTAACAACTTCTGACGAACCATACATTCACATAAAAGTGCTGCATATTTCGCTTCACCTTAAATTTACTCGTCCACGAGATTTGCATCTCTTACACCCTCATCTCTGGTCCCAGATCACCTCTCTCAAAAGCAGGGCGAACGTGGCGCACCCTTTTGTTTGTACGGCTGCTCGCCCGAGAGAGCCTCAAGGAACCAAACGATGTCTAGGTTCATTGGTGGTTCGTCACCTGCAGATTTGTTACTGGTAACTGGTACTGCACATCACCTGGAACGTTTTGGTCGTATCGTATAGGCTCGCTCACACAGCTGCACAGACGAACGTTCACTATACTCACTCTCATTCGACCATCATATTCCCCCCCTTGTCGCTCTTACTCCTGTCGTTACCCTTCTGAGAGCCTACTGCCGTGTAATGTGCGACAACCATGGGGATAACAATAACCTCTCTTTTTTGGTCTTGTCGTCGCCCGCAGAATATGTGATGGCTTGACAAGGCAGCCGATCCTGACGATTGCTCTATGGATGTGTAATGCGCAATGCCATAGTATAGTAGAAACCTCGACTGGGGTTCTGGTCTGGTCTGTGTTAGTCTCCGTCTATATCATGCTGCCATGTCCGTCCTGTTCTTTGCCTCATCTTTCTTCTTTAGTTTTCTTCTTGTCGATCATCCTTCTCTTATACAAGGAACCCCTTACTACCTACTCCTTGCCTGTCCTATTGCACAACACCAAACCCAAGCTTCACGATTTGGTTCGTGAACAACACTTCAACACCATCAATCACTAGACAACCTCACTGCCCAACAAAGCCATCATATATATTCCATCACCATGTCACACAAGTCATTTGGCGGCTCATCCGTCTACTCGGATGACACCAACTCATCAACATGGACAACTACATATGCCAGAATCCCCAAGAAGCAGCCCATGGCTATTCGATTTCTGTCTTGGGTTGCTGGTGCCCCTCCAGGTGTCACTGCCGTCAAGAAGAGAACCCGAGACTTTGATGATGACCGCTCTGTCCGGTCAGGTGGTTCAGCCTTTTCTTACTGGAACGAACCAGAAACACAACTCTACTGGGTTGCCCGACCTCACGGGTACTACTACTACTACGGTGGTAGTAACAGCAGCAGCAGCGGCAGCAGTACCGGCAGCAGCCGTAGCAAGAAAAGCGGACGTAGTCGCAAGGATGGCGGAGGCTCTCGTAAGCACTTTGACGGAGCCGTTCCCCGACCTCCAGTACAGCCTATGGGGATGCCGATGCCGCCGATGAACGGTGGCCCACCTCCGCCTCCGCCTCCGATGGGTGGACCCATGGACGGAGGTTTCGATCCCGGGTTCGGTGGAGGTTATGAAGGAGGTTACGATGATGGTGTCTACGATCAAGGACAAAGTTACGATCCTGGCTACGGAGGTGGTTACTCTCCTGCACAGATGAATGGTCCCCCTCCTCCTATGCCACCACCTCCCATGAACGCTCAAATGCCCGAAGCAGCACCTTTTATCAACGTGACTGGTCAAAACCAACCGGGCAATCCTTTCCAGGGGGGGAGAAGTGGTCCCCGATCAGAGAGTGAATGGAGTTCTGATTGGAGTGATCAAGAATTATAGTGTCAAAGGGAAACTTTCTTTTGTTTAATGATTGTATGGGATGTATGGTTAACGACAAGTGGGACGGCGAAAGGAGTTATGAGACCAAGTTATTACTCATTATCTAATTTTATTCAAGTTAACAATTTTATGATTCATTTTCATGTGTTATCTTGTATTGACGTCAGTCTTGGATGACCAAAAAGCCTTGAAGTTTGCCTGTCGACTTACATTGGCCGTGCCTGTGCATCTCGGGTTTGAGCGATGCAGAGTGTCTGCAGTGCCTGACTTCCCCTATACGCACCAGCCAATCCTCTGAAAACACAGCCTCAGCGGAAACCTATCACGGCAAAGTTTCAGTGGACCCTGACATTCCCCCATGGGTACCGGAAAAGTTGGCCGCCAGGAGCATAAGAGACTAAATTACTATGCCACTTTATGTCACTTACACTATACTTCTTAGGTTATTTATTTTTGTCGTCTAAAACTTGAAGATCAATTCTTCTGCTAACCATAGCCCCCCCTGCGACTCCTCCCTGTAGGTAAGTTTTAGTTTAGGTTTCTGAGAGTCTAGACCGAGCAATGACGACAAATCTTCTTTTAATATTGAAAGACATACCCTGATTCATATTGAAGGCTGAGTTTGCAGTCAAAAAGAATTATGGTCTAGAATGCAAGATGCAAGATGCAAGATGCAAGATGCAGTCATCATACTACGGTTTGTTTGTTGTACTGCATTTAGCTTCATCCAATCTGATGTGTCTAATCTTGGTCTGCTGAAAGAAAAAGAGGCAACCAAGGAGATCTATGGACAGTAAGCAAACACCAATTACCGATATACGTTACTTGGAAAGGCATGTAGGTACGCATATCCTCAACCAGTAATAAAGACTCTAGCGTATCAAAGAGTCAAAGAGTAAAGAAAACCAGTGGACCAAAGTACCTGCTGCCTGGCTGTGGATGCTGTGATGCCTGGGTAATATTGAGGAGAAAATCATCGTACTTCCTTTACCCCACAAATAAAAATGACTCTATTCCATTTGTGGCAGCGAGGCTTATCATTGCTCGGGATGTGAGTCAAGACGGGAACAAAGTTGGCTTTGCCTGTGCTGTAAGGCTGATGGTCCGCCCCAGCTAATGCATCTAAGTGCATGTGCATGTGGATGGATGCCTCTTTCGTAGTTACGTATCACGCATCATCATCACTTCCATGGTATAAAACCTTTACTTTATCCTTCTTTCAATTCTTTTTATTATTCACTCTCATCTCTTCTGTTCCTACAGACTTGGTTTGACTTTTGTTGCAACCCACTACATCTCGGCGCACCCAAAGAGATTCATGTTAGGATCACTTGTTTTCCTACAAAACATCTCACCAGCCGACAGTATGGATTCTCTAAATTCAACAAGTCCTGGCGAGGATGTCCTATCCAAGGCACCTACGCAGTTCGCTATTCTCGATTTCATTTTCCCTGGGTTTTCCACCTTTTCCAGTATCATCCATGCCTACCTGGGCATTGATCTCAACGTCTACATCCCTCTGCTTCTCATCGTCTCTGGTATCATGTTTGTTTGGAACTACATCACAGAATACTCCTGGGGAATCATCGGCCAGCACCTGATGTCCACTGTTCGCATTCGCACCGATGACGAGATCTATAACATCGTCATGGCATGGGTTGCGAAACAAGGCTTTTCTCGGCGTTCACGCCGTTTTATGGTCAACACTAACCTCAGCTCCCGATCCTGGTTCCTATACGATTGGGACGACGAAAACGAGGATGATGAAAAGGACAGAAAGAAACCTCTCAAATACACCCCCTCGGTTGGTTCACATTTCTTCCCGTACAAGGGACACCTTCTTCTCTTTGAACGTCATGAGAACCGCGACCGTAGCCCCTTCTCTTCCAGCAGTTCAAGCGAGGAACTCTCCATCTCTTGTTTTGGCCGCAACCCACGCATCATTAAGGAGCTCCTCCTAGACGCTCAGGAGCAATACCTCAAGAAAGACGAGCAGCAGACTGCCATCTACCGCGGTTCTCTTCCATCAAGCGGTGACCCCACCTGGCAGCGCTGCATGACCCGAGCCAGTCGTCCTATTTCCACAGTCATTCTCGACGAAAAGACCAAGAGCGATCTGATCGATGATGTTACCGATTACCTTAACCCCAACACTCGTCGCTGGTACTCAAACCGTGGCATTCCTTATCGCCGCGGCTACCTTCTCTATGGCCCCCCTGGCACTGGAAAGAGTTCACTTAGTCTTGCTTTGGCTGGCCACTTCAACATGCGCATCTATATGGTCAGCCTGAGCTCCATCTCGGCTACCGAGGAGCATCTTGGTACTCTTTTCGCCGAACTCCCTCGCCGCTGTGTTGTCCTACTAGAAGATATTGACACTGCCGGTCTCACACACACCCGTGAAGAGAAAAAGGGAGACAGCACAACTGAGACGGCTGCAGTCCCTATCTCGAGCGCTCCTACACCACCTGGTGCTCCTACTGTTGTAGCTCCTATACCCACTGGCCGCCTCTCATTGTCTGGCCTCCTCAACATCCTTGACGGCGTTGCGTCTCAAGAGGGCCGTGTTCTTATCATGACCACCAACCACTTGGAGAAGCTGGATAAAGCCCTCATTCGACCTGGTCGCGTTGACAAGATTGTTCAGTTCGGCTTGGCTGATGCTGATATGAGCGCATCTATTTTCCGTGCTATCTATGCCCCCTACGAAGGTGAAGACGTCGATGTGGGAGCACCCAAGGCCAAGTACTTGGATCCTGAGGAAGCTCTGAAGCAGGCTGCACTGTCTAAAAAGACTCGCCTTGAGACCCTGGAGCGTATTGGTGCATTGGCCACCAAGTTTGCTACCAAGATGCCCTCACTCGAATTCAGCCCTGCAGAGATTCAAGGTTTGCTCCTGAAGAATAAGCGCAACCCCGAGGGGGTTATCAATGCTATTGATGAGTGGACTGTTGAGACCCGAAAGGAAAGGAAGCAGAAGGAGATCGAAGATGCAGAGAAGCGACGCAAGGAGGAGGCTGAAGCCGCCAAGGCCGAGGCCAAGAAGAAGCGAAAGGAAGAACGCAAGAAGGCCAAGAAGGCTAAGGCAAAGGCCAAGCGTAAGAGCAACGGCGAGAGTTCTGGATCTGATTCAGATTCAGACTCTGATTCTGAGCCTGAGTCTGAGGTCACGACGGAGGTCAAGAAGGAGAGCGCAGAGAAGAAGGACGAGAAGCCTGCAGACAAGCCCAATGAGGCGGAGACTGGAGCTGATGAGCAGAAGGATACCAAGGTGGACGAGCCTGCCGCAGAGTCTAAGCCAAAGGGTACCTCCGACTCTGGATATGACACCCCAAACCCAGTTTCATGATGGATACGAATACACACGACAGCATTGGATTGGAGTTTATGAGTCAGATTTGGGTTGTCATGAATGGATTTCCATTTCGCGAATAGTGCAGTAATACATCAAAAGTTTCACGATGAATCTCCTCCAACTATTGGTTCGTGAAGTTGTCTGATAAACCAAGACATGATGACTGTGCATAAATTTGCCGTAGAGTTTCATTCGGGCTTATACCGCACAAGCACCGTGCCGTGCTACACATATAATAAGCTGATAAGAAAATCAGGTGAGCGAACACGAGTGATGACAGGCATTGTTAGCTCCAGCGAAGAGAGATGATACAGATGTAAGATCAATGCCTGTATGATCTCCTGTCGGTTAGATCCTACCAGGATCGCTTGGGCCAAGGGATAGAATACGGGGGAGGAGGTGTTTTGCTGTAACAAGCAAATACGAAAAAAATAGCAAACCCCCACGATCGATACTGCATCATCGAATTCGCATAGGATCGCAAGGCTGGTCTATAATATGACGTATTCGCAACCGGGGACTAAACAAAATCCTACGATAAGTCTGCATGCAAGGGATGATATGCCATGCGGCTTACATATCCTGAAGAAAAAAGGTGAAACTAAATTCGGATAGGATCGACCCGAATAAGAGAGCGTAGAAGCGAGAACGACGTTTTGTATTACGACGCTGTTTTGTTTTCGGTATGGAATATTATCCAACCTGGGATTGATATCACAGCCAGGTTCTAGACCTTCTCTCTGCCTTGATATGTGTACGTACCACCGGTACATCCCTCTTGAGCAATAATTGACAAGAGGCAAGCTCCGAAGTGGTACCTGAGATGCTGCACGTTGATTATCTTGAGCGGCATATTATGACTTTAGCGGCCGGGCTACTATACTAAAAGAGTGTAAAGCTAGCTTGATCAGAGTTAGAGAGGTTCGTTTTGACCCACGCCGATGAACGGAATGCGGCGGTTGAGCGATTGATAAGGTAATGCTTTACATTATCACAAGCTTGAAAAGTGTCGTACATGAGGAACAAACCGGGATGATGATGCTGGGTGAGCATGCCTTTGATCTCTCACTTCGTGATGGTTCAATTTTGACATTAGGGTAACCACAACCTCAGGGTAAGCGTGCATGTCAGGCCGAATACATGTAGTGTTCTGGTCAATTCAAGGCCGTTAAGGATCTTTTCACCTCGAGCCAGTAAATAAATACTTGCAAAGGATCGTGAAGGATGTCAACGGCAACTAGAACCCGAAAGGAAGAATCCTAAGGATGCACGAAGTGGGACTTTTTGAGTGATATAGTACCGCCGCTTCCCAAGAAGCAAATAAATACATGCAGCAATAGTGAGACACATAACAGTCTTAGTGCAGAATCTCGTATTCTAATTCAAAGACATGACCTGCAAGACGTCATTAAAACGTGTCGTACCAAATGCCATGTTCAAACCGATGCAAGGGACGAGAGTTGAAGAACATCAAAAGCCGTTTGAGTGAAGATGAATGAAAAAGGATTAGCGTTGGTGTAGGAAACCCCCCTGTCTAGCGGCCAAGTCCCTTGGAAAAGCACGGGTTCTGGATTCTTGGTTTGACTTATTCCCTTTGGCCTCTTTTTTTCTTCTTCTTTTCGTCTGGTGGAGTTTGGATTGTGGCGATGGGAGCTTCGTCCGCGAACCGGAGGGTTCAGACGGATCAGATAAAAAATCTTGATTGAATTGTGTCCACTCTTGCATAGAAAAGGAAAAGTAAGTATCCTGTAAGTTTTGCAGTAGGTACATACTCAGTTGTAGGTTGGTACTCGGCATCCTCTACGTGCAGATCAGCCCGTCTCAACAATTGCTTTGAAAGCCATTAGATGATCACAATAGTAAGCCGTCAAACCAAGATCTACAAGGCTCTCCTTGCTATGAGGTTACCCCAATATCACATCAACAAGCCAACGAATTGCCCATGTTGATTCAACTAGAAACTAGCAATAAGCCGCTTGTCGTGTTCGTGTTTCCAACAGTAACAGAAGGTCAAGTAGAGAGGTTCAACCAACTACTAGAACTAAACTGTACAGCGACTTATACCCGTCCAGAGTCCCACCTATCAGCGGCTAACCCACTCCCACCACAACAATCCTAAATTGGACGGGGGGCAGAGAGATAACTTTGTTGCACTACGTACATTTTACATGCGCCCCTGACAGAGGCGACATGTGCTGCAACTACAAACCGGGAGCGGGGAGCGGGAGGCGTAAGAAAAGGTGAAGTAAAAGTCTCCTGCAGTGAGATGAGCTGAGGTAAGGTCATGATGGGATGGCGCTTGAATAGGATCTCGAGTCATTACGGGACGGGGCATGGCTCGGTGAAACTCATGATGGATAAAGTCTACCACGTAAGTACAATACTGCATAGGTACTCGCTACTATCAGGTAACATGTAAAACAATATAAAATAAATAACTATTGTTTTGACGGTCAAAGCTTCTCCTGGTCAAAGTATTCTTCTACCCTGTCCTTTCATCCCATCATGACAACAATTCATACCCAAAAGGCCAGCCAATCCAATTACACGGCAAGACAACAGTGCAGCATCTATCCAGTGGAAAGAGGCAAAGGGCGGTGAAAAACTTGATACCTTTGAACCTAACTAAGTTACCCAACAATAGCAGGTCACTCGCTTCACCCCGCCAGCTGTAGTAGTAACTGGCTGGCCTGGCTGGCCTGGTCGGCCTAGCCTTGTAATCACACCCCATATTCCATCCATTGACTTCACTACAAACATTGTAAGTAAAGTAACGACACGACACCTCACACCTACTACCCGCAATCTCGCGCATTCGTTCCGGGTACCCCCTTCCCTTGTCCTGCTCTGCTGTCGACTTTATTATAAGTTATCTCCACATCCTCTTCCTCCTTCTCAACTTCTCTTCCCATCTCTTCTCTTTGTTCGACTTCTTCCTCTCTTCTCCCCCACCAACCGACTCCCCTTCAAAGTCTTTAAACATGTCTCGTCCTCAGAACATTGGTATCAAGGCCATTGAGCTTTACTTCCCTAGTCAGGTAAGCTGAGATTTACCCCTTTTATGCTATGTTGCATCTTCAGCGACTTCGATGCTCTGCTACTGCTGAGAATTGTTGTCGTTGAATGTTGCCCCTCACCCAAACTTTTTGGCTGCGACAGAGGGCAAAAAAAAGTCCCTGCGTTTATTGCTCTCGTGTTCGGGTTCCTGGTCGCGTGTGCCCCTCCATCGCCTTAACCAGATCCAAGATTGTGCCCCTCATAATCGATCCCCCAACGCTTGAAACGCCTCTTTTCATCATGACCCTGGCTAACCACAATTTTACTCGTTTTTAGTATGTTGACCAGGTCGAGCTTGAGAAGTTCGATGGCGTTAGCGCCGGAAAGTACACCATTGGTCTTGGCCAGACCAAGATGAGCTTCTGCGACGATCGCGAGGGTAAGTCTATTGTTCTGTCCCTCACCGTCCCCTGAAAAAGATCATCCTTTTTAGCGCGATCATCTTCACCGCGAAATCCCATACTCATAATGCCATTGGATCACCGCTAACCGATTCCCCTCCAGATATCTACTCTTTCGCTCTTACCGCTACCTCGAAGCTCCTCAAGAACTACAACATCGACCCCAACTCGATTGGTTTCCTCGAGGTTGGTACCGAGACTCTTCTCGACAAGTCCAAGTCTGTCAAGAGTGTGCTTATGCAGCTCTTTGGCGACAACACCAACATTGAGGGTGTTGACACTATCAACGCCTGCTACGGTGGTACCAACGCTGTTTTCAACGCCATCAACTGGGTTGAGTCTTCTGCTTGGGACGGTCGCGATGCTATCGTCGTTGCCGGTGATATCGCTCTCTACGCCAAGGGCAATGCTCGCCCCACTGGTGGTGCCGGTGCCGTCGCTCTCCTGATCGGCCCCAACGCCCCTATTGTTGCCGAGCCCGGTCTGCGTGGTACCTACATGCAGCACGCCTACGATTTCTACAAGCCCGACCTTACCAGCGAGTACCCCTACGTTGATGGCCACTACTCCGTCAACTGCTACAGCAAGGCTCTCGATGCCGCCTACCGCGCTTACTGCAAGCGTGAGGCCAAGCAGGCCAATGGCACCAACGGCGCCACCAACGGCGAGGACTCTACCAAGACCAGCCTCGACCGTTTCGACTACCTTGCTTTCCACTCTCCCACTTGCAAGCTTGTCCAGAAGTCTTATGCTCGTCTCCTCTACCACGACTACCTCGCCAACGCCGACTCTCCCGTCTTTGCTGAGGTCGCTCCTGAGCTCCGTGACATGGACTACGAGAAGTCCCTGACCGACAAGGTTCTTGAGAAGACCTTCATGACCCTCACCAAGAAGCGCTTCCAGGAGCGTGTCAACCCCTCCATCCAGGTCGCCACCAACGTTGGTAACATGTACTGTGGTAGCGTTTGGGGTGGTCTCGCCAGTTTGATCAGTGTTGTTGACAACAAGGATCTTGAGGGCAAGCGAATTGGTCTCTTCTCTTACGGCTCTGGTCTTGCTGCCAGTTTCCTTTCTTTCCGCATCAACGGCAGTGTCGAGAAGATCTCCGACGTGCTGAATATTCCCGCTCGTCTCGAGGCCCGCCGTGCCGTCCCCCCTGAGACCTACGACGAGGTAAGCAAAATGCTAATATCCATTTATCGACTATATACTAATTCTATATCTAGATGTGCAACCTCCGAAAGCAGGCCCATCTCCAGAAGGACTACACCCCCAAGGGTGACGCTTCAACTATCATCCCTGGTACTTACTACCTGACCAAGGTTGACGATATGTTCAAGCGTGAGTACGCTATTCAGGAGTAAAGAACTCTATTTTGATAGCCCCACAACCCTTCGACTTCCCGTTCACCTTCAGGTACGGGACCTTTTTGCTTCAGATCTGGTTCGAAAGCCAAGAACCAGGATCAGAAGCATATCATGAACATGATGACTACAATGGGAGAAAACTAGACGCATTGGAAGAGGAATACAGCGGGACGATAGAAGCGCATCCCGTGTGGTGGAGACTGATACTGAGATTCCCTAATTGAGCCAGCAATGACGGTCATTGAGAGCTTGTGTACATAACGGGGATGCAGTCTCCCCTGGAAGATATATCAGGAACCTTGAGGCCCATAGACATGGTCATTTGGAGCTAAGAAGAAATTACGATATTTGGAATATAGAAAGAAATGTATTCCCAAACAACAAAGTCCACTCTAACTTGTCTATTGTTCGTACATCCATCCATTGCCAATTCGAGCAGAGCTCTAGGCTTTATCTCCTTATGATCTTACAAAACTCTACTTTATATCTACACAAACACGGGTATTCATCTACTTCTCCTCCTTGTACTTCCACTCCGCATGTCGGTGGAGCATATAATCCTTGCTCTGGATGCCCTTCCAGATACCGTAAAGACCACCCAGAGGAGGCTTGCTCTTCAAAGAGCGTTTCCACTTTTGTCGTTCTTCCTTTCGAGCTTCAACATCGACCTTGACCTTGTCGTGAACAGTAGGTAGCGTCTCAGCGTGGTACTTCTTTCGTAGATCATCATACCATTCTCGGCCGTACAACTTCCAGAACTCTTCTTTGTTGTAGTATGTATGTGCGTAGAGCCACTTCAGACCACCAAGCTCAACGAGCTTATCCTCGAGAGCACGGTTCTTGGTAACAAACTCCTCAGGATCCGAGGGACCCCAGCCCCAGAGACCGATGTTCAAGGATGGTGGGGTTGTCACAGTGCCGTCAGCAGCAGTGGTCGTCTCGCCGGTGTGAGGGTGGAAGGTCGGTGGGGCTGTCTGCTTTAAGGGACAGAGCCAGAGGGGCCAGATGTTGAAGTTCTCAGCAGTGTAGTCAATGAATGTCTCGGCAGTTTTGTAGGGAAGACCTAGATCCTGGACGATAAAGCGGGCTGATTCACCACTGCCGTGAAGAGCGCGGTATAACATACGGGTGTGCAGAAAGTCGTCGAGGAACCATCGGAAGAAACGGTTGAACGGAACGCCCTTGAAGTAGGTGAATGCAGCTGCTCCAACCCAGAATCCACCTCTATCGTAACGGAAGAAGTACTCGGCAAGAGGGATGTAATCGACAGGAGAGGACGAGGCGGATTCGACGGAGATAGTAGGACCAGCAGAGGGAACATTACGAGTGCGATCTTGAACATGGAGGTAGTACCAGGGATCCCAAGCACCACTAAAGGTCTGGGGCTTGGTATCGGCGGGCTTATCATCAGTCAGGGTACCAGTAACAACGACACCATGATCTTTGGAGAAGAGGATGCCGTCAACGTAGTCGTTGGAAGGGTTTTCGGTTTCAGCGCGGATACGAGCAACAGCTTCAGCGACACTGCTGGTTCGGTGGTACGTCGTCTTGACAAACTTTTTGGCCTCTTGCAGCTGAAGCTCAAGAAGCGTCGTCATGCCCAAAGACCCAACAGCTCCAGCAGCACCGCGAAACAGATCAGCGTTCTCCTCCCGCGACGCACGCACAACCTCGCCGTTTCCGAGGATCATTTCAGCCCAATTGACAGTATCGTTGAAGAATCCGTGCTTGAACGAGGAACTCTCTCCCGCCGTGCCTGCAAAGCCTCCTCCAGCCGTGATACCGGGAAACTCCATAACTACAGGCGGAACGAGGCCGTGCTTGAGCGTCGACTCGACAAGCTTGTCCATGGGGACATTGGGCTCCACGAGAGCCGTACGTGTAGTCTTATCGACCTGAAGAACATTGCGGAGGGCGCTGATGTCGACGACGGGCTTGCCTGTTGTCTGGGGCCGGGTGCTATTTGTGCTGCCGTGGAAGATGCGGTAGGGCTCGCGGCGCTCGAAGAAGCCGCGGACGGCCGAGGCGATGGATGTGACGGCCTTTTTGTGGCGCTCCATCATTGCGGTACCCTCGGGAATCGAATTGGGACGAGTTGGGTCTATCTCGTTTTTGTCTCGAGGTTCAGAGATCAGCGACATATTGTCGGACTATAAAAGTTTGGTGGGTCCCCCCGTTACGGGCCGGTCTCGGGGATCGGTGGAGGCGGAGCCGAAAGATGAATTAAATAGACGAACTTGTAGGGACAATTATTTAGATGAAGCAATTGATGTTTGGGTTAGAGATGGTGATGAATGTTGGATTGTGTATAAGTCTTGGCCTGTACGTTCCGAACGTGCCGGTTAGTTAAGTTTCAGCTGTCAGGTGAGTGCGTATAAGTAAGACAAGCCAAGATAGTTGTCACGTTGGAATATAATCTTTGAACAATTCCTAATTGATAAGAAGAACATATGCAATAATGATTAAATTTAGTCTTATAACCTTTGCCATATATACATCATGTTATGTACTTTACCTATTTCCATAATACTGTAAACGCCAATGGTCATCTACAGCTTAGCCACGGGTATGTCTATATCCCGATCTTTCAACCCTGTTTTATGCAATACCCTTTGTCTGAAATCCTCTTCTGAAGCATCACTCAATTGATCAAACCTCAATGGCACCTCCTCACAAGTCTTGGACCTGATCATGACAGCACTTGACTTAATGCTTTCAGGATTCTCAACTGCTGCGCTTATGAACGACGCCCATCCTTTATAACAGCGTGGCGTGGCGGGAGCATTGCGCAGCATCATGGCAAAGCAATGCGGCATGCCCTCGTACTCTTCAAAAACCACACGGACTCCGTCAGCCTCGAGTTGGCGCGCGAGGAACTTGTCCTCGTATGCAAGAATCTCCCATCCCGTGCAGAGGTAGATAGGCGGCGCCCCTTTCCAGCTGCGCGCCATCACGAGAGACGCCAATGGGTGGACAGCGAGGTCGTCGGCGACGTACAGGTTGTTTCTTGGTGGATTTGCCGGCCATGCCTTGCAGGGAGGTATCGCGAGCTGATCCATGGTTTCGGGCTTGGGGAGATAGTCGAATGGCGTCGGCGTGGATGCTTCCCATGTCGGAGAACTTTGTGTAACATCCAGCCATGGAGAGTTTAGTGCCAAGCCAGCTGGCAAGGGAACCTGGCGTAGTTCACCGTGCCACAATATTGGAGAGTCTTGTCTTCGGAGTTCGAGGATGAGTTGGAGCAGTGCGAGTGAAAGATTACCGCCAGCGCTGTGAGTTTGTCAGTCAGTACTTGTGATACACTAGAGTCAAGGACTCGAGACATACCTGTCACCAGCAATCACTATATGCTCCGGTTGCACAGGGTCGTGATAAGCATCTGGAGGTGGATACAATAAAGTGAAATAAGACACAAAAGCATCCAGCAACGCCGCCGGGAATGGGTGCTGAGGTGCAAGTCGATATCGCACAGAGTAGCACCGACCACCCGTCAACTGGGCCAGCTTCTTGGTCGTGGGACGATGTGTAGCAGGGTCACAGAGATAGTAAGCGCCGCCGTGCAAGTACAGCACAGTTGTTGGATTCTTGCAGTCCCGCATCATGCCGTGATACCTCTCCCGCTCCGACACGTCAGGCAACGGAGCGCTACTTGATACACCACTCCGGTAGCCGGTCCATTCGGCCTCGACATCAACTAGGTCGGGCACGGGGACTCGGCAGGCAGATCCTCCGGTGTGTTGGAGAGCTGCGATGAGGGCATCGCGGATTGATGTCTCAGGAGGTGATGGACTGGCGTACTTGCTAACCCAGATATGACCCTTGATTCCAGGATCGCGGAGCGTAAGTCCTTGAACAGCAGATATACTACGTGGGGTTTTTGGTGTGAGTATAACGCGGAGACAAGCGATTACCAGGGCGCTTCGAAGGTCGAGGTGTTTGGATGAATCGGAGAGGTGAAGGACGTGCAAGAAGGATTGGCGAAGAATAAGGGGGAGTAGCGGAACAACTATACGTATAGTTTCGAGATTCATCTTGTCAGAAGTGTGACGAGTGTAGGAGTAGAGTAGCCGAGTTGTGGTTGAGTTGTAGTAGTTATAGTTGCGAGTGAGTAATAATATGAGTGATTCAGCTGGTGACAGCTGCGTTATAATGTCAGTGAGAAGGCTTGACACTGCCAAAGCACTGCATCAACTTGATATATCTGAACAAGGCAGATATGCTATTAGACAGAAAAGCGACGCAAGAAGATGTGTTGGCAACAGAGGGGTAGTAGAAGAATAAAGAGAGTGAGTGAGTGAGTTGTCGTACAGTGGCTATAAGTCAACAAAGAGTCGGGAGCTCTTGCAAGGCCTAATGCAATTCTTCTCCACGCCAAGACCAATCACAAGTTCTCTTCAAGTTTTGAAACCGCGTCAAAAATGTCATGTAAGGTATGGGTGGTTTCTAAGAATCCATGACACTTCTTGCTTTGCCACTTTTGTAAATGTGCCGCCAGATGGGGTGAGTGTGGGAGCTGTGCCTCGGTTTCTTTTCAACCACCGAAGAATCAATGTTAAGAACGAAAATGTATACGAATCAATAAACATGAACAACAAAGTCACAAGTTACGCAGAAAAGAAAGACAATAGGTCAATGTAGTAGAGCAGGTGGTGGGTTATTTCAATAAGCCTCGGCATAGAATATGGAGCTACTGCTGCACTCAACCGTTTGAGGAGGTTTACAAGTGAGTAATGTTGGGATGGCAGTTTCTACTAGTGCTTTAGATTATGATGGACCCCTTCGGTAATTTGACACACGGCAAAAAAGGTTTGGGAATCACTCTTCTAATGCGTTGGCAGCTTTTTTTGTTAGTGGTGATGTTTCCAGACTCAACCCAAAACGGTAATTCTTGCGGAAAAGCTTCAAGGTTGAGTGCATGCAGAATTAGCAGGGGGATGCATGTAAGCGCGACGCAAGCGCGAGAGGTCAATATACGATACTGAATAGGTACTGACCAAAAGAAAAAACAGACCTTGGCACATACCTTTAATTCAAGTATGATACATATTATCTGTATGAACAATTGGCAGATATGGATGGATCGACACTGAACCAATATACATCTTACTTACATATACCCATAATATTCATCACACGTACAGAGTTGTATATAAAGTTTAATAAATGTGTAATATGATAACGCTACAATACCATCTCGCAACCCCCGTATTATCCCAAAACTATAGATGCATAAAGTACTATACAATTAAGTGAACTAAACTCGAGTACTTTTTCAAGAGCTTGAACTTGCGCCAGCCTTGGGCTCGTCAGCCTTGACTTGAGTCGAAGAAGTATCATTCTGGTTGGCCATGGCCATCTGCCAGGCAGGAATAGATTTCTTGCCAGTCATGTTGGCAAGAGGGGAAGATGAACGGTTAAGCTGAGGAGCAGAGGGGAATGTTGGCTTGGGAACCTCGGCCGCAGGGGTAGTAGTGGCCGATTGAACTGTAGCCTTCTCTCCGTTGATCGCAGAAGTAGAAGCACCGGGAGTGGAAGCAGCAGCAGCAGCAGCAGGAGTGTTTGCGTTTCCACCAGCGTTTCGCATGTAGTTCATGGTTGAAGAGCTTGTAGTGGTGCTGCTGGTGTTTGTGCGCTGAGAAACCAATGTCTTGAGGCTGGTAAGCTCAGTGTTGATCTCGCGCAGGCGGTTATCAGTAAGGGACTTTTGGTTCTCGAGAGCTTTGGGAATCGCGTCCTTGAGAGATTGAACTTCGTCCCTGATTCGATTCGCATCGTCCTCGCGTCTTCGGTTGGCAGCCTTGAGGTCAGTCATAACTGTCTCGAGGTCCGCGATCGCCGTGTCTAGCTTCTCGGTTCTCTCCTTCTCGGCATTCTTCAAGCTCTCCGTATCCTTAGCGAGCTGCTCAACCAGTGTAAAAGCTCGGTCGAACTGATCCTCGATCGATTTCTTGTCCTGCTCCAGCTTCTCCGGTGTCGGGGGTGCCACATTGGGGTATACGTAACGCTGATCGCATGTTAGTCTATATTGTTGGAGCAGTCGCGTTGCCAAACACATACCTTGCCTAGCTCGTAGAGACCATAAGACACTCCTCCAACTACCGTAGCCATGATGAACCAATCCCTCCAGTCCCTGCGCGGAGGAGGAGGTGGTGGTTGCCAGGCATGTTGTGGATAGGGGGGATAATATTGTTGACCAGGAGGAGGGCCGGCGGGCGCGCTGGGAAAGGGCGCACTAGGAGCCGCGGGTGCGCTGCCACCTGTTCGAGATAGCGCGACGTCGATTTCTTCTTGAGTCAAGTTCTTGCTTCGAAGGAACGAGATGCGGCTTTCGACCGAGGATGACGCGACGTTTGGGTCTTGTAGAACTGTAGCAGGTTAGTCGGCGCATTCGGCATTGTTATCGCGAAGGGCTACTGACATTGAATCTATTCAGGAGTTAGCATTTACTGTTTCTGATTGAATTGGTTCAGTGGCTGGGGGCAAGGGATATACTCACTGCAGAGGTTACTAGATCCTCGCGGATAGACATGATGGATGATATTCAGCCGTCAGACGGCTCTCACTTCATCAACAGAGTCGCAATGGATAAGGTTGAAAGAAGGAACTCCTAAACAGACTTGACCGATGATGATGGAAATGTTATAAGCATGTGCCTGACTGGCTTGTTTGCGGAGGCCGGGCCGTGGAGTTCAAGAACGTGGAGGCGTGGAGTCAAACCGGGAGCGTGACCGATCTGGACCGAGGCTTGCAGTTTATTGAAGCTGCCGAAGGAGGTACGTACCGCACCGTACCTTCCCTACCGACGGTACCAAACTTACCGAAACGGTTCCATCGCGCATGAGATTCCAGGTTGCGATCACGTGCGGTGTCAATTATTGTGTTTGCCAGCTCAACAAAGACTCCACCTGCAACGTTAGAAGCCTTGAGCCAATCAAACCCGTTTACATGCTTTGTTTACTTTCCGCCCGAGCAACAGTTTTGTAACGCCCAATCTCCTGTACTTCGTTAGTCTACGCATTTTCACATCCCACCTTGCATCACTACCGACTATTACCACGATAACCCGCCAACGCATATCCCAACTCACGACACTCGAATATACTGCGCATGCATACCGTTGCAGTCGCATAGTGTTTCTTTC